GATTATTGTTTCAACCTATCTCCAGGGTGGGGGATTAATAGAGCCTGGGGGATTAATAAAGACTGGGGGATTAATAGAGCAAATACGGTATGCCACTACCCCTTATTATATGTAGATCTTCTCAATTTTTATTTCAGTTCTTGTTCAGATTATAATTTTATACAAACATAAATAAAATAGGTTTTCCAGTTAGAGCATTCCCGTAAGATCGCCACCACCTCTGATTCTTATTTGGAATACTTTCTATGGAAAGAATTTTTTAAAATCTTCACAATGTCTTTATAAATGCCGGTATAGCGATGATAGAACGTTGTGAGAGTTTTAAATATATGTAAATTATAGAAAGAAAGAAATCTCGGCTCTATCCGAAAATAATGCCGGCATCCAATTTTCCCTTCCCTCCTCGAATGAGGGAGAAAAAGTTAATTTTTCAGCTGTAGTATAGTAAACCGGTGGTAAGGTAACTTTGTCCACACTTATTCAATCACGGTGAATCCAACGGATCAAACAACTCTGTTCATGACCAACTCCATTTAGTTAGAATTACCAAAAAAGTTTTTGCGGATTTTTGATATAAAATATGGATTTTTAATCTCAAAATTGCGTCTAAAATAATGTTTTAAAATAATGCCCTATTTTTGCACTATTATTGAGCGGGTGCGCCCTATTTTAGTGTTTTGGAAAGGACAATCATTGTTTATCATATATTAAAGGTAAGAATTAACGAAAGTTAAATGTTATTTCAAAACCCAAAAATTAAATGTTAAATATCGAAATTTCGAATGGCTCTGCTTGTAAATCGAAATTTCGAAACAGATCTGTTAGACATGGGTGATAGGACTCTCTAGTTTAATTGTGAAAGGAAGAGGGGTGAAGAGTGATGAAATAAAGAGGAGTGAAGATGGAGCGTAAAAAAGAGGGAAGAAAATTGGACTGGCTATAGTAAAGCAAGTGTCGAATTAGTTTAATTAATTCATTTATTAAACTAATTTAATTAATTTTATTATATTTATTAAATAAGTCAAAATGTTAAAACTAACTGTTTTAAAATTAATAATGTTAATTTACTCTAAACAAGTATTTTGCTTTATCGAAGAAGACATTTCTTCCAACATTGAGGCAATAGATGAAAATATAATTCAACAAATTACTTCAACTCTAAACAATGCCAAAAATTGTTTTGACCCAGAAAAATGTGTCAATACATTTCTGAATGAAATGTCTAATTTTTATAATTGCCATTTCAATAATTTAAAGGAATTTCTGCTTTTTGTATAATTTCAAAAAAATTCGCTAGAAATTAATTATCCAATTACAGCATATTTTTACTCGAGTAATATTAACTAAATTGATTCCTGGCTGAAAGTGGAGTTTGAGTTAAGGAGCAGAGATGGGTCGGAATTCCGAGTTCTTGTTGGTTTTCGAAAGTTCAATATCTCCTGATATCCTCAACCCTGATCCCGGTCACTCCAAAAAACACAGTAAAAATAATCTTACTTGGGCAAATTCAATTGAAAATACAAAAAATCCTCTCTCTAATAAAAATCCTCTCTCTAATAAACCCCAACCCATCTATAAACCCCAACCTAAATCCTACAATATCTCTTTTGATCCCTCAAATTACACTCAAGAAAGCACCATAATTTGCCACTTTACAATTTTAAATATTAACTCAGTTTTGAAAATAAAAATTTTATTTCCGACTTCCGATTTCCCGCGTTTTTTCCTTCCGATTTCCGAAAAAATTTTGATTTCTTAGTTCCGACTTTTGAGCCAGTTCCGGTTTCCGGCTTTTCCTATTTCTGATACCTCTGATTGTTCCGACCCACCTCTGTTAAGGAGGAACGAATTACTATTAAAATTATGTTAAAATACTGTTTTCTAACCTAGGCCTCGACCTCGACCTACTCTAGTTAGAACAAGAAAAATGGGAAATCAAGTACACGGTTCATTGTGGTCACTGCTAAAATGCCATAAAAGGGATAGGATATAAAAGGGATAGGAGGCTCCAGTTCTTATTCATACGCTTGCTTTAGCAACCACAGCTGTAAAAATAAAAAACACAATTGCTTATTTGCACTTTAAGAGAAATTTTTCTTAATTTGCCAGAATTCTCTCCAGAATGCCAGAATTCCTTTCTTTAGCGACAAAAGGTTAAACGTTTGACAAATTTCGAAACCCAAAAATTAAATGTTAAATATCGAAATTTCGAATGGCTCTGCATGAAAATCGAAATTTCGAAACAGTTCTGTTAGACATGGGTTATTAATCATGATAGGACTCACGAGTTTAATTGTGTAATAAAGGAAAAAGGGCAAAGAGTGATGAAATAAAAAAAGAGGGAAGAAAATTGGACTGGCATTAAAGCAAGCGTCGAATTAGTTAGAATTACAATAATTCATTTATTACATTTATTAATTAAATTTTAAAAGGTAAAAATGTTAAAACTTTTTGTTTTAAAATTAATTCTGTTAACCCCCGGTTTACGGTGATTTTTGGGGTCTCAGGATCTTGGCTCAGGGTAAAGATATGGGTAAAGTAATTTTTTATTTTTCATAATATGTATCATGTATCTTTGCTAGAATTTTTGTAGATTTTTCCTAATCTTGGAAATATTTTTTTGAAAAGTGGACTGTATACTTTTGTGGAGTCCGAAAATGAAAATTTTGGGCTAAAAATTTTTTAATAAAAAATCAGCCAAAAATCGATTCACATCTTGTTAGTTTTTCACTAGAAGGTGTGTATCAAAATTTTCAGAAAATTTGGATCATTGGAAGTGAAAAATCTCGAAAAAAAAGCGGACACACGAGGAGGTGCGAACATTTGCCAAAAATTTTTCCGCGCGACTTCCACTCTGTATCCTAAAAAGGGATACACACTTCGAAAATTCTTAATTATATTTGATCCTTAGTTATTTCTCTATCATATAAATTTTATTTGATCTCAATATCCTTAATTTGAAGAAAGTTATTCCATAAATAGTTTGTCCTAAACATTTCTTGTCACCCTGTACTAATTGGAACAGTGTAGTTTATATGTACACCCATCTCGAATACCTTTTGTATTTACAAATCTCGCTAAACAACAGGAATAATAAAATAAAATTAAATAATTTAATTTTAGATAAAAATAAATTATAAATAAATGAAACATTTATTTATTTTAAAAATATTTTTATTATTAGTTTTAAATAATATTTTTTGTAAAAATGATAAAGAAATTATTGAGATTGAAAAGATGGAAAAATTAACAAATTTATTTATTAAATTTCTTTCAAGCGATTGTAAAGATGAAATTCCTAGTGAAGATTTAATTATTGAATCAATGAAGTTTAATTACAAACAATTTCTAGATTCTTTAATTAATTCAGGTATTTTAAAATATTTTTAGTTATTTTTAGGTTTTTTAATTAATGTTGAATAATTGTAAATGTTTGTTACTAGACAGTTATTAGAGCTCATAAATTTGGTGTTCCGATAAAAGTTAGAATTTCGTTCCTAGATATTTATGGCTAGCAAAGTTTCCTCCCAGCCTAGTCTCATTATCAATTCACATCCAGTATGAGCGAATTTCGCGTTATTTATTCGAAATTACCACAAATACAGTGCTTCTAATCTTCAACAAAAAACGCAAGACCGGCCGAGATTTTCCAAGTCCAGTTCTCTAATCGGTCCGGGTCTTTAACCCCGACGAGATTACCAGAAAAATTCGGCCGGATTCCGTCTTGGCTATATTCTTTACTCGTATTATTGTAAAAGTTTGTATATTGACAATAATATTAATATATGTATATAGCTATTTACATACGTTAAAAATTAAATATTTATAATTTAAAGTTCCAAATAAAATAAATTCAACATCTCATTCAATATCTCCAAACTTTTCTGAAAAATTTGAGGAATTTGTTAATGAAAATTTAAAAATAGAAAAACGTTTAAAACAAATAAATAATTCAAAAAAAGAATTTTGTGTTTTACATTGTTTTATGGAAAACTGGATGAAAAATAAAATACTTTTAAGTAATGAATTGTGGAGGAATGAGATAATGAATAGTAAATTTACTGAAATTTTGAATATTGTTAGTTTATTTAATTATCAATTTGTAGCCAGTGCTGGGTATGGTTCCGTCAGCTAGCTCCGGAGCCCGGCTCCGAGCCGTCTCCAGCGGAGTAGAGCCGGGGCCAGGGTTTTTCAATAGCCCACGACTCCGGCTATATGTCCCCTAAAAACCGGTGAAACAAAGGAAAAGTGTTTGAAAAAGGTCGGAGCCGAACCAACAAATGTCCAATACCCTCCTGCATTGTTTGTAAACCAAAAATGTTAACATTTTTAGTTTAGTTTTAAAAAATATTACCTATTCATACATTTTTATTAAAATCATATTGACGAGTTAAGACTGAACTATTTTCAAACTCGTTAAACTCGAATTCGATTTTTCAACGCACATTATTTCAAACTACATATTAACAGAAAATATTTTCAGAATGATCCAATCATTTATTCATTAGAATTTGACTGCAATAACGAAGAAAATGCCGATAAAATTGTAAAAATGTTTGAAGAAAAATCAAAAGATAAACAAATGCATAATATTCATTATTCAACAATAAAATATTTAATTAAAAATTCACAAAAAATACAAGAATTCTTCGTATATAATAATATAGCAAAGAATCGTTTATATATTTTAATTGGAAATGAATTGGGGAATTTGGAAATTGAATATCCTATTCTCCTTCCATTTGGTTTGATCTTTAAATAATTAAACTGAGGATTTAAAAAGTTTGACAAGGGGTAGGAATCGGGCGTGATGATCATCTCTTTTTCCTCTCTACATCTTTGGACTGTTATTTAACAGATATAAATTTTAAAATTTTTAAGGTATTATGGAACCCAATTACCAGTGGTATTTATATAAGAAAGTACTTTTGCTAGAAGAAAAAAATGAAAAATCATTATATCAAACAAAAGAAGAATTTGAAGAAAGTTTAAAAGCAGAAATGAGAATTAATGCTTCTCTTTTCTTTAAGCGGGTTAGTTATTGTTTTTGTCAAGCTGAAAAGTTTTATGTTCACGATGAAACAAATAAAACCTATATAAAATTTAAAGAAATAGTCGACGAAATGGACATTACTTTTTATAATTTAATTAAAAAAAGAATTGAAATTGCCAATTGTTTTATTTACACATATTCAATTATAATCGAAAAAGCAACTAATTATTGGGATAAAAATGATAATTTAACTGATGAAGAATATAAAAAATTTGACAAAGAAATTAAAGAGTTAGTAGGGGAATTTAAAAATTTTGAATTTAAAAAAACAGTTGAAGAATGTAAAAGGGATTGGTTAACAAAAGAAGGAAAAGAAGAAATATTAAGAGAACCAAGAAAATTTCTAACATATAAACATGCCCAATATTTAAAAAATTATTTAAATAATAATCAAAAAGAAAAAGAAAAATTAATAAAAAGCTTTAAAAGCAAGGCAATATTAGCCAGTTTAATTATAAACGACGATTATTTTATTCATTTGGATAAAGAGTTAAAATTGAATGTATTGGAAGGTAAGTGGATATTAGTGAAACAAAATTGTTAATTTGATTAGTTTTACAAATCTGAAGAGTTTGTAAAAATTAATCTTGAAGACAAAACCTTAGGCGTTGGAATAATTTCTTTTTTTTAATCATTAATATAAAAATCTTTGTCTTCTTTCTTTTCAAAATCAACTTTAATATTTAGATTACAAAAAAGATGATATAGTACTAAAAGAATATTATTCAAATGTTTTTACATTAAATGATGAAAAATTGAAAAAAATAAATAAAATGTCGGCAGATTTTCTAGTTTTGATTAAATATATAGATGGAATTGTTAATTCTAATAAATGGAAAATTAAATATAATAAAGTTAGACATTTGGGATTTTTTAATTCTAATAAGGTTTTACTTCATAAATCTTATTGGGGATTTTATCTGGAGGACTCAAATGAACATGAATGTTATGGAAGATTTAGAAAAATATTAAGTGTTATTGAAACCGGCAAATCAAAAGATGAAAGAGGAATTGAGGTATCTATTTGATATATTAAATTCTTTAACCTTTTTTGTTTATTTATGAAAATTTTCTAAAATTTTCGATTACTAGTCTCAAAATTATTGTTAAGGAAATTATAGTTAATTTATCTAAAAACCTTTCGGGATTGATATACAGGGCTATATCCCGCATTTTAAATTTGCGGTATCCCCTACAGTACTAAAATGACTAACTGAAATCTAACATATCAAAAATCTGAAAAGTATTTTCTAATTTTGAACTTTTTCGGTTTTCGAAGATTATTTTATTACAAAATTACTTATTTAACCTATAGAATTAAGTTTTTCAAAATAATTTAGACGGAAATATCCTATGATGAAAATATAGATGAAAATTTAGACACAAGTGACATTGAAGGAAGAATTAAAAAATTACATTTAAATAAATTAGAATTTTTCTTAAAAAATGAAAATTATAGGAAGGATTTGGCTATTAGTAAGTTATTTTTTGTTGGTTTCTATTTGGACTTCTAAATTTTAGCTGAACTTTATTATTTATAAAAGTGTAAATAAATAAAATAACTCTCATTTATTTATCTAATATTAATTAATCCTAATAAAAATTAATTCCATTATTTAATTTAAGAATTAAAAGAAATTGGAGAAGAAAAATTTAAAAAAGAACTTGCTTTATTTATTGAACCAAAAAATATAAATAAAATATATGAAAATATAAGTAAAACAGATATTAGAACGGAAGAAGAACGTGAAGCAGAATTTAAAGCTAAAGAAGAGGAATATTTAAAAAATATTGCTCTTTGGGAAGAAGAATTATTAAATGAGGAAAGTAAAGGGAAAGGGAAGAAAATTAAAGAGAAAAACAAAGAAAAAACATCAGAAAATACAAAAAAGAAACAAAAATCAAAATCTTCAAAAAATAAAAATATTGCAAATACAAGCAATTCAGAAAAAGAAGAAAATCAGAAAGCAGTTGAACAAACAATTAAAATAAAATCAGAAAATGTTGAGGAAAAACAAAAAATAAAAGAAAAGCCTCCTCCCCCTCCTAAAAAGCCAAAAAAGAAAAAATTAATTGGAGGAAATAATGAAAAACAAAAAAATATTTCTTCTTATTTTACTTCAACATCTTTAAATGAATTAAAATTAAAAATTTCTGAATTTACAAATGAACAAATAATTAATAAATTATATTTAGAATTTATCGAAAACCCTTCAATAGAAAAACGTTATTTAATTGATATAGGCATTATTATTCATGAAATATATAAACGTTTTAATGCACTTAAACAATTAAAAGATAAAATATGGCCATTAATTTATGAAAAAAAATTTGGAGAAGGAATTTTAGAAAAAATGCCAAAATGGCTGGAGAATTTAACAGAAGATGATCAGAATGTTGATAAAGTAATTAATTTATTATTTGTAAGGGGAGGGGGTGTCTAAGTTTAAGTGAAGCTGAATATATTTTTTAACTTAAACATGTTCAACAAAAATATCATTAATAAGTATAGGTATGTATTGAACGGCCTTCTTGAAAAGCTTGCTTGCTTGAAAAGCTTTATTTCCAAATTTTTTGAGCAGTGACACCAAACTAGTGTTTCGCCGGAAGTTCCGGTTCCGATAGGCCAAAAGTTCCGGGAGTTTTTGGTTCTGGTTCAGGTTCTGGCCTTTCAGTTCGGTTCCGGCCAAATTTGCGGTTCCGGCGAAACACTTTACCAACCCCATTGACTAAGTTATCAATATTTTTTGTTGTTTCATTTTTAGTGAATTAGAATTTGTCGTGTAAAAGATTGTGAATTTCATTCTGAGTTAGTGGCATTTTAAACATATAACTTTAAAAATAACTGGCAATAAAATGGGAAACGATCCAGAAATTTGTACTAAAAACAGCCATTAATTAATATGTCCGTGTCTAATAATATTTTTAAGGTTTTTGAAAATATTCATCAAATTGAATTGTACAACAGACTTAAATATTTAGTTAATTTAATTGAAGGAATTTTGAAAGTTGATAAAAATATTAAAGAAAAAACAATTTTAAATGAAAATAATATTTATTTTATTATTCATCAATTACATTTACAAAAATTAGTTTCTTCAACAGAAAATATTGTATTTATTAAAGAAAAAAGTCAAAATGAAAAAGAAAATATTATTTCAATTCTTTTTGGAGTTGAGGAGTCAGACAAGGTTGGAGAATGGTTTAATAGAATTGATGAACAAATAAATGATTGGAATAAATTTAAAAATCAGAGGGATATTGGTACTAAATTAAATTTAAATAAAACTGTTATATGCCTGTTAAATAATAACTTTGTAGCATAATCTGATCAAATATATCCTGTTATAAAAATAATCCTCGAATCAAAAGCTCTTGATTGACATAAAAGTTATTTAGATCGGTTAAGAATTAAAAAAGTTTTTGCTAAAAATATGGCTGAAAGGGCCTTAATGAAACAGGCTTTGCGGAACTAAATCATAAACAAAATTATGATAGGGGATTTTATATGAGGGATATATCATCAAGTTTAGAGAGCTTATTTCGAAATGAGCTTTAGAACAATTCGAAACAAAATTAATTTTAGATAATCAAAATATTGGAGAATATGGCCCAGCAAAATATTTAAATCCAGAATTAATTCAAAATTTAATATTCTCTGAGGAGGATGAAGATAATTTTAATTATGAAATATTTGAATTAATAGAATTAAATAAAGAAAATGATAAAAATATAAACGAAATAACTAAAAAATTAAAAAATATATTAAATAAATGGGCAGAAATATTTGAAGCTGATTATGAATTTTTGATTGGGGGATCTTTAATGTTGGAAGTAAATACAAAAAATTCTGATATTGACGCTATTTATGTTGTTAAAGAAGATAATGACAATGAGATAAATGATGAAATGGGAGGAGATGATGATGGAACAAAACAATTAATTAGTAGAAATGCACAATTTTTCGGTCATTTAAATTCGAAATGTTTAGATGATAAAAAGGAAAATTGTTCTGATCAATCTTTTTACTGTCATTTATGTTTGCAGGTAAAATGTGTACACATATCTTTAGCATGTACAAAACACTTGTTTTTCACCGGAAATGCCTGTCCAGCCTGCGTTCCCGGTCAACCCTAATCATTTAGATTGTTTGTTCCACTAGAAAGTACTATTTATCTAACTTAGTGCAGCCTTCATTTTTAAATCACCTTTGTGTACTAACACAAATGAGTTTATTTTTTCATCTCAATCGGAGCAAATTTTATTGCCGTGTACCCTCAGATTCGGATTCCTCCAATCTAGAATCTCAATACAATTTAAGTATAATTCAATGTTTAATTGTAGTAAAAACATAAAATTTAGGAGAAGGTTAATAATTTGAAGAGAATTAGTGAAATACGTGTTCCTTTATTGAAATTTGAATTTCATGGAATTGATATAGACATTAGTTTTGTACAAATTCCTGAAAAAATAAAAGATAATAAAAATTGGATGGATGAAGCATTAAATAATGCAATGAATAATAGTTTAGGAAGAGTTTTTCCTTTATCTGGTTATAAATCGAATTTAATTATTAAAGAATTATTACCAAAAGAAGAGGAAAAAATAAAAATATTTCGTTCGGCATTAATTTTATTAAAAATTTGGGCAAAAAGTAAAATACCTAATTTAGAAAAATATTTTTTAAAAATTTATAGATAATTCTATTTATGGAAATCAATTTGGATTTTTGAGTGGTACTTCTATGTTAATTATGTTGACTAAAATTTATTTATTATATCCAAATACTTGTTCTGTTTTGGTTATATTAGATAGATTCTTTCTTACATTTTTGACATGGTTAGTAAATTCTTAAATTTATAAAAAAGAAAAATAAAACATAGTCTAATTTTCAAACATTTTAAAAGGATGGTTCATTTTCTTAGCCCATTGGTATTAACTGGAGTTGACATTAAACGTGATCCAAATTTATGTGGATTTTGTAGTCAAGACTCTTATCCACCTAACACAATTTTAATTCCGCTTAGTTTCACTTTTTTGCTTGCTTTGACGTAAAAGCAAGCAAAGGTCTTATGTATGTTTATGTGTATTGTGTGAAACGAAAGCAGATCATCACAATTTTTAATTTTAAGGAATTGGCCTAGACCCTTCCTTATTGGTAAAATTGACGATAGTTTACTCCACAGTTGGAGAATTGATACTGAATTATTTGCAAGAGAAATAACATTTTTAAATAAACAAGGAATTGAAGAAGATTGGGTAGATGTTGATAAAAAAGATAAAATTTATATAAAAATTGAAACGGAAAAAGTAAAAGAAAATGAAAAAGAAAATAATGAAAGATTAAAAAAACATTCAAAATTAATAATGCCAATATTAACACCTGCATATCCACAACAGTCAAGTGCTTTTAATGTTAATTATTCAACAATGAAAATAATTAAACAAACAATTATTGAAGGTTAATATTTGGATTATTTTACAGAATTTTGGTATTTTGTGTCCAACTTTTGGTGTCCAAATTCAATATAACCTTTTTCGGACCCGGATATCTGCCTTAATCGACACGAGAAAATTTACAGGAACTTTATATTTTCCATATGATTGTTCTGTCTCCTCGATATGTATTTTAAAAACCCTTTTGAATCGTTAGGTCAACAGCTTCAGTATTAGTTACATCATACTAATGTTTTTCGATTTTAATTTTTATTTATTTATACAATCGAGGTCAGAATGTACTAATTCACTTATGTACTCATTACATAAAATTGTTCAATTCTTATTCTAATTTTTAAAAAATTTTCTATATAGGATTAAAAGGAATAAGACAAATCCGTCGCCAAACATCCACCAATTTTAACGAAGGACTGAAACAATGGATTAAAGGAGTTGACTTTGTTGATAAAGTAATTTTAATTTTTTATTTAAAAATTATTTTTCTTTTCAAAGTACAATCATTTTGTAACAATTATTTGTGTTGGAATTGATAAAAATATTGGAGAAGATTTTTGTAATTTTGTAAAAAACAGAATTAGAGTTGAATTAGTTTTGTCATTAGAAGAATATCCAAAATTAGAATATTCACATATTTCACCAAATAAATCAAAAAAAGGAAAATGTGAAAAAAGATTGATTGCTGGGAAAAAATTTAAAAAATTCTGGTAATTAATAAATAAATAAATACAGGGTGCGGCAAATTCGCGCAACTTTTTGGTTTAATATAACTTTCTTCATTGCATATTTATGCGCATATTTTGGGATTTTCCGTGCATATTTTGACACGCCCTATTTTCTAAAATTAAATTTAAAGGGAAGACAATTGGTGTAAACAATGGATTGTTGGTTTAAATATGCCCGAATTATTTAATTATTCAGAAGATAAAGCATCCTTAAATTATTATTTTTTAAAGTTTATTAAAAAAATAAAAGGAAAATATATTAAGGTAAAAATTAAAATAATTTTTAATTTAAAAATTTTATTTAGCATAGAAAAATTGAAAGAACTAATGTGGCTATTCATTTACGTTATACTGATATTCACAAAGCTAAGAAGTTTTGGGGAGATAATTAATAAGATGAATTTTCCATAAAAAATCTTCAACATCAAGAACCGGATCAAAAATTTTTATTTAAAAATCTTTATAATATGTAGAATTTTTTCTAAACGGGAAGAGCTACAAGAAAGTTTTTCAGCCACGGGGAGGTGAAGTAGTAAACGTTTTCGAGCAGAGTATCAAAAAATTAACGTAATAGATTTAACTTTCCGATTTTCGGATGGTCACGAACCCAGAGTTCCTTTCTACAGAACCAGAATATGTACGGGGAGATTCTGAGAAAGGGTAGTCATTACTTGATCAGTTTGGGCTCTCTTCCGCTCCTGTTTTCCATTATGTTCTCTTCCGTTCTTAGACCTTCCGTCCTCAACATTTTAGGGCTCGGCCCTTCCATTATGTATATAATTCATTATATTATTTAAATGCATTTATTATGTAAAGCACACAAAGTATGTACATATATATATACATAGCTATTTAATTCCTAAGGCTATGCATGAAGCAGTGTTGTTTCGCTCCCAGCCTCCTAAATAGTCTTTTGCATTAAAGGAGAAATAGCTATAGCACCGTTCTGCTTTGTTATTATTATTATTATTATTATTATTATTATTATTATTAGCTATTTATTCTGTTGAATAAACTTTAGTCAAAAAGTCTTTTTTGATTTTAAATTAAATTAGAGAAGGAGCGATTTAATAGAAGATTTAATGCCAAATAATTTTGCTCTAAATTCTTACAAAATATCTTTACAAAATAATTACAAATAAATTTAATTAGAAAAAAATTATCGAAATCTTTAATTCTTTTTCAAAATTCTTATCCAACACGGATTGGTGCTACTTGGGAACTAGCCATTATTTGAGTTGAGACCATTATATTTCGATTCACAACCATAACTGAAGTTGACTTTTTCTCATAACCAAAAGTTTTGAATAAAGCTTTACGATGTTCAGAACTTTAAAAATAAATATAATTTCTTTAATTTTAAAGTTTAGGGAATACCTTGATAGAAAGAGGGCAGGTACTTCACATGTGGAACTCAGAGAGCTAACACAATTAATTCCCAAATTAATTAATGTTTGTGTATCGCTGCTAAAATTACTAAAAACTCCATTATCCACTAAATTATAAGCAGTTAATGAAAACATCCAACCAAAGATCTGTATTCCCATAATTATAGCTATTGACTTGAATAGGGCCATTCTTCCAGCATTAACTTAAACAAAACTTTTTTGTATTTCTATTTAATTTTAAATCAGATATTTAAATATTATCTCTGTTTTTTATTTCGTTATTTATCCTCCGTTTAACCCAGTTTGTAAATAAAAGTAAAATACAATTATTACTTAGCCCTTTCTTGCGGTCCCAAAGCACTTTTGCTATCATTATAATATAGCAGGCTAAAGTAATCCAATTAAATACCAAACAGGCAGCATGAAAATTAGTTTCTCCTTGTGCTGTGATTAGATCGCTCAGATAGCAAAGATTCGGACTTTAATTAGTTTTTTTGTAAGAATATATTTAATATAAAAATATTTACCGAGTAGGGCCTTGAGCTGTCGTAATAATTACGGTTGTGATGAAAGCAAGAGGGAACAGACTTGAAATGCCGTACATTAGGGGAGTATGGAAGGAATCTCCGCGAACGGAATACCTAATTTTTAAGGAATAAAATATTTTTGGAAAATTAAAAAAACAAACCAAATAGGGAAAAACATGCTAAGAATTCTGTCAATAGCAATCATAACCATTAACGAATAAATATTGAAAGAACCAGCTATTGGCAAAGTATCGGTTAAAGCACATAACCATAAAGGTATTTGTGTGTTTGTAATCATAACTAGCCAAGTTGGGATTATTTGAATTTTGGCTAGAACACAACAAATTGCATAAATCCCTATTAAACGATGGCATGTTCCGTTCAGTGTTCTTTTTAATTTAATAATTATTTTAAATTTGTGAAATGTGTGAATGTCTGTATTAGGAATTGCGACTCCCGAAATCAGAAATTATAATTTCCTTGAAAATTTCGATTCCCGAATTTTTCTGAAAGGCTGGAATTTCCGATGGTTTTTTATATAATTTTTTAAACTTTTTATTAATTTTCCTCAAAATTTCCACCTGTAAAGCTAATAATGTGAGTTTTACCGGTAATTATTTCTTAAAAATTCCATTGTATATTTACTGTGAATATTAAACGGAAGGAATTCTGAAGCTATTATTTACCCCAAATATAACACTACCTACTCATAATTTATCGAATATATCTTACTTAAATTTAATAGTCACATAAGCAAGTATAAGAAAGCCAGGAATTCCAAGTTGATCAACAATTGTATTTATTGTGAAGGATATCTCTTGCAAATCAAATGTCATTTTAATATATTTTTTATTTAAATTTAAAATAAACTTTTCTTAAATTAATAAATTTATATAATTTTTAAATTAATTTTGTTAGTCAAAAATTTTAATTAAAAAAATTTTTAAATGAAATATAAAATATCTCAGAATTTTAATAGGTATTTAGCATGCAAATTAATTTTAAAAAATGTTACTTAAGTTCAGATTTAATTTAAATATTTATTTCACGCAAACACGACAGTACAATCTTTAATTTTAATAAAAAAGTTTTTAAAAGCTAAATTTCTAAAAATTATGTAAAAGCTACGTTTATTAGAAAGGTGTTAAGTTAAACTTTGACATCATGCTTAAACTCGAAAAATCAGAGTGGAGTTATATCTATTAGGGAATTATACTCAATTCGATTCTTAGAGACGTGCTTTGCCTGATTTTACGATCTACCCACACTTTACTTCCCTTCAACCCGAAAATTTATTTTAATTTTTGTCCTGAATAATTAATGAATTTTAATTTTGTTGAAATAATCATCTCCATGTACTTATTCCCAAATTAATTAAACCATTAAAAGTGCTTAGGCGAAATTGACGGGATTGGGGAATTTTAATGAATATTCCCTTGTTCGAGAATCTTTTTAAATACTTAAACAAAAATACTTTAGTATATAAATATTCTCATTAAATAAAAAAATAATGTTTAAATTTAATTTTATATATCCGGAATATATTTATTATTTAAAAATATTTCCCATAAATATATAAAGTTTATTTAAATTTCAAAAAAAAAAACTTAAAAATTGAAAAAAGATATTAAAAAAAAAGGTTTTATGTGAAAAGTTTTAAATTGAAAAAAAAAATTAAAAATACATTTTTTTAATTTTTAATGTTTTATTTTTAATTTTAAAAAAATAAAAAAAAAATTTTATTTTTTTTTAAATTATATTTTAATTTAAAGTAATAAAGTTTAAAAAATTATTAACATCTCAACAAGGAAGACATTTAACCTTTAAAAAATTTTAGATTTAAATTTTGAAGAAAAAAAATTTTTTAATCGCGTGTAACAAATAAAATATTTAAATAAAATTTGTATTTAAAATTTTTTAGTCACGCTATGAAAGATAAAATGTTTCAATTTTTAATTAAAAATTTTAAAAAATTTAATTTTTAAATATAATTTTAGAGTACAATTTTAGTACAGAAAATTAAACAAAAAAAAATTTAAATTTTTACTTAAAATTTTTTTGGAATTTTGGGGTTAAAATTAATTGGATTTATCTGTGTACTTGACACGATTTTATTTTTATTTTTTGTTTGATATTTTAAATTATTAATTCCAAATGTTTTCTTCAATGCATTACGATGTTCAGTGCTGAAATAATAAAAATAAAATTCTAAATTTTTTAATTGAGAGTTTGTTTTAAACAATTGAAATTTTTTAAATATCCTCCAAAAATTAATAATAAATTTCTGGATACTCAAATTTGCCTAGAAGCAATTTTCCTTTAAATTATAATTTCTAATCAAAAAACACCTTGATATAAAAATAGCCGGAACTTCACAAGTTGAAGTTAAAGAACTAAAACAATTAATTGCTCCACGAATTAATGTTTGTTTATCTTCACTCAAATTATTTAGATATCCTTTATCAACTAAATTGTAGGCAGTTAATGAAAATAACCATCCACCGATTTGAATTCCCATAATGATAGAAAGGGATTTGAATAAAGCTACTTTAACTGTATTCACTTAAAAATTTAAAATTTATTTACTCTTCAATAATAAACTCAACAAAATATCCTTCCCATTCCTCCCCCCTCCCTTCCCTCCCTCTACTCCCCCCCCCCCAATCCCCCCTCCCCTCCTCTCTAAACACGAATAACAAATAAACTACCAACATTTCCCCTTATTTATATCCCATTTAATTTTGAAAATCATCACAATATAACAGGCCAAAGTAATAAGATTGAAGGCTAAACAAGCGTTATGAAATTTTGCTTGTCCCTGTTGGGTAATAAGCTCCTCAAGGTAGCACATGCTTTGACTGAATATATTTTATTTATTTTTTTAATTAAATTTTCTACCGAGTTGGATTCTCTATTACATTTATAATCACTAAAGCGATAAATGTGAGAGGAAAAATAATAGAGATACCATACATCAAACGGAAGTGAAATGAATTTTTTCGAACTGAATACCTGTAAAATTTTATTATTTTTGGGGGGAAATAATTCAGTCATTTTAATTTAAAGTTGAGTTAATCGGTCTGTTTGTAAAGTTAAGAAACAAACCAAATAGGGAAAAACATGCTAAGAATTCTGTCAATAGCAATCATAACCATTAAAGAATAAATATTGAAAGAACCAGCTACTGGCAAAGTATCGGTTAAAGCACATAACCATAAAGGTATTTGTATGTTTGTAATCATAACTAGCCAAGTTGGAATTATTTGAATTTTGGCTAGAACACAACAAATTGCATAAATCCCTATTAAGCGATGACAGGTTCCATGTAAAGTTCTAATAAAGTTTATAATTAATTGCTGTTTTAAAAACTATAGATAAGTATAACTCGAAGGTTCCTGGCAAATCCTTAGCAATGTAAATATTAGAGATCGGAATTTTGTTCCGTGCCGTATTCCGTACCGTAATACCGATACGGAATACCGATAAATACGGCCGTAGTACGGTACGGTCCGATCTCTAGTAAATATTCTAACAAAATCTTTCAAAACAAAATTTTTTTAACTAAAATAAATTCCTTAACATTTTCTTACAAAAATTTAAATACTACATATTAATGTTTAAAGTTCAAAACTTTTAATAATTTACTTGTATTTTATCGTCAAATAAACAATCATCAAGAAGAAAGGAATCCCTAACTGATCAACAATCATGTTCACGGTGACAGCAAAATTCATAATTTTCATAATTTTTCAATTATTCTACAACCTTTCTCGTTTTTTTTTAAATTTTTTTATTAGAGAGGAAATTAAACGGATATTTAATTTTAAAGGAAAATTAATGGTCGAGGAATAAGCAAGAAAAGTTCAAGAAAAGTATAAGCAAGAAAAGTATAGTATAAGCAAGAAAAGTATAAGCAAGAAAAGTTCAAGTTTATGTATATTCATAAAATATTCAATTAATTTACTCCAAACACCTCCACACATTCAGTTAATTTCAAGAAAAAATAAATTAATTTTTTATATTGTTTACTGTTTAAATTTTTAATTTAAAAATTTTTTCTAAGAAGTACATATATTTAAATAAAATTTTTTGAATGTTGCTTTAAAGTTTAAATTAATTTTGAGTAATTTCCAGATGTTAAATGTTTGCCTCCTTTTTCTCATTTAATCTAATAAATATTAAATTAATTTAATAAATTTGCTGTCGAAACAAAGGAAAAGATTATTATTTAGTTTAATAAACAATAAAAATTATTTAATAAATTGGTAATGGTAAAATTAGAATTTGTCTATACTTGGTAAAAAGAGGTTATTAGTGAGAGACGCTCTGTGTGGCGTCTCTCCTTTAAAAAACTATAATAAAAGTAAAAATAATACTAATTTAAGGATAAACTTTAATAACATTAAAATCTTTTAATTTATTATTTAATTTTCCCTTTTGTTAAACAAGAAGTAATATATACACATTTATCATCTTTAATAAATTTTTAAAAAGCCTAAATAATCCAAAAGTCTACATTTTTATTAAAAATTGTTTGACATTTTCCCTTCTGATTTTTCTCCATACTTTTGTTACTTCGTCTTAATGTACATGATTGGTGGTCCTTTTTAAATTGAAAAATCTCTTTACTTTTGCTATTTTCCAAAGAAAATTCATTCATCACTTTTTTACAATGAAATTTGAGTGTAAAGGGTCGATTATCAGTAGCACTCTCTGATTGAAGAAAATTCTAAAAAACAGAACATTATATGAAAGTTATCCATTCTCCCTAAATCATGTGTATGGGGACCTAATTCATACAGAAAAATTATGTGTATCGGATTAATGATCGGGCGATAGAAAAAATTCAGGGTCGAGTAAAGTTATTTTTGCGAAATTTTTCGCGCTAAAATTAACATCTTGAGCGATGTAGGCAAATCTTTGGCAAAATCATTCCATAATGGTCTAAAAAACTCGTATCGGTTTAAAAAAATGCCAGATTTCGGGAAATCCCGCGGCAACACTTGTTATGTTTATTTATTCATAACATCTCACCTCTTTACATTTTTCAATTAATTGTTCCATAATATCTTGTATAGTTCCGTGATAATTTAACATCGTTAAAGTTTTTTCATAATAATCATTGTTAAGTACTTTTTTTATTTTATTTTTGTAATGAAGCCAATTAAATAATGATTCAACATCGGGATCACTGTCCTTTATGATGTACATTTGTTCATTGTGGCCGGACCTTTAGTCAATGAACTTTGCGTCAATGACCTTTCCGTCAATAGCCTTCGTCAATAGACATCAATGAACCTTTCGTCAATAAGACTAGTTTGTAAGCGGGATTGTGGGGGAGTAAAATCGGATATATTAATAGGGAGGTGGAGACGTTTATTAGAGCTTTATGGAATATATTGAAGATTTATATCCGCCTAATCCATATGAATCCTCTGATGCCCTTTGATTCCATCATATCCCTTTGTCTCTCCTCTGACTCGCAACAAAATTTTGTTTTCATCGCGCAATTTCAGTGTTAACAGTTAAACGTCGCATTTCAGTGCCTCAGGGCCATTGACGAAAGGAATTGGCGGAAGTTTCATTGACGAAAGATTAGGGAACCGTTCTATATTGGTTCGGATATACATATTGTGGCGAAAATCATCATCAATTAATAGGTTTTGACAGTTGAGAACGACTTGATTACTTAACAATTTCTATAAAAATTGAGTTAAAAACTAGAGACCGGAATTTAGCACTGAACAGTATTCCGTACTGAAATACCAAAAAATACTGATAAAATTCAGAATTTTACCGTACCGTATTACCGACTGTAATACCGATAAATACCGCAAAATACAGAAAAATACCGATACATTTTCATCGGTACCGTATTCGGCACGGAAAAAATAAAAAAATTTATCGGTCGGTATTCCGTACCGTACTACCGATACGGAATACCGAAAATACCGTCGTAGTACGGTACCGTCCGGTCTATATTAAAAACTAAGAAAAACAAATACGAATGACAGTAAGAACTAACGGACGAGCAAAAAAACAAGCGGCCAAAAACTCATTCAATAACCTGATTTGGTATCGTTCCTATACGAATGGACACAAAAAATTTTCACCAAAAACCTAACCACAAACATACTTGATTAACAAATCTTATGTATTCCCATTTTTGGACCGTTCTGTGCGATAAAATTTCATTCTTCAGTTTCTTTCGGCACCTGAAACCTTCCGAAAGTAAAGAATCTGCGCGAATAAATGGGAAACGTTGTACCAACAAACATTTAATTTTACTGACGGAAAGACAACAAACATAACCTAACAATTATAACCTTAGTAAATTGTCCATCGCTCAGATTTATAAAGACGACATGCTTTGGGCAAACCGATTCCAGAATATTTAAATAATCAATGAATTCTTGTTCTTCTGTCTTAGATCTGATTGTTAAAATTTTGGTAAAAGGTATCAGTTTAAAACCAACGATTTTGGTGTCAAATCTCGTCGAATTGAACTCTATGAAAATAACTAGAGTTGATCAAAACGAGACCGATACCGAGACCGATACCGAGATTCTCGGCTTTTTTCCAATATCGGTCTCGGTTTTTTCATTCTCGGTCTCGAAACCGATACCGATATTCTCGGTCCATTTCTCGGCGAGAAACGATACTGACTCAAAGTAACAAAATTCTCAATATTGTCCAAGTTTTCGTCCATAATTTTTTTCGGATATCCGTCCATAACAGCGAAAGTGAATTTTTTTCGAATAAGGTCTTAAAAATTTAAAAAATTTGTGCCTGAGGCGCTGAAAAAGGAAGAAATTTAGTGACTTGGCCTTCCAAAATTTAATAAATTTTGGTAATAAAAAATGTTGAATTTTCCTATCCCTCGGCCGTTATATTTTTAAGATTTTGATTACAGAGCCTTTCGATTTTCGGCAACTGTTGTTCCCACCAGTGGATTAAGGGGATTTAAAATGATCGGAAGCAGGGATGATAGCATTGAGTTTGCGTATATGAGGGCAAAAATTGGAAGAAATCTGGCTTCATGGCATTCCAAAATTTTCAAATTTTTGTCTGCGACGCTGAAAATAGGAAGAATTCTTGCTTCTTGTCCTAACAAAACTACCAAAAAAACTACCTGTCCTAACAAAATTGGAAGAATTCTGTTGACTTGCACTTCTAAAATTCTCAAAATTTTTGCCTGCGGCGCTGAAATCAATGGTTTGTTAACCGAAATTTTCACTTCGGCCATCCGCGGATATCCGCGGATGGATATTCCTCAAAAGTTGTACGGATATAAACGGATACGGATGTCGAACTCACGTTGCCAGCGTGATCATTGCCAGCCTGATCGTATCCTGATGATGAAGAGTATTTATCTGATGATTTGGATGTGAAAATAATGAATAAATTATTTTTACACGTCTTTTTTGACATAAAATAAAAATTGTTGTTAGTCTCGGTCAGTATCGTTTCTCGGTATCGGTCTCGGCTCAAAATGGTGGTATCGGTCTCGGTATCGGGTTCTTGAGTATCGGTCAATCTCGGTCTCGGGTTGGCCGATACCAGTATCGTTTTGATCAACTCTAAAAATAACCCTGGGACGAGAAAGCGAATTCCCAACCCGTGATACACAAGCGCTCGGCCATAACAACGCAAATCCATAACTAGCTGGAAGATTTCATACCCTTTTCAATTTTTGTACCAATCTCTTTAGCTCGATGAGAAGAATTTAATACTAAATTTGTTAAGATTTAGAAATCTTGAAGAAGTTGTGGCTTTGTGTTGTTATGGCCGAGCGCCTACTTGGGCTGTACCCCTCCCAGCCCATACCAGTAGAATTATTTAGAAGTTATCAAAAGAGATAGACACTTTTTCGAATGACACCAAAATTGTGATTTTAAATTGATGCCTTTGGTTGATGATGTTATTATTCCGTGGACAGATATAGATATCACAATTTTGAAAAAGTTCAAGTGAGTGACGCATCATACTCATTACATAGCGGCGATAACGCTGAAATAGTAAAGAAGAAAAATTGTGAAAAATCTCTCGGATTCCTTGTATGGGATTTGATTTAAAAATTCCCATCTATTTTTTCCAATATTAATATTATTTATAATTTTATAAATTTTACTTCACCGTAGTTAGCACGAATATGACAAGAAGTTAAACGAAAATGCTTAGCCAAAGAGCCGTTACTTGAATTAAATGTAAATATTGTCTTTTTTCTTGTACTAAATGTCGTTTTTTTGTTTCTTCATCTCTATTTACCAATTCATAGATAAATTCGTTAACTTTTTTTATTATATGAACATTTTTAACTTGTTTTGAAATATTCAAAAAATAACTGTTGACGGGTTCAAAATTTTTAACCAAAACTGAACGTTCCAGAAAAGAGAAAATATCAATTAAAACATCACTGTCTAGACATTTTCTTAAATAAAAAAATATTATTTTTATACTTATTTAAATAGAATAAATCTAACCTTAAATGCCCTCTATCTGTGTTATCCATTTGGATTTTTAATACATAATATGGTTCTATCGATTAAACAAAAACAATGTGGGCAGCATCGTGCCCGCATAAGATGGCAAACGGGCAAAAAACCCACAAAATGGCAAAAAGGGCAAAAATTCATAAAATGCAACCTATTTTAATTAATATACATATACTTAACTACTTATTAATTTTTGAATTTTTTTGAAATTTAAAACTTTATCTAAAAATATCAAAAAAAAACATTTAAAACAATTTCTATAAAAATTCCTCCTCACAAATATCACAATCATTAAAAGAATTTTCCAACATCCAAAAACGCCCACATATTCCAAAATCAAAACAATTTCTCCAAAGCTCAATCCAAGGCCATTGACGAGTTATACGATCATTTGCTTCATTTGAATTACACTAAAGAAATTTAAAAATATACATATTTATTTTGAAGCATTTTAACTTGGTGACCTTGATATTAAAAATATAAAGCTAATTAATTCCTAAGATTTCAAAAAATTCTAGCTAGGAATTGCATTAATTTGCGTTAGGAACGCCAAAATTTTGGCGCACACCCCATTTTAGCCCCTCCCCCTAAAATCGACCCACTGCCTACGCCCTTGAAAGACTGCCTATATTAAATACCCTCACTTAAATATAAAAATTTCGCCAATTAAAAAATTAAATACATTTGGATTATAATTCATTTCAACGAGTAAAGCAAAAAACCAAAAATTAACAAAATCCAATCTTTTTTCATTTAATAATTTTGTATATTTTTCCAAGCAATTATCTAAAAATTTAAATTTAAAGAGAATATTTCCTTTAAAGAATTTACCAGCTTTTCTGCTGTGAATTGTTACAGGAATAAGTACCATCTTTTGTCGTAAATCAGCCAATTTATTTCTCAATTCCCTCTCTCCAGGATTTTTATGGTAAGCAAAAATTAGGCCGAAAATGAGAGAAACGGACGCTATTGACTAGAAAAAAATATTTTTTTTAAATTGATTTAAAATTTAGATTTTCTAAACGATCAAAGAAATAAATTTAGAGTGAGCACTCTAAATTTATTTCTTTGATCGTTTAGAAAATCTAAATTTCAATTCAATTCCAACCCTTTGGCATTCTTAACGCAATGATTTTTGATCATTTCCCTTCCAATTTTTTTCCTCATTTCGGGGGAGGGAAAGTAAACCTTACTAATTGTTGAAAGGTTTGCATTAGAGATCGGACCGCACCGTACTACCGACGGTATTTTTCGGTATTCCGTATCGTTAATACGGCTCGTAATACCGACCGATAAAATTTCCAAGCTGATTTGTATTTATCGGTATTACGGCACGGAACAAAATTCCGCTTCTAGTTTGCATGGAACAAAAAATTACATAAATTTTATTCAGAAAAATCTTCGACAAACTTTGAAAGGCTTTTCTCTAACATCCAAAGCCAAATCCTTTACTGAACCGGAATAATCATAAGCCAATCTAGTAAAATATTCTTTAATTGAAATTCTTAAGGCTTGCATCTTAAAATGAAAATTTTTATTTAAATTATTTATTCAAAATATAAGAAGGAAACTTATCCAAGTAAATTATTCTAAACATAAATTTTTAATTTAAAATATTTATTTTTAATAAAATATAACAAAAATAAATAAAATTTAAATATTTATTCATCATTTTCTTCCTCCTCATCTTCATCTCCCTCTTCATCATCAATAGTCCTTCCTGTCTTAAAATCTGAATAGGCCTGCCCAAATTTCTTTTGAATTTGATCGAAAACTGTATGAAGATCTTCAAGTCCTCTACAAAGAATATCACCAGCAGAATAACCTTTCTCGGTTTGGATTCGGATAAGAATTTTATCTTCTAGCGGATGTGGAATGTTGTAACCACAAAATTCAACTCCTGGCCTGAAATTAAAATTTTTTAGTTTTGTTATTCATGTCTTCCCCAGTGGTCGTCCCTTTACCCCTTTTCTCTATGCACTTTGGAACAATATTTCGCTTACAATCGTATTTCAAACCTAAATTTTTTGGGTAGAAACTTACAAGGAAACCTCACGAACTATCAGTCAAAACTTTGTATTTTTTGTACCAATCGAGAGCACCTAATTGTTGCAAACTTTGAAGCCCCATAACTTTTTAGTTTTATATTCCTATCCAAAGCCGGAAAATTGCTCGATTGGTACCAAAAAAATGCAAAGTTTACTGCCAGTTCGTAAGACCTTGTTAGATAAAGATTAGACCCAAAAATTAAAATTACCAACATTTGACAAATTATATGTTTCAAAGCATTCCCAATCGTATGATCTTCTTCATGTAAAACAATCGTCAACATTGTCTGGTCTGCCTTGTAACCATCAGGATCGAGAATTTCAATTTTTTCTGCAACATTTGAAGGTGGAAGTCTTGAAATTGTTGACGAATCTTGTTTTGATTGTGACATTCTTCTAATAATAATAATAATATTTATTCAACTCCAAAGGACATATAAAATACATCACTATACATGGAGGATGAAAATAGCTATTTAGTAAATGTCCCCAGCTATTTAGTAAATGTCCCCAAGTATTTGAATAAAAATTCAATTAAATTAATGGTAAAACAATCGAAATGTGTAAATGAGTTTAACCAGTAATAAATTAAAACAATAAAATCGAACATAAACTTCAAAAATGAGATTAATTTACTGAAGGCAAATGTAGTTTTAAGTCGAAATAAATAAACGATGGAATTTCGTCAATAAATAAAGTTAATCAACACTAAGTTAAAAATTTCGTAAAAAAAAATTTAAAATCGGAGGAAACAGAAAATTCATGACAGGATTCACTCTCAATTTTCCTGACAATATGCTATTCAAAAAAATCAAAAAATATATTCTTAAATTAAAAATTAGTGTTGATTAAAATTCAAAAAGAAATTCAAAATATTGGTTTTAAGAGATTTTTTATAACTGATCGAATTAAAAACTTAAAAGGAATGCAAAATATTTTCAAAAAAACTTGTCGCATCTTCAGTTTATTCATCCATTCCATTTTTGTCTTCTTCAATTTTCGGAGCCAAATAGAAACGCAGAAATCCATTACCTTCAATTTCATATTCGATAACAATAGGAACAGCATCGCTCATCGAAAGACGAACACGTGGAGAAAGCGATGACGCTTTGGTAAAGTTGGTCAACTAAAATATAAAAATCAAAAATTTTCAAGCGAAAATAAGGAAACATACATATTTAATAGAGAAGTTCAAAGTCACTTTCTCTTTCACATTGAAATCAACGCGCTTAAAATAGAAGATTAAAAGATTCATAAATCCTAAAAAACAAACATCATCATCGTCCTCCTCTTCATCAGCAGTTCGATCCTTAGAATAACTTATAGTATTAGTCACAGCATCACCAGATCCTTTAAAGACAATATTCGATTTAGTAGCAATGATCGTCATTGTGTCAGAAAAGGTTGCAATATCAGAACAAACTTTCTTAAATTCTGCTGACTAAAAAATAAAAATTGAATGACAAATTAAAAAAACAAATAGACTGCAGAATCAATAATCCAGATAGGGTTTTTCAAATTCTTATGAAAAATTATAAATCGTCATATTTCTAAATATTTATTTGCTAGATGGAAATGATCAAACATCTCATTAGATTATATAATTTGCCAAATCGGTCCTTCAAAAATTTGAGAAAGGAAATTTAGCCACAACCCCTAATGGTCCTTGTATACCGCCACTCCACCGAATTTTACAAAATAAATTTATACCGGCATTTCAATGACAGCAGAATATTTCTGATCAGGTATGCCCAGATGCTCATTATCAAGGTCCAACAATTTAAGAGTAATGTCTTGCTTCCGTCCTTTGTTATCCTCGAGTGTAAAGGTGACAGTGTCTTTCTCACCATCTTGAAATTGAATCATTAAAGTATCATCAGCCTTTGCACATTTTAGAACCTAAATTTGGAAAATTAAAATTATTTCTGGGAAAAATTAAACTTTATTAAGCTCTCCAGAATTAAGTCCAAGACTAATCGTTCGATCGCAACGATAAACATCAAAAATTCCAATTTCAAGTTTTAGAGAAACCAAAGCAACATGAGATCCATCCATTGCCTTAAAAATAATTCAATAAAATTTTTAAGAAAATTTAAAAAACCTGTAAGCACAAAGATGACTCGGAACAATCAAATGGCGCATCACTCACAAGATCTTTTATGGCTTCAATAATTTTTTTGAAAAGACCAGCGTTGGAGAATTTTGCTTCAAACATGTTCGAATTTGTTAGCTTTCTAGAAATTGAAAAATAAACAGAAAAAAAGCTTAAATAAAATTAAGAAAAAAATTTTCTTAAAAAGACGCCTAATTTTTAAAAAAACAAACGTTGTGCCAAAAAATTTAAAAGGGTCCCTTTGAGTCTCTCAACAAAATGAATTTAAAAATACTCTTACAGAATTCAGTTTAGGTGCAATTATTTCAAAATTTATTCGAATTTAAATTTTCAGATATGAGGTTTAGTGTTTTAACAGTTAGTGATTCCTCATCGCAAAATCCTTCTCTCGATAAAAGTGGTCCTTTATTAATTGAATTATTCTCAAATTCGTTAAAGTTCACCGAAAAAGCTCAATTAATTGACTACAAAATTGTGCCAGATGACAAAAAAGAAATTACTAGTTATTTGCGCAATAATTCAACAAAAGTTGATTGTATATTAACAACAGGGGGAACAGGGTTTGCTAAAAGGGATGTAACCCCAGAAGCAACAAAAGAAGTTATTGAAAGAGAATGTCCTGGAATTGTTACTTCATTATTAGTTGGAGGATTGCGTTCTACACCATTTGCTGCCTTAACTAGACTTGCAGCTGGAATTGCTGGCAATTGTCTAATTATTAATCTTCCTGGTAGTCCTAAAGCTGTACAGGAAGGTTTTGTTATATTGGAAGAAATATTACCCCATGCAATCTCTCTTTTGAAAGAGGACCTTGATGAGATTAAAAAGGATCACGAAAATATTTCACTTTAATTTATTAAAATGTTTTTATCACTAGTAAACATATCTATCATATATACCTTTTTTTAAAAAAAAGATTTTGACTCGGAATTGCTTTAAATGTTTAATATTTTTCCTGTTATTTACTTAAAAATTTCAACAAAACTACATAAAATTTAGATAATTTTCAAAAAAAAACAAAATTAACAAACTCAAGCCTTTGATTTTCTCTTGCCATTTCCAAATCTTCCTCCTTTTCCTCCGGCTCTACCTCTCCGATCCTTTTTCTTCAAATTCTCTTGTTTCCTATAATTTTGATAAGACTGAACCCGAGCCTTTTTTCGTCGATTTTTGATTATTTGATCACTGTTCCGAATTTCCATCTTTGATTTGGCTTTTGAAGTTTTAGTGGTGTTATTTGTATTACCTTAAATTATCAAAGTAAAATTTAAAATTTTCGATTTAAGAAATAACCTTTACTTTTATTCTTTCCAAAAGACTTTCTCCGTCCATTTCTTTCTCTTCTGCCATCAATTCCACCCTCTTCTTCATCTTGGAAACTAATATTTTGTCGTTGTTTCCATCTTTCATAACGTCCACTTTTATAACTAACAGGCATCCAACCACCGTCTTCAGTGCGGATCTTCTTTATTTTTGGTTGTCCACTTTCGGCACTTACAAATTTTTTTCTCTTTCGATCCCAAACATTCTTCCCACCTTTTGTAGCCATATAAAGACCTTTTTCATCATCAGCGCCCAGTTCCAAACTTGCTCGTTTTGCCATCGATTCAAACCCGCCTGAATTTTAATTTTGCTAAAAAGAATTGAAGAATTTCACCTAAATTATTGTCATTTTGCACAGAAAGCCCTGATTCAGTATTTGCATCTGTCGGTAAATAATCAACATAATTAGTTGCTTTCTCCTCAGCTTTACATCTTTCAATACTGCATTTCTGGTCATTCTTCGTTTCCTTCTTTACAGGAAGGTTTTGCTTATTTTCAGAAAACCTTCCTTTACCCCCCAAAGTATTTTGCATGGAGAAAATGGCCTGAAATCATATTGTTAGAAGAAAGATTTTAAATTTAAAAATACCTGATTTGGCCGCCAATTTCGAATTTGTTGGAGAATTTCCTGCAATCCATCTTTTCGCTGCAATCCATCTTTTAACCCATTATCACTGCATTCTTCAGCTACAAGTTTAGGGAATAAATCCTTCGACAAGAAAAATGGATGTACAAAAGGTGTTATTTGATAAAGTTCAGTTTTTACTCGTCGAATGGATTCAGCTGATGCTTGGGGTCTTGTTTTAGTGTATTTCTTCATTGCATTGTCAGCTTTTGCTTGAATATCGCGCTAAATAAAATATTACTTGAAATATTCTTATTTAAAGTTACAATTTCAATTGAATTTTGCTGTAGGTTTGAGATAAATTCAGTTTCCAAATGCGAGAAAGTGTCCGGAAGCGTGCCAATCAATCCAGAATGGTTTTCTGAAATTATATAAAAATATTTTAATTTCGGTTATTAATACCTTCATGTATATTCTTCTCCAAATCAGCTTTATCAACAAAAGCTAAAGGTTTTCCAGTAAATAGAAAAACATCGAGAGCATATGCCATCTCATCCGGTGCTATAAAAGAGATCGATGTTCCAGACATGCCTGCTCTTGCAACACGACCTAAAGAAATTAAAATTTTAATTTATCATGCTCCAAAATTAAGATAAATTTTCGAATCTCTCCTCACTCATTCTAGATTAAAGATTTCAAAACTAACCAACACGATGGACAAATAATTTGGGACGAGAAGGGAAGTGCCAATTAACCGCATAATCCAACAACGGAATATCTACACCCCTAGCTGCAATATCGGTGACAACAAGAAGAGAACATTCGGGTGTATTTCGAAATCTAAACTTAAAAGATAAAAATAAAAACAAAATAAGTAAACCTGTAAATATTCTGCTTTCGAGCAACAGGATCCAATTGACTATATAGGAATGCTGGATCCATCCCTGCTTCTTGTAGAAAAGCAACCAGTAATTCTACATGTTTCATTGTAGCACAGAAAATAATTGTCTTTTGATGTTCTCTATTTAATGCTCGACATAGATGAATCAATGCTGGTAATTTTTCATTAGCACGACAACAAGCGAAGACTGTTTTTAAATTCTCACTCAACTTTGACTCAACATCCAAACGAACTAGAAAAAATTTTTGAAATTAAGATAAAATAAATTGAGAAGGCCACGCATAAAAAATGAAATAATTTTAGTAAGGCAATGAACAAAAAAAGCAAACCTAAAACAGGATCTGAAAGCCCAGCCTTTGCAAAATCCACTAAAATTTTGGGTAAAGTTGCCGAAAACAAAAGAGTTTGTCGACTTTCAGGGAGTCGTTTAATTATTTCCTTGAAATTTTATTTATTAGAATATTTAAAAAAATTTTATAACTTTAAGTTGATCACCCAAACCGATTTCAAATAAACGATCTGCTTCATCAAACACAACATACTGAACAGCAGTCAATTTAAGCCCCATTTCCATAACAATGTGTAAAAGACGACCCGGTGTAGCAATCAAACTTTAAAAAACAGGTCGAATTCGACACAGAAAATTTAAACAGAAAATATCCTTACATATCTGGATGTTTGTGTAAAACTGCAAATTGTTCATCCATATCATCGCCACCAATCAAACATGCACATAAAAGCCCTGTATACCGACCGAGCTAAAAAATAAATATCAAAAAAGGTCTTAAATATCAAAAAACTTCTTTAACAAATTTAAAGCTCTGAAGAGCTAATTCTCTTGTTGGAGCAAAAATGATAGCTCTGATCCCGCGAGTATCCCTTTTCTTCAATTTTTGGAGCATTGGAATAACAAAAGCAGCAGTTTTCCCAGATCCAGTCCTCGACATTGCAACCACATCTGCTCCACTACAGATTTGAGGAATTGATTTACGTTGAATCGGTGTTGGTTGGCGATAGCCCTTCTTAATTATTCCTTTATAGACTGCATGATCGAGACCTTTAAATTTGAAAAAAATTAAGAGGAATAGAAAGAGCAATTACCCATAGCTTGCCATCCTCCTGCCCGCTTACTTTTCCTATTTTGATCTGCATTTAAATGATTAAAAGCTTCCTCTGTTTCAGATCCTGAAGTTTCAGCATCAATATCCATCCCGAAAATTAAAAGAATTTTTAATTCTAAAAATGAAATAGTATCAGAACTAGAGATCGGCAAAATCGCATTTCCGAGATCCCGTAACGGGGTTGAGTTTCAAAAGATCGAACGGGAGGGATCCCGCGGGATTAATCCCGGTAATCCCGATCGTCGCATAAAACCCAGAATTCGGGACGGGATCCCGTAAAATCCCGCCCAGGATCCCTCCCGGGCCGATTTCTAATCAGAACAATAAAAAACTCAATTTTTTTATTTGCGATATTGGCGGGACTCTTTTGTCCCCATGAGAGAATTTTCGCCTGCGGCGATAAAACAGAAAAAAATTTCTTATTGTGCAACAAGTTTTCCTTGTTAAATGATTCTTTAATTTTTTTGCTTAAAAAATATTGAAATCTTCACTTGCTTTCCCGTGGAAGTTTTTCTCTGTTATAAATTGTTAAATCCCTATGGAGGAAACGGCACTTTCTTTCTTTTTATTTACTCCTTTCTTTTAAAATCCCTTCAAAAAAATAAACTAACATTAAAGCGAGAAAAGCATTTGTGACAAAACCAGATGTAGTTATTATGCAATACTCGTGCAAATGAGTGACAAAAATTTCTTTGTCATAAATGGCATATGTGTTTTTATACTATGTTTTTTTTAAACTTTTCTTTTTTAAAAAAAGTTTATTCGATTTTTAAGTTTTAATTTATTAATTTTAAATTTATTTTCAAGCATTTCTACAAAAATTTTTGGACTTTTATCTGTTTATTATTCAAATTTCCAAAATGTTTGAATTAAAATAATTCCTGACTACTCATTTAAAATAAGATGGATGTTGAGCATCCACAAATAGGCAAAACTTTGTCTAATTCCACGTCAACTGCATTTTCCCCCGTACCATTTCCGGGAAATACCAGACAGCAACAAGAAAATCTTGGTAAATAAATAATCCTTAAAATTATTTTTAAACCCTTTTTCAGAATTATCTGAAAGTTCTATCCGTTTAGAAGAAGGAGAGAATTTTAATCAAATAAATGAAGATGAAATAAGAAAATCGTTGTTAGTTGAAGCAAAAAGGAGAAAATGTTGGAATTCAAAAGCTATTGAAAAAATGGTTTTTGAGGAAATTGTTCATAATTGTTGCTATCATGTAATTTTTTTTATTTATTTTTATATCGGGTGGGGGCTAACTTGAGGAATTCTAACTCACAAAACAGACATGTCGCGGAACGACAAATCACGGAATTACCAAATCACGGAACGAACAACTCACGGAATATTTTAAAAATATGAATATTATTAGCAATCAGGATTTTTCAGAATTTTTTAAAATTTTGTTTTTTAAAGTTCTAATTTTTTTTAAAGTTCAAACTTTTCAAAAAATTCCGATTTTTAAATTATTCCGTGTTTTGGTCATTCCGTGAGTTAGTCGTTCTTGATTTGGCGACTTGTCGTTCCGTGACTTGTCCGTTCCGTGAGTTTGCCCGACACGTTTATATCAATTATTTAAAAATAAAATTTTAGTATGTATTGGAAAGCTTTACTGAAACGAGGAGTACAGCGGATGCCGTTCAACCAAGTTCTTCAACAATGTCCAATTCATCTGCTCTTGTTCGTATTCGCAGCTTTGAAGAGAGCGGCTCGACTGTGGATATTTCAACAAATTCTCTTACTTCAAAAATTAATCCGACAATCACTAAAACTTTGTTTTCTGCCGATTTTGGTCACAATCCTTGGGATTTTGATGTGAAACCTGATGATGATTTTGTTAATCAGGTTTGAAGTTTAATCTTGTGAAATTGTTAAAATTCTGGTTTATTGGAATAAGATAACACCCACAATTTTTTTTCTTTACAGATTAAAATATTGGAAATGCCTAATTCTCAACGCCTTTCTACCTGCCATACTTGTAAAGGAGAAGCACTTATTCATTGTTTTCATTGTCGCGGCCTTGGCACAGACAAATGCACCTATTGTAGAGGAACTGGAATGAAAGCAGGTGTCGCACATCCAGCACTTTATACTCACCCAATGATTGGGACTTTTTCTGGGGTTTGTGTTTTAATTTTTTATTAAAATATTTATCTTTTACGACTAAAAATAAATGTTTTTAGACATAATTTCCTGTTATATTTTAAATTTCAGGATAACAGAAAAAGCGTTGGGGGAGGCATTTCTTCATCAAACAGAGGATTTCCTTTTTCCGGAACTGCAATGATCAAACCTGCACTTTTAGGTTCTCAACGTGATAAACCATATGCAGCTGGAACGCCTGTACATTTTATGGCAAAGGCTGGACTTCCTCCTCCAGGAATTGGACAACATGATTTGTGCATTTTTTGTCATGGTTAGTTTTTATCGGGAAAATATTCGTAAAAATTAATTATCTTACCTCTTTGTCATTCTTTTGTCTTACAAATATTTTGGATTTTTAACATATGTTTTATATGTGGATTCATCAAGCGGGATCCAGTCTCGTTTTTTCAAAAAAAATCGCGGCTTCAGCAAATGCTATTTAACCGCTCATTTATTTAACTTTGAAAGGTCGAGGAATTCGTGACTGTCAACACTGTAAGGGTCAAGGAAAGAAATGTTGTTTGGCATGTGGAGGAAATGGCCAAGTACGGATTTTCACCAAATTAAAGGTTGCATTTGCTGTAGAGTGTTCTGATTACTACACTCCATGTGAAATGCCTGATCATTTATTACGTCAAGCTAATGGACAACTAATTTTTACAGAAACTCGGCCTTATGTGAGTAAATTTAAGGAACTTTTGGAAATTATAGATAAGGAATTAATTTAATATACCCAACAGGGCCGTAGCCATGAGGAAAGCCAGCCCCCCCCCTTCCCTCCAAAAATCCCCTGGTACTCACAATCATTATTTTTTAAGGTCCATCCAGTTAGAAAGCACAAAATAAAAGAAATCAATGAAGTCAGCAAGCACTTTTGTGCAGCCCATTTGAAAAGGCTTCTGGATTCATGTCGCGTATTAAAGGTATTCTATTTATCACATTTAAAAATTAAATTTTAAAAAATTTTAAGCAAAGACATTGTATTGAACGGATTATGGTAGCAAAAGTACGTTTTAAGTTGGGTTCAAAATGTGGCCGATTTTTTGTATTTGGGGATCAGCGCCTTTGTTATATACCAAAAGAATCTATTTCGTCAAATTGTTCTCTTGTGTGAAATTTTTTAATAATTTAATTAGAATAGAAATTATATATTTTAGAAAACAGTTTAGAAAATTTAATCTAGTTTCTGTTTAGTTTATTTCTGCTTATTTTTTGAAATTATTCTAACTTAAAATTTATCATTAGATTTTCTATTTTGGGGTTTTTAGTTTTACAAAATGTTTTTATTTGGGCAATATATTTTCGGTTTCCCCCACCTTTTCCCCCACTACAAATTTCTTTATTGTATATTCTTTTTCTACTTGAATTTTGTGCTATCTCATTTTTTAATTTAACTTCACTAGTCCTATTTTAAATTACTTTAGTTTCTATTTTTATTTGAATCTCAAATTAATGTATTAGAAACACTAGTCTTTTTTAAATAAATCTAAAAAATTTTTATTTTTTTTAAATTTTGCGTATTGCTTGTTTTACAAAATATATTTTAATTGTAAGAATTAAAAAATGAATTGTATTTTTTCTAGAATTATATTTTAATTTAAAAACAGTTTTTAATGATTTATTTATTCTATTATTTATTTTCATTACTTCAATTTGTTATCTCAATTGATGAGCAAAATTCTTCTGATCTATCAATTAATAATACAAACAAAAATGAAGATATTCAATTAAATATTACTAATGTTGGTGGTACTTTTGGATGCCCAGCATTTTCTTCATTCAAATTTTGGGTAGCTAGACAATGCCCTCCAATGAACGACACTCGATGTATGGTTTCTCTTCCTTGTGATTTGACTATATCTTGGAAACTGAATTGTGGAACAGGTTTTTAAAAATATTGAAGGTTAATGGTTAGTGGATCTGTCACGTACTAAATTATCCTTTTGAATGTATTTTTCTTGATTCTCCGTTTTTTTAATATCAGAGGAGTGATTTTAACCTTTTGGATTTAAAAAGAAATTTGAAATAAATTAATTTTAATAATTTAGCCGATGATGTTTTACGTCCAAGAATGCAATTATTTACAGCACAGGAAATGCTCTACTTGACAAAATTGCGAGACAAGGCGTTAGTTTATAATTTTTTAGGATTTATTTAGAAAACAATTTTCAGAGGAAGACCTTGGTGCCTTCTTTCATTTTTCTTTTCACCTGATTGTATTTTCTCTTCAAAAGTGGCTGATTCATTTTATCAAATTGCTCGTTTCTATCCAAAACTTCGTGTTGTAGCAGTGGATGTTTCAAAAGGAGGCAAGGAAATGGAAAGGTAATTTTAAATAAATTTGTTTAAAATTCTGGAGATTACTCCAAAAAATATTTTAAAAAATTCGAATACCAGAAAACCTAAATTTTCTATTTAATCCATTAAAAGTTTCTTTTCTTTCAACTTCTAATTCCTAAATTTTTCAATTAAAAAAATAGTTTAATCGCTCAATATGGAATTGCCTCAACACCTGTGCTTGCAATTTGGCAAGATGGTTTGCCCAGACTTCGGCTATACGAGGACTACTCAAAATTACACACATTAATTAACGTCATTCGTTTACAGACAGACTTGAAGCCAAAAGTAATTTTTAAAAATTATGAAGAATTTAATGAAAGTGGATGTACAGAAACTGAACCGTGCAGACAAGAATTTCTCTCACGTTTTAAGTATTTGCAAGCTGAACTTGGCTTTGATTGGTTTCCTTTAAATTTTTAATAATTTTTATTTCCTTTTTAAGGTATTTATTTGTGGCATCTATCACGTGTATTTTGAATATTACATATTTTATATTATTTTCAACGAAAGGAAGAGAACTTATTCGACAATATTTTCCAAGGTTAAGAAATTTATTTGCATCCTAACTTGTAGGCTTTAATTCTGTTTTATTTATGTGACTAGGGTTGCCGGCCCGATTAGGTTCGATAGATCGAACCGGGCATTGAATTTTGGTCCGAAAAAGACTCGACCGGTCCGGCCCGAAAAAATGATGTCCGAAAAATATGACTCGAACGTCGGCCCGGTTTTATAACGGCAACCCTATATGTGACTATTAATTTTTTTCAATACAATATTTTTGATATATTTATTTGTAAATAAAATATATTTTATTAGAAATAATTTACTATTAGAAAATTTGTTTTTTTTCAATTTTAATACCTAAAAGGAATAATTGAAACCCGAAAAGTTATTTGTCGAAATATTGACATGGGACTCAGCTGGCTGGACTTAGTTGTTCCTCAGCCAAATCCTTTGAAGAATAATTTTTAACGAAACGATTGTCTGTCAAAAAAATTTTTAACGTTAGACAAAAGATCAGAAATTAAGTTCGGTCAATGTAAATAGTTCTGCTTGCCTTTTTTTAGAAATTTTTCTGATTTTTAATTTGTTTCGGTAATTTAGAATAACTAATTAATTTTTATTATATTTTGTTTTAATAAAGAAAAATAACATTGTACAAATGAGCACTTCGTCGAACAACGAGCTTTGGTTAATATCTGCTCCAGGTGAAACTACACCTTTAGAAACTTGGGATCGTTTACAGCAAACAACACAAAATTTATCTGTCAACAGTAAATTTAATATTCCTGATTTGAAGGTTGGTTTTTGATTTTTTGAATTGATTTTAAATTTTGTTAAATTATAAGAGTAATTGATTGTTGGAAAAATAATTGTTTTAACATTTACTCAAATCTTGTTTTTTAAAAACAAATCACTAGTAGAATAAATATTTTTGTGGCAATATTTGAAGCTTAAAATTTATATTTAAAGGTTGGCACTTTGGATCAATTAGTTGGTCTTTCAGATGATTTAGCAAAATTGGATACTGCTGCAGAACAGTATATACTTATTTTTAAATTATTTAATTTTTTTAATTTAGGACAACTAGAAAATTAGTTCAATATTTCTCTGAAGTGTTAGAAGAAGAAAGAAATAAATTGCAAGAGAATTTGGTTATTGGAAATAGTTTGTTTTATTTTTTCCTTTTAAATAAATTTTCATCTTAATATGAATTTTTAAAATCCAGATTTGAATTATTTTAACGAAGAAAATTATTACAACGTTAAAGGGTTTAGGATACATTGTCCTGATTTTAAATCATTTGTAAAGTCGTTAAGGACTATTTTAACTTTCTCCATCACATTGTCTTTTGGTTAAGTGGTTTATGTTTCCATCGCACATAGTTGATCCCGGCAATTCTTTAGGTTAATTGTCGGTTCGTGAAATGTGCAAAATTAGATTAGTCATTTTCTCCGTGAATCCATTGACAATTTTCCAAAGGATTGGATTCTCCTAATGAATTGGCACATTTTAGATTTTTTATTATAAAAACTTATTTTTAAGAATTAAATTCAAAATTAATTTTTAATTAACAGAGGATGTCCACACTTACGTAACAAAATTTCGATGGGAAGCTGCCAAGTACCCTGTTAAACAATCGCTTAAAGTTCTTTCTGAAATTATTGGCAAACAAGTAACACAAATAGATAATGACCTCAAAACGAAGGCTACAGCTTATAATAATTTAAAAAATACACTTGCTTCTATTGACCGAAAAGCAGCGTAAAAATATTATTTTTAAATACATTTTTTATTAAAAAAATTATTTTTAGAGGTTCTCTAGTAACTAAAGATCTTTCGGATATTGTCAAAGCTGATAATTTTGTTCTAGGCTCTGAATATTTACAGACTGTTTGTGTTGCTGTTCCAAAGTTTGATTTTAACGATTTTTTTAATTTTTAAAAATATTTTTTAGACTTCAAATAAAAGAATGGGAAAGTAGTTATTTTACTTTTGCAAATATGGTTGTCCCTGGGTCAGCTCAAAAAATTGTTGAGGATCAGGAACATGCTCTCTATACTGTTACTTTATTTAAGGTTTTTTTAAAATTATTTTTTAATCTTTTTTTTTTAATTTACAGAAAGTGATAGATGAATATAGGGCAAATTGTAGAGAACAAAAGTAAGAAGAGAAATTTTATTTTTTTATTAATTATTAAAATAGATTTATTGTTCGTGATTTTGTCTATGATGAACAATCATTAAAAGCTGGTAGAAGTGAAAGAGACAAACTTGTCCAAGAAAAACAGCGTTTATATGCTCCTTTGGTTCGATGGCTAAAAATTAATTTTGGAGAAATTTTTTCCGCTTATATGCATGTTAAGGCTTTGAGAGTTTTTGTTGAATCTGTTTTGAGGTTTTTTGGGGTTAATTTTGAAAATATATTTTTATTTAAAGGTATGGACTTCCAGTTAATTTCCAAGCAGTTTTAATGGAGCCGTTAAAGAATTCACAAAAACGATTGAGAAGTGAACTTAATAAACTTTATCTTCATTTGGATGGATCTGCTAGTGGACCTATAGAGGTAAATTAAATTATTATTTTTGTTTTCGAAGTCTTTTTGACGTCTAAAAATTAGTTTTTTTATGAATTCTCTTTTACTTTATCAAAATCTTTAATTGACTGCCCTTGATTAGTTGAAATTTAGGAGTGGAGCTAACTCGAGGAATTTCAACTCACGGAACAGACAGGTCGCGGAACGACAAGTCACGGAATGACCAAAACACGGAATATTTCAAGAATATTTTTTTCCCGTGATCTGGTAATTCCGTGACTTGTCGTTCCGCGACCTGTCTGTTTCGTGAGTTGGAATTCCTCGAATTAGCCCGACACGGAAATTTAGACTATTTAATATTTTGAAAATCTAATCATAAACAAAAAATTTTTATAGACATTTGATGATGCTCCAACTCTTGTTTCATTGGGGGTTCATGATTATTACCCTTATGTTTGGTTTAGATTAAATATAGACTTTTTAGAGAAACGGTTGTGATGAAATGAAAAGATATTAATAAATATTCCTTTTAAAAAATAATATTTTTTATTCCAAAATATATAGAGAATTAATTATATGCTAATTAGGGCATTAAACATTTAATTTTTTAAATAAATTCTTTTAAAAATATTTTTCGAAATTTTCTTTTCCAACAGTTATTTTTATTTATTTTATTTTTCCTTCTCAAAAATGGAGTCAGATATCATTAGAAAATAATGTAAAGGAGAAAGAAATTTGAGATAAAATTTTTAGTTTGATGGTTGGGACTGCTTAAAGAACGGGTATATGTACTCAATTGGAAGGAAAGAGGGAGAGGGGTAATTTATTTTGTATGGATAGAATTTCAATTTTTTCACCTTTTCTTTTCCACTTCGAATGGGGAGGGGGGGGGGGGGTGAGTGCAAAATTTTTTATTTTTAAACTTTGTCAAAATTTGGAAAGATTTTAATTAGTAACGCGTAAGAGATTTTTATTAGATTTGGTGCCTGGTACCCCCGAAGAAAGATGTAGTGTTTAGCAAATATTTGGCTTGCAGTTAGGAATTAAGTCAAATATTTTATAAAATTTTCCCGTTTCTGTTACATAATTATGATAATGGTGTTACTTTGGTTTAGACCTCCCCCCTTTTTTCCTGACTCCTCGACCATTTTGAGCTTTTTTGTTTGATCCATAATTTATATCATTTGAATGAGCTCTTTGAGATAGGTCGAATGATACCGTTATTGGTTAGATTTGGCGATTCTGAGCAAAATCATGAAGCTGAATCTTCGCTAGAAATTTTTGTCACTGCTAAGTCGAATAATAAATAATTTGCTAAAAAAGAGATCAGATGCCGCAATGGTAATCAGGAGAAAAGGGTCTAACCCAAGATATTACAATGTTTACCCGAAGTATTGCAATCATAGAGTTTTGCAACCATCGCAGTTTCTCAAATTCCCTAAGAAAAATTGTGGCAAACTGAGTGTAAATTGTAAATTAATAATAAATTTGTAAATCTTCGTAATTTACAAAAACCCACTCAAAACTTTTTCGGTATTTTTATTTTTATAAATACAACTGTTGCTCTTTATATTTTGAAAAAATTACTGAGTAGTTTAGTATAACTTTTTCATTTAAAAATAAAAAAAAACAAAATTTCATTTGATCAGTGCTGATTTTCAACAAGGAAAAGAATTTTGTTTTTGCGCTGAAATTTTATCCCATAGCAGTTTCTCAAATTCCCTAAGAAAAATTGTGGCAAACTGAGTGAGATGCTGAGTAATTCGATCCAAGGCATCACACACGGAGAGAAAGAAATCCCCCGCATCACCCTTATATTACTCACATCTCGGCTACTAGCAATCCCCATTTTTATGCACCGAGAGTCCAATTCCCATCCTAGGATCTCCTTTACCACAGTCACTACTTTCATCTTCAACACTTCGTTCGTTCATTTGCGCCATCAGCAATAGTTTGAAATTACATATCGTTTTCCTTTGGTGGTGGTAATTGTAGAGGAGGGAGGAGTGGTATCCATCTTACTCAAGATATGGGGGACTTGTCTTATTTTTGTTATTTCAGCCTTTTCTATTTTGACTAAGAAATTTTTTCTCGGTTACTAAACAAAAATACAAGGAAAAATTATTTAAAATTTTGAAATAAACTTTAATATTAACTCAGCCTCATTTAAGTTTATTTTATACATATTTCTTTTAATCTTTCCTAAAAAATGCCTACAAAAACAACAACTAACAGAAAACGGAGTGCAGAGATTTGTCCTCATCCTCCTCATTTATTAAACAAAAGGTATTGGGAGGAAGCTAAAGCAGGAAAAGCACGTTTGCCAAACAAATCTGGTAAATTACCTAAATTTATGTATTAACAACTTTTATTACTTCTTAAGGTCCTCAAAACGTCTGTACAAAAAAGGAAATTCCTTGTAATTCTCGAAATGAGGTAAAAACGCGTTTTGAACTCCCAATCTCTACTCCAAAAATTGCTACAAATCCTTTGGATGTCAATTTCTTAACAACTTCGTCTACTCTGTCTGACAACATTGCACTAAACATAACTCCAAAAAATATATTAAAACCAGCAAATTATAATAATCAAAGTAACATTTCTCCCTCAACAAATATCCCTCCTCAATTTGTTTCTGTTCCTTCATCTCTCCCCCCATTTCCCTTTCGACTTCCAATTAATTCTAAAGAGACAACACCTCCAAATTTTGAAGAATTAATGAGGACAGCACCCCCACCACAATTTAATTTTCAAATGTTTCCACCCCCACCACTACTTCCACCTTCCTTTCATTTTCCTCCATTTCCACCTCCAGGATTTTTTCCCGAAAATTCAATGTTTCAACAAGGAAATTCTACAGGACTTTTACATTCATCCCCTCCTATATTTCAACAATTTCCTCAATTTTTAAATGAAAAACAAAATTTTAATAAAAAAGAATCTACAGCATTAACGCAATTAATGGAAATATTTAATCAAAAAGAAACAGCTAAAGAATCAACTAGTCAACAACAACAAAGCTTAAATGATTTTAAACAAATTAGTGGTAAAGAACAAAAATTACTAAAATATTGGTGATTTTATTAAGTATTTTTTAAAAATTTAATTTATTTACAGCGATTCTGATGAACAAATTGACCAAATGTTGGATGAAATGGTTAAAAATAAAGAAAAAATATCAAATAAAAGAGAGAAAAATCTTTGTATTTTAACATTACCAGTACCTATTCCTATAATTGTTCCAGTAACTAATGATTTTTTATTTAAATATTTTTCTAAATAATTAATAGTTAATTGTAAAATAATTTTATTTTTTAAACGAAAAATTTTTAAAACAAAATAATTTGGCTTATTTTTTAAAAATAATCTAAACAAACATTTTAAAAATTAAATTAAACAAAAATATTACCGAAAACCAAAATTAAAATTACAAACAAAAAAAATTTTGGAAAGGGAATTTTAAAAAGAAATTAAGCTAAAAGAAGTTTATGGCCAAAATGTGTATATTTTTTTACAAAAACTAATAAATGAACGCGTAAAAATATTCATTTTTTGGATTTACTAACGTTCATTTATTTGTTTTAGACCAATAGGTGTAAAGTAGGGTTGTTATCAACTGGTTATTAACCGGTACCCCCAGTTTTCGATTAATCTAAATTATAGAAACCCGGTTTTCGGTTTTGAGTTTTAGGTAAATACCGGTTTTTTGGGGAATTTCAAATAAAATCACTCATTTTCACAAAGTTCCGGTTTTAAAAATTTTCTAAAAACTGTTAATTTTTGTCAAAAAATTTCAAAAATTCCGGTTTTAAAACCGGTCGCCAACAACCCTAGTATAAAGTTAAAATTAAGGGAAATTCTTAAAATGAGAAAAAACAGTTTCAAATTAGCCCAATATCAAAAAAATCAAAATTTTAATCTACACCTATTGAATCAAATTTTTATAAAATAAAAAAATTTCCCCTTTTTAACTTCGATGTTCCTTACTGAAAACAGCAGTCCTCAACGCATCTTCAGGATGTATTTCTAAAAGTACTTCAGCTCCCCTATTAAATGGCATTGATGTAGACCCGTCAAGAATTAAATGTGCATTTTTACAACGAGACTACAAAATTTTAAAATTTAAATTAAAATTCAAAAAAATTTTTTTACTTTAATTAAAATTTTATTTGCAAATCCCCGAATAGCCATTTTTGGAAATGTTGCATTAAAAACAGGATCGCGAACACTAAATGCCATTGCTAGAAAAATAATTTTAAAAATATTTTTAAAAAATTCTAAACTTGTTAATTCTGGCCCAAATCTCAATTTCTCATTAAATTTACGACAAATATTCTCTATCATTTCAGCATCTACCACTTGATCCAATTTCAATCCCATTTTATCTATTACAGACAAAACTTCTTCAATTGTTTGTTCGGTCATTCTGTTTATATTAAAATGCCTAAAATTAAAAATAAAATAATTTTTAATTAATTTCATCACCAAGATGATGATCCAGTGCCTGTACAAATTGTCATTCCTGAACTTTTTTGTTTAGTCATTGGCCCATTGTCAACTTGTACATCATAATAAGAAACCTATAAAATATAAAAATAATTTATGATAATTTAAATATTTACCCGCGCTGCATGACTTTCACCAATGAAAACTTCATTAAGTGCCAACCAACGACTTGTAATAAGATTTGAATCACGTGTTGTATTTATTTCTTGATCCTCATCGTCCGAACTATTAAAATTTTTTTTAAATGTAAAAAAAGATGTTAAAAATAATAAGGCATTAAATAGGTGCAAGACTCAAAAGAAAACACTCGAGAGGTAAACACGTGATTTTTAGTGAAAAGAAGGGGCGCCGAACTTTACGGATTCAAATTTGCGGACCCGAATTTTGCGAATCTTAGCAACTTTAGGGTCCCAAATTTCGGGTCCGCAAAGTCAGCGTCACCGGAAAATGAGTATTTTTTCTCGTTAGAATTTTTTAAATTCGGATATTAACAAATAAATTTAACGCTCAAAATAAAAATACCTGAAAATAGTTTTTCGCGAGTTCTCCAAATTTGTTTCATCTGCATTTTCCTCTTCGGCAATATCTTCAGCTGTGTGAATATGTTCATCATTCACACTAGGTTTAACAACCCCGTTTACTTGATTTTCTTGTTGTTGTTGAATTGAAGAAGAAGATGAGGGAGAAGGAGAAACGCCGTTCTCAAAACCAAAATTGAGAAAAGTTACACGAATTCTCTGCCGCCAGAGCCAACGAAAACCAGGCAGAGCAGCATCCGCTAGGAATTGACGAATTACTTCATCGGCAGGATGTCGAGATTTGCCAGTTAGGCAGAGAAAACCTTCTGATCTAATAAAAATTTATATTTGAATATTAGATTTTAAATAAATTTACCCAATCGGATCGGTGTTTATACCAATAACAGGCTTGTTTGAGTTAATCACCCTTTTAGCAGCAGTCAAAAAAGTACCATCACCGCCAGCAGAAATAATCAAATCACCCCAATCAACAAATTCATCGGAATATTGACGACGCTTGACAACTCGGTATTCAATGCTGTGACGCCTAAAGTATGAAATTAAGTGTAATACTTGCCAAAAATTAGTCTAATTTTGTATTTTATAATTGGAATAGCTCAGAAATTAACTAGGTAATACTAAGGCATACAGACCCGATTTTTTCCTCCCCAATTTCCCCGTATATTTTTACAAAATGGTCAGACTTTTTCCTTTCTTCCATGCAATTCTGACCATTTTGTAAAAATATAGGGGGAAAATTGGGGAGGAAAAAATCGGGTCTGTATGCTCCAGTATTACCATTAACTCTATTAAAGATTTGTTTTTAAAGCGGGTATATAAAAATTAAAATAATTTTTATTGAAATTTTACAAGCGGTCATTAAATGCAAAAATTCTACTTACTCAAGTTCTTTAGAAATAGAAGCAATATATTGTTGCTGCTGATCATGCCTTTGCTTGAGATCAACAGCACTTGAATATTTCTTGCCCAACTAAAAATATTATATTAAAATAAATACAAAAAATAACCTGAGTGATTAATTGTTGATCATCAAATGATTTAAATGGCTTTCCAAGTTTTTCAAATTCGTATTCAAGGAGGGAAGATTTTGAGACAATAACTGCTCGCTTTGGCTAAAATTTAAGATAATTTTTTGTATTAAAACAGAATTTAGGGTAATACTTCGCCTGACGCCCTCCCCTCTTCCTTCCTGTCTGCTTGACCATTTTGAGCTTTTTTGCTTGACATATAATTTTTTTTATATATCATTCAAAAGAGCTGTCCGTGTTGGGTAGATTGATATCATATAATTTGTTATAGAAAATGAGGGGGGCAGCAAGTATTACCGAATTTAAATTTCAAAAAATTTGAACCTTAAAAGGATTAAAAATATCTGTTTCGTTCCCATTTGTACTTTTTAGTTTTTCATCACTTTTAATTTTCATTTCATCAATTCTAGCACTTGAGTAGGCAGAAAAACGAAATAATTTAAGTGAAGAAAAAGAAGCTCTTTTTAGACAAGAAAAAAATGAATTAAATGTAAAACCGTCCGTGGTTGTTGTTGTTTAAGTAATGATCGCTGTTAATTTTTAATATAATTATTACAAATAAACCAGTCAGTAAATGAATGAATGAACTGAAAAATGGGATGATAAATTATAATAAAATCAATTAAAAAAAGGGAATTGTCTAAATTTTCTGGCAAATATAAAACACGTCAAGTAAAATAGAGTTTAATAGGTTATTGGAATTATATAGTTAACAAAAAAGAACGCGTAAAAGATCAAAGGCCATAACAAACACGAACATTTAACAAAAGAATTAAAGAAAAATGATAAAAAGGGTACAACCCAAAACGGCGCGAGCCATAACGGCGCAAAGCCATAACTAGCTGGAAAATTTCTGACCCTTATTAGTTTTGGTACCAATCTCTTTAGCTAGATGATTGGACTTGTTTGATACTAAATTTGAAAAGATTCGGAAATCTTGAAGCAAGTTATAGCTTTGCGCCGTTATGGCCATGCGCCGTTTTAGGCGTGTCCCAGAAAAAATGATAAAAAAAAGCCGAATTCGTTGAACAAGACTGTAATGGACTGTTAAACTTCTAACCAATTGAGTCTCTTTGTCAGATAAAGTGCAAAAAATTTTTTTTAACGAAGTAGGACATTTTATTGAGTGTAAATAGTTCGATTGATTTTATCAATTGAGTTTATCATTTTAGAGTTTTTTAAGTTAATTTTTTTGTGCCACATAGACTATTTTTCTAAAATGTCTGTGACAGCTCCAGTTTCAATAATTTCACCAGTCGCAGAAGAGGACGGCGAAACTCAACAAAGCTTTGAAATATACAAAGATAAATTGGAATCAATATTGTTAGATCCAAAAATTGCTGATAAACAAGTTTCCTTTAGTAATTTTTTCACCAACAAAAATTCTTTAGGTTTGTGTTGTCAGTGTTGCCGGTGCTTTTCGAACTGGAAAAAGTTTCATTTTAAATTTTTTCTTACGCTATCTACGATGGAAGACATGTGCTAGCGATGATGAATCAGAAACTGATTGGCTACAAACAAATTTAATTAATAGCAATGAGGGCAATAATGGGCAATTAAAAGGTTTTAGTTGGCGTGGAGGTGATGACCGGGAGACTAGTGGAATTCTTATTTGGCCAGAACCTTTTATCTTACAGGACAAGCATGGAAATGAGGTTTGTTGTTATATTTTTGTAATTGACTTAGCAAGTCCTATCAAGAAAGCAGACCCTAGTAATCTGTTGGCTTGATAGGGCATTTTTCTGCGAATTCTTAACTTATAATTTTTTGATTTCTAATTTTTATTCCCATAGATTGTTGTGATTCTAATGGATACGCAAGGTATTTTTGACTGTGTTAGCACAGTTAAAAGTTGCGCCACAATATTTGCACTTTCTACAATGATTTCTTCTATTCTTGTGAGTTTTTCAAATTAATTGATATGAATCTTTGTTTTTGAGATTACTAATCTAGGCGACATTTTTATTTTAATTTCTAGGATACACATCTTTATTCATCTCTTTTCAGATTTATAACGTTACCAAAACTATCCAAGAAGATCATCTTCAACATTTACAGCTTTTTGCTGAATATGCTCGTCTAGCTATGGATGAATATCAAGAAACAAAACCTTTCCAGGTAATTATTTTTGATTAAGCTAACATTTAAAAATGTTTTTCAGACTCTTATGTTTCTTGTTCGTGATTGGTGTTTTCCTTATGAAGCAGAATATGGAATTAATGGGGGTCAAAGAATTTTGGACAAACGCTTGGAAACAGGTGCAAAAAAACACAAAGAGCTACTACAACTTCGACTACACATCAAATCAACTTTTGAAAATATTAAATGCTTTTTGATGCCCCATCCTGGGCTTGATGTGGCTACTAGTCCAGACTTCCGCGGCGAATTGAATAGTTGGTTTTTTCTTTAAATTTTTTTTCAGGGTGCGGCAAATTTTCCGCCACTTTTATTTTTGATTATTTTTGAAATAACACTCCACTTTTATTTCCACTTTTATTTTGACATAACACTCTAACATCAGAAAATCGTTAATACTGAAATATTCTCTGAATTTTATAAATTAATATGATTATTTTTTGTTTAAATTTTTGTCAAAACTTTTTGGACCAAAAGTCGTCTGAATTAAAAGACGTATGTCTGATATGGGAGAAGTTTATATCATTCGAATAAGCTCTTTTAGCTGATTTGAATGACGTCAAAAGCTTGTTTTTGAGCTAATGTAAGATATGGATCTTTGAATGAAAGATTAGGTCGGCTATTCTAGATCACTTTAGCTATGATAACCGACAAGTACCGCTACATTAAAACTAATTTTATGTATTTTAGCAATCAGCGCAGACTTTAAAGCTCAATTACACGCACTGGTTCCTCATCTTTTCGATCGTAACAATTTAGTTGTTAAAGCTATTAATGGACAACAAATTACTTGTCGTGAATTGTCTGTCTATTTAAATGTTTGTTTTATTGCGAAAAAATTTTTAATTAATTTATTTTAGGCTTATTTCGAAGTATTTAATGGAACGGAATTGCCTGAACCGAAAACTATATTAGCTGTAATTTTTTAAAATTAATTTTTGAGATTTATTTCTTTTTTAGGCAACAGCAGAAGCAAATAATTTGGCTGCTGTAGCAAGTGCAAAGGCTGTTTATTCAAAAGAAATGGAAGAAGTTTGGAATTTAAAATAATATTTTTTAAATTATTTTAAGGTCTGTGGAGGTGATACACCTTTTATGAGCAGTGCTGAACTTAATCAACATCATGAACGTTGTCGTGCCAGTGCTCTTCTTTCATTTAACAGTGCAAAGAAGATGGGTGGCCCCGAATTAACTTCTCAATTTCGAGAAAAACTTGAGGAAGATATAAAGGTTGATTAATGAATTAATATACATATAATTATTTTTAAGTCTGCAAATGAGGCTTTTATTCGCGTCAATAATTCAAAGAATTTATTTAAATCTGTTAAAACACCAGCTGTTCTGGTTTCATTTATGGTCGTCTGCTATATTTGTAAGTTTCTACTGTCTATTAAAGATTTGTTTTTTGGGTTTGAATGTAATTTTAATGAGGTTTAAAAAATTAGATATCTTCACCCTTACATATATTTGTCGTAAAATTTTTTTGTCAAGTTAAAAGTTATTAGGATTTTTAACTTCTTAAAATTTCTTAATTGATTAATTTTTTTCAATTTCTAGTCCAAGAATTTTTCCAACTTTTGGGTCTTTTTATGGTGGCTTCCGTTTTCTCTCTAATTTTGACAATTGTTATTGCTCTCCTTGTGACTTGGACATATTCAAGATACAGTGGACATTTACGTGATGCACAAAAATCAATTGATACTTTTGTTTGAATTTTGAAATTTAATAAAATAATTTAAAATTTAGGTTAATTTTGTGCATGGAAATTTTATATTACCGACATTTGCAACTGCAATGGGTAATGCAACACTTGACTTGGCGGTATGTTTTCGTTGTTTTATATACACGGAGTAGCAAGGCGTATGTGGTGGAGGACTAGAGCCCCCCCCCCTCCGAAATGGGGAAAAATTGAAAGTATGATCGAAAAACTGAAATTTTTTCGTCTATAACCTTCAAAATTAAAAAAAATTTTGCGGCCCTCTCCACTAAACCGACCCCCTGTATACGCCCTTGCTTGGTAGTTAAAACTTGGGTTTTGGGGAGTGTGCTTATTAAAATATTTTTTGAAAAATTTTTTTTTGTTATTCAAGATGGGCTCGAATAGTACATTTACTATGCCATCGAATTCTACTTCATCTACCTCTGAGGAAAAAAAGAAAAAATGACCAAGTTGAGAGATATTTTATGCCTTTACTCTTTGTGTGCTATTACAACGCTCTTACACTATAAATAGTAAACACATTTTTAATTAGCCCAATAATTTATTTAAATTTAATTTCTAAATTTTTTGGTTATTTCTAAAAATCTTTTTGGGCTAGTTTTTTTGTTTATTTTATTTTTTTTATTCGGAAACCTTTTTAGACCCATATACGGGATTGTAGGAAGAGGAAAGAATTAGCATTTAAATATTTAAAAAATGTAAATTTAAAAATAATTTTTTCTTTAAATTTAAATTCCTCTTCCAATTAACTCCGGATTCTGATGTTTTTGAAAACTTGTTTTTATATACAAAATCTTTACAACAAACTTTTTGATAAAATTAATTCGTTTTTATACTTTAATTATAAAATAAGGTAGAAAATGATTTTCTTATAAGGGACACGATTTTTTTAATTTTTTAAAACATAAAATAAGATATCAATTTAACCTTATATTGGTTTTGTGGGAAAAAAGGAAGTCTAAAAATTAGACCTTGAGAGTAGGGTTGTCGGTTTTAAACCGAACCGAAAACCCGAATATTTTCGGTTTCGGTTAAGCGAAGAATAGGTGAAACCGACAACCCTACTTAAGAGCATAAGTTTTATCAGCCATCTATAAGAGAATGTCCCCTCTCATAAAATTCATTCACTAATTTTTTTGCACAAAAATAGGCAGAAATCTTTTATTATCTTCTTATTAATGACAGGAATTAAGTAAAAATATTTTATTTGCTTTAGTAAGCAAAAACAAGCCTAGCAGTAAAATAAAAATCCAAAATTATTTTTTATATTTTATTCTCTACTTTTAATTCACTCATTGAATGGTAGGGAGGGAGGGTAATTATGGAAGGATATTTCCTGCTTGCGTGATCGAAAAGCTATGGATGTGTTTATTTGTTTCTACTTCTACATTCATTCAGTATTTAAATATATTCTCTATTGTTATTGTGGGTCGAGTGATGTTGTGAAAAGTGTGTGAGTATTTCAAGTTGCCTTTGGCGCGACTTTCACTGTTAGAATTTTACTAGTGAAAATCCCACACAATTTTAGTAACTTGTTTTGTACTTAAAATAATTTAAAAATATGGAAATCGATGATTTTTAATTATTCTACTTGAGTCTTTTTTCATAAATTTGCTTAATTTTAAGGATTTTTATATTTTCTGATTGATATTTAATAAAAAAATTATTTAAAAGTTTCTCAGTTAAAGATAATAGTCAATTTAAATTTAAGTTCTTAATCCCTGTTTTCTAACTCCAAATTCTTCTAGTCTACAATTTTATATGAAAATTAAATTTAAAATATTTAAATTAATATTTATTATATTTATTAATTTAATTAATTCATCAAAAGATGAGGAAATAATAATATCCTCAACTATTTCATCCGATAAAATTAACCCTGTTAATGAACATGAAAGTAAAGATGATGAAATTTTAGATGGAGAATGTCCAGGTATTTAAATTAAATGAATAAAATTTAAAAATTTTTGTTGCCTTCTCCAAAAGTCTCCCCCAACCTGTGTTTTAGCTACATTCCCTTCTTTAAATCTCAAAAAATATTCATTTTATTTTTCTAATTAAAAATTTTTTTAAATTTTTAATTAATATCCTCTCTTAAAGTAATAAATATAAACAAAAATATACAACAATCAACAACTGATTGGTGTCCCATACAATGTCTGAATGATTTGGATTGTTCTGAATTACCTAATAGTCATTGCTGTCCAAGTGAATGTGGAGGGTGGAAATGTATATCTATTAGTACTAAATTAATTTCTCCTTCTCCTCGTCCACCTGTACAAATCCAACCTTTAAAAAATAATTTATATATTCACCAATTAAATGAAGGAAGGAAAAATGAAAAAGAAATTAAAAAAGGAGAAGAAGAACAGGGGAATATTGAAGAAGAAAGTTCTCCTGTAAATTCTATTTTACTTCGTCCAAATATAGAAAATCCTTTATTAAAATGTGAACTGATTAAGTAAGTTTATTTAATAATAAAATTTTGTTTTTAAATGAAAGACAATTATAAATTACTAAATAATTATAATTTAATTAAAAAAAGAGAAGAACAAGAGATGCCCTTCTATACCTTCTATCTTTGATCTTAAACATTTTTTGATCTTTAAAAAGTCTCCTATCATTTGATAATTTTTTAAAATACAGACACCAGTTTCTGATATTAAAGTAAATTAAATTCTGGGTTTGTATTATGGGAGAAAAGTTGACAAATATTTTTTGAGGTAATTATAAAATGCCTTAAAACTTGAACTAAAATGATATGCCATTCTATCTTTAAAATATTTCTGTTATTGTAAAAATTTTAAAAATTAATTTAGAAGTTATTATTATAAAATTTAGATGTGTAAATCCTTTATATAAATGCCAACTTGTCGAACTAGATTGTTTAACAATTCCTTGCCCAACAGTAGCAAAATGTAAGTTAAATTTTAGTAAATATTTCTTTAACAGTCAATTACTTTGACGTTGAGCTTAAACATTTTTTGAAAAATTTTTTTTGAATTCTTTTCAATTTTTAGGTTTATTAAATCCCTGCCCTAACGGTTCTCCAATGGTTATGAGTAACGGTGTTACCGCTCTCTGCAAAATAACCCAACAATGTTGGGAGGGGTATTGGTGCCACAAGGCAAGATTATTTTTATGATTTGCCAAAACTTTTTTTTATTAAAAATTTTCTTTAAAAATTCCAGTTTTTTTTATTTATTTTTAATTGTTTAGAGCTATTCTCTTTAAAAGCTTTTTCTTCTTTTAAGGAAAAAACCTGAAATTATTTTTTTAATAAACAAAAAAAATTCAAAAATTTTCTCAGATTGGCTATAATGGACTAGGTTTTTGCTGTCCAGAGCCAAAAAAGCTTTCAAAACCGGGTAATTGCCCTTTTAAAAAATCAACACCAGCAAATTTATATTTAAATAATAAATGTCAAGCAAAATGTAAATCAGACGAAGATTGTTTTGGAAAGGGAGAGAAATGCTGTTTTAATGGGTGCGGGCTAAATTGTTTTAAATTAAATAGTGAAAATGAAGAAATTGGGGGATTGGAAGGATTAAATGAAGATAAAAATGAATTTGTTATACAAAGGCCAACACAGGTGCGAGTGTTTTAAATAAAAATTAGTTGGGTTATTTTGTGGGTATTCTTACGAACACATAAATTGCTATATAGTTTTTAATATACCGAAGTTGGCCCAATAGAGGCATTTTTATTTTTCAACGTGTTTCATTAAGTGGGCTTCCAATAAGGTGTGGGCTTCTATTAGGCTATTTACTGTATTTTTTATTCACACTAGAAATATCAAAAAATGGTTAATAAAATAATTAAAAAGATACAATTAATTAAATAAAAAATTAAAAAATACAAATGAATAGAAAAATTGTTTTAATTTATACAAAAATAATTTAATTTTAAACCTCCACTTTTTCTAGACAAAAATCAAAACTTCAATAGAAAATCAAAAACAAATAATCGAATTATCTCAAAATAATAAAACAAAAAAATTTGGAAATTGTCCAAAAATAATTTTAAATAAAATAAATACAACAACAATTATCCAACAATTGTGTAAAATAAATGAAATTAAAGAGAATGAATGCAATAATGGTAATTAAAAGGGAATTAAAAAAATTTTTAAATTTAATTTTTAACCAAAAAAATATTTAAAAGATAATGATTGTGAAGGACTTCAAAAATGTTGTAGTGACATTTGTGGGAATAAATTAATTTGTTTATATCCAGAAAGTGGAACTTCTAAATGTATTTTAATTCGGTAATTAAATAAATATATTTATTTATTAATTTAAATTTTATTTTCAGTATTTCTGCAGAAATTTTTTCAAAATTTTCTGATTACAATAAATTACAAAAAGTAAAAGATTATTAAAAAAATATTTTTTAAAATTTATTTAAAGCCAAAATGTGACCGTTCAGGTCATTATTTACCTATTCAAAGCCTTGACGGGTTTACTTGGTGTGTTGATAATTTATCTTCTACGGGGATTGAATTGTATGGAACAAGAGCGCCAAATGAAGTTTTTAGAGGGTGTGAATTAAGAAGAATATGCCCTTCAGTAAATTGTGAATTAAAATGTCCTTTTGGGTAATTGAATAATTTTAAAAATAAATTTGGGGGGGGGGGGAGGGGGGAAATAAATCATAAATAAAATCAAAACAAAATCTTATAGCCTACCTAAGTTTATTAGTCAAAATATTTCTGAAAATCACCCCTTATGGACTAAATAACTGAAAAAATAATTGGGGTTAAAAAACGAATATATCAACAGATTCTCTGATATCACTTCACTCCGTAACAGTGAAATTCAAAAACACATATTCAATTAAAAAAAACCTTTTTAAGTTTCCAAATGGATGGTTTAGGCTGTCCACAATGTATTTGCCGTTCACCTATATGTGATTCTATTCAATGCCCTATAGGAACTGTTTGTCGTCTTGTTAGACAAAAATGTGAAGAAGCTAACAAAAATAAAATATTTTATTTTTGTTTAATTCCTCAATGTTTGTCTTTTTATTTAAATAATTTTTTTTATTTAAAATTAAAGGTTTATTAAATACCTGCCTTAGAGGCGAGCCAATTGAGGATTTAGAAAGTGGAGAATTAAAACAATGTAATGAACAAAAAGGTATTAAATGCCCGCCCGGTTTTTATTGCCAAAAATTGGGAATTGGAGAGAGTGGTTATTGTTGTTCTGGACTTGGTTTGTGTGTGTTGATTTTTGATTTAATAGGATTGGAGGGGGAGGGAGGGGGGGCGGAATAGTGGAGAATTTATGTCTTACATACATATGTCCTTTTGGAACTAGAAAAATAAAATCTCGAGTGGAGCTTTCCAAGACTAGAATTTCCCCAAGACTCGAGACTTAACCCATATTTAATTTTTCGTTCATTACTAATATGATCGGGGTTTATGTTGTAAATAATTAAATTAACTACCTAAGGCTTTTAGGTATTTACATATAGAGGAGGAATTCAAAAATTTAAATAATTCTTTGTAAATTTTAGTTTTACAAAATAATTTACTCGATTCAGCAACTAAATGTCCATCACTTCCAAATTTATTATATCGTCGAAACCAAACAGAATTAACAGGAAATAGTAAAAAACAAATATTAGGGTGCCGTTTAACTAGTGAATGTAAAAAAGGAAAAATATGTTGTTTTAATGGTTGGGGGAGTGAATGCTTTTTGGAAGAAGAAATAAATAATGATATTGAAGAAGAAAAAATTAAAATAATTAAATTAAATAAAGAGAAAAAGGAAGAAGAAGAGGATGTTATTACTAAATATTCCCTTAATTCAACATCAACAGATTTATCTTTTAAAAAACAATGCCCAATTTATTTATATAATACAAGCAATCCAGGCTGTGTTAGTAATTGTTTTAGTGATTCTGATTGTATTGAAAGAAGTGAACATTCTATTTGTTGTCAAGTTGGGTGTGGAAGGAAATGTAAATTTCCGGAATTGACTAATTTGTTAGTTAAATAAATATTTATTTAAACTCGTAAAAATATTCTAGATGTATTCATTTACTCAAATCTACATTAAATGAATTAGATAAATTATCAACAATTAAACATTTAATTAATAAAAAACAACAAAATCCATTAATATTGCCAAAATGTAATTCTGAGGGATATTTTGAGAATATTCAATTTAATTCTTTATTAGGGTATTATATTTTATTTGTATTAGAATAGTAGAAGAATTTAATTGTAAAATGAAAACAAAAGAAATTGGGTATTTAAAAAATGAATTGAAATTATAGAACCGTTAATGTGAGGGTGACACAAAATTATTCTGAGAGAAATTAAAATTAAAATAATCTAAAAAATACTAAAAATAATTTTTATGTACTTTAAAAATAATAAAATTTATTTTTCCAGTCAATATTGGTGTGTCGATAAATATACAGGTACAGAAATACCAGGTACAAGAACATCAATTTCCCCTCTTGCTCCAACAATTCCTGATTGTTTAATTAGACACAAATGCCTATTTAATTGTTTAAATAAAAAGGAAGAATCTTCCTGTAAATATGGATTTAAATTGGACCATAGAGGGTGTTTTGATAATGAAAATTGTGAATGTAGAAATCCTTGTGAGGTAATTAAATTAAATAAAAAAATATTTAATTTAGGTATATTTTCTAAATCTTTTTTCATTTAGTGATGATTATATTTTAGAAAATTGTAAAATTAAATGACTGGATAAATTAGAGATTACCTATAATACATATAAGGAAGCAGTAAAGGGATAAATAATTTAAATTATACCGGGATCAGAACTGTGCCGATTTTCGATATTTTTGGATTTTTTTCGATTTCTGATTTTTTGAGATTTTTTTATTTCGACGCAGCTCTGATCGGGATTAATTAATATAGAAGGGAGACAATAAAGGACAAAATTACCTATAAATAAAAAAATATTTTAATTAAAAATTTAGACATTTAAATGTTCTTTACCAGAATCTGAAGTTTGTATTTTAAAACAAACAAAATGTTTAGCCCCTCCATGTGCATCTATACCCAAATGTAAATTTAAATTAAAATAATTATTTTTTAATAATTAAAAAAGGTATTCTAAATATTTGCACAAATTCCAAACTTTTAAATTCCTTTGATGAAAATAAAAATATTAAAATTTGTACAAAAAATTCAACAGAATGTAATGATGATGAGGAGGAGGAGTGTTTATTTTTACCTGAAATTTTAGAGGAAGAAAATAAAGAGGAAATAATTGGTTTATGTTGTAAAAGAAGAAGAGGAGGTGTTGAAGGTATTCTTTAAATTAAATTTAAAAAATATTTGGGGGCAGGGCTGGATTAGAAACGGCCTAATTAATTAATTAGACTTTTACTTAAAAATATTGTTGAGATATTTTTAAATAACTTATTTTAATTACTAATTAAAAAAATAATTTTTTAAATAAATATAGAGCAAAAGAAATTACTCGATTCTACTGAAACAAAATTAATAGCTTTACAAAGTGAAACACAAATTCAGACAACTACAGAAGAGATTCTTACTCCAACTACAATTCTTGAAGAAAGTATTGACGAAAATGGTGAATTAATTTAATTTAAATTCTGAAAATACAAAACCTAAACCTTTTGGCTTCTAGTTTAGCTTAAAAGTTATTATACTCTCTATTTTGGTAACCATAAAATTAAAAACCTAATCTCTAATAAAGGTTGTCAATTTTAAATATTTTCACATTTTTGCTTAATTAAAATTAATTTTTTTTTTAAAAAGATTATAAATGTGAAAATACGAAGCATCCAGCATTAAATAAATTATTAAAATTGCCAATTTATTGTAATCCAAACGAAGAAAATAATTTTTGTCCAGCAAATTTTAAATGTATTAGAAAACCTTTTTTGGAGGGAGAAAGGGATAAATTGGGAATTTGTTGTGAATTAATTAAAGAAAATGAAGTGGAAAAGGAGGGGGAAGAATTAATAAATAATAATAAAAGAGAATTTAAAGAAGAAGAAAATAAGGAAGAAAATAATATTTGTTTTTTACCTATAAATGAAGGAATAATAATTAATAATAATAAAAATAATAAATTAAAAAAAGAAGAAAATATTTGTGATAAATCTATTGAATTGAGATATTTTTATAATTTAATTGAAAATAAATGTGAGGTGAGGAAAGGGAGGGAGGGGGGGGGGGGATTTGAGGAAATTTGAAGAATTTTCCTTTCTTCTATTTTTTGTCCCATTTCTGTGCTCCCGTTTTCTTTTTAAAAATATCTTCAAAATAAATTAAGTGAAGAAGATTCTCTTAAAATTCTCAAATAAAATTTAATTTTTTAGGAATTTATTTATGCTGGTTGTGGAGGGAATAAAAATAATTTTCATACAAAAGAGGAATGTGAAAACCAGTGTATTGGTGTTAATAATTTAAAAATAAAATATGAATTAAATAATAATTTAAATGAACATTTTACAATTGGGTTAACATTAATTCCTGTTGAAAATAAAGAAGAAATTGAAGAAATGGAAAGGTTGGGGAAGGGGTGGATAATAAATTAAGGCTTAAAAAATTTAGCGTTTACTTTCTAAATTCCTTTTAAGATTTAATATCGATGGTTTTTTTGATTTGACACAAAAATTATAAATTATTTTTATGAAAATTTATTTGTTGTAGAATGGCAAATAAATTTTTAAAATTTATTTTAAAATACCGTATTTCCTGTATTATTGCTCCCTCCGAATTAAAGCCCCCTTCTTAATAAAGCCCCTTTTTGGAGAGTAGTTGAAAAATAGAGCCCCATGGGGCTATAATACAGTAAATACGGTATTAAAGTTTCTTTAAAAATTTGTAATCTATTAATAATTCTTTAAATTAATAATTTTTAATTTAATTTAAATTTATTTTAATTTAATTCCTTTAATTTTAAAGATCTCTTCGTTCCTATTTAGCTTTTAAATTTAATCTTAAAGAAAATAATATCCAAAAATTGAGAATAGAAAGAAGTTCTGGAAATGTATTTTTTGATATTGTTGATAATAATGGAAGGGAGAAAATTAAAAATATTGCTGAAAATGTTTAGTTTTTAATTTAAATTTTTTAATTAAAATAATTATTTTTTAAAGTTAGCTTCTGGCCAATTTCAATTTACACATAACGGCCAACTTTATATTGCTCAAACAAATAATTGGGTTGTAAAACAAATTAAATTGGAAGAAGAAAAGGAGGAAGAAAAGGAGAAAGATGAAGAAATTATTTTTAAAAAAGAATTAAAAAATAATTTAGTAACTCGAAAAGGGGGAGGAATATTTTGGGGTAATTATTAAATTTAAAAATAATTTTTTTAATTTTTTTTTAAAGCTATAACAATATTTTTAATTTTATTTTTATTTATTGTTTTAATTGTTGTCTGTTGTGGATGTGTATGTTTTTTTGGATTTTTTTTAAAATAATTATTTTTTAATTTCAGGTTTTTTTACGAAATCGAAATTCCCAATTTTCTCGTCCAGACAGTTCTAATGCAGACACAATTTGCTTTTCTTCAAGTCCAAGAATATTGGGAATTACTCCACATACTATTAATTGGAGTCCAATACCCAGAAATAAAAATAATGTTTGTGCTTAAATTAATTTAAATTAGTTTATTTTCCCAAAATCGAGAGGAAAAACGCAAGCTAAACTTTTACAGAATTGTACCTAGCTTGTCGCTTAGACGGCTCCTCCCTCCCCCCTTCCCCCGCCAAATGACAACCAGGTTCATATATATTTTTCAGCGCCAACAACAACAAATTATCAATCAAATCCAACCAAAATCTGTATCTCCTTTATCTTCTGACCTTTCCTCCTCTGGACCTTTACAAACCAACACTACAAGAGATACAAAAACAGAAATTTTTGAAGAAAATTATGAAAATGAAAGGAATAATTGGAAAAACAATAAATTAATAAATAAACATTCAAAATATCAAAATTATCATTTTGAAAAGAAAAAAGGAAGGAGAGAGGAATTACTAAATGGGGGAAATGGATCAACACTTTTTTATTGATAAATTCTAAATTAATTAATAATATTTTTATTAAAATATATTAATTAATTACTAAATGATTTTTTTATTTCTTTTATTAATATAAATTAATCACATTGATTTTTGAATGGGATATAATTTTTAAAAAAAGACTTTCAATACGGACTCCTAAACAATGTTGTTTATTTGCTGAACAATTTATATTGAAAATTGTTATAAAGAAATTAATTATAAAATTGTTATACCCATGAGGAGAGCAGGCCAACTTACCACGGAGCTATAACTTCGTTCAAAATAGTTGAATCCGGGACGTCTTGGTATGGCTCGACACATTTTGACGAGTTTAATTTAACCATATCAGGGCGTCCCGAATTCTATCATTCTTAACGAAGTTATAGCTCTACGGTACGTTGGCCTCGCGGTACGTTGGGGTGTACCCATAAATGAGTGCCATAAAAATTTGAACATAACCTACAACTAAGTGATGTATTCAATTAAGTGTTTTTAAATAATCATTTTTGATATTCATTCAACTTTATCAAATTAAAATTCTTAATACAAAAAAATAAATTTTCATTATTACAACAAAAAATACAAAAGACTAGTATAACTATGAGGGGAGAATATGTATTTAATGTGTGTGCCATAAAAATGTTTTTGTTTTCATTAAAAAATTTTTTAAATTAATTTTCACAATTAATTTACTTAAAAAATACAAATATTTTAATTTTATTTAATTAATTAGCAATTGTTGACAACATTTGTAATTGTCTTGTCTGCACTTGGCGATTAATAAATTGTGAAGCTACAATTGTTGCCATAGACTCGTTTGGATTAATAGCTGTTTTCTTTCTGTTTTTCCACCATTCTTTAATCTTTTTTTTAAAATTAAATTAAATTAATTAATTATTCAATTCAATTAATTACCAATCCAAACATTCCCTTTCCATAACGAGTAGCCAAAATATAAATGTAAATATTCGAAAACATTTTTGTAAGAAATAGCCATGATACAATTAATTTAATTAAATAAAGTCCGTTTGGACTTTTAAAATGCAAAAGTAGCAATAAAAATTGGGGAAAAGCAATAAATACAAGACATGATAATATTAACCATTTTATTTTTCTAAAAAAATTCAATTAAAAATTTTTTTTAGAAAAATTAGGAGTTGAGAAAAATACTAGGTTTACTTTATAGATTTTTAATAATTTTGGAAGTTTTTGTAATAAAACAATTTTTAGTTCTAAACTTTTAACTAAAATAAAAACGTTTAATTTAGTATTGGACTTAATAAGAAGAGGAGCCATAAAATAATAATTACTGAACTTTATCAGAAAATTGTACGTATAATTAGTTAGTAAGGGGTTTAAATAAAAATAAAAACAAAGGTTATTCTCCAACGTTAATTCTCTAAAAGGGCCCAGAATTTTACAATTTTTTAACCCTCCTTTCGAGGGGTTTAGAGGGTTTATGTTTGTGGTTTGTGACTAATTTAGGGAATTTTTTTTCTCTAAAAATTATTTAAAATTAACCTAATTTTTCTTTTTTCACTAATAACTTTATTTCTATTTCCCCCAAATCTCCTTAACGGCCAATCAAGTCTGTGAACAAAATAAGCAGCAATTACAAGAAATATAAATCCAAACAATTGAGACAAAATAATTATTCCATTCGAAAGATATCCATAATCTATTCCAAATGCCCAGGTAAGTTCGCAAGTAAAATGAGTTGGCTCGTAAGGACAAACCATGGAAACATTTGTGTATGCAATACCTGCCGAGAAGAGAACAAAGAAAAGAACAAATGTGTTGATTGGACTTTTCCTTTAAAATATACATGATTTTTTAATTTTAAATAAATTTTCATGGATTATACTACTTGATTAATTCCCCTGAAGAATTATTTTTCAACCCATCCGTGGCATGAGGAATTAATAGAGGGTGTGGAATTATTCGAGGGTGGGGATTAATTGAGTAAATACAGTAATTTAATTTAGGTCACCCCTTAAAATTAACTTGGATTCCCTAATAAATTTAAAAAAAAATCGTAGAATGTTTAGTGTAGAGGATTATAAAAGACACCGATTAAAGGACATTACCGAATTTAAAATAAAAGAAAAAAATTTTTTTATCAATTAATTTATAAATTTAGCTCTACTAATTTATGTCTATTTTTTAATATAATTTATTTATTTTCTAAATTAATTTACATAATTTTTACAATTTTCAAAAAATCTTTACCTCACTCTAATAGATCTAAACCAAAGTGGATAACATAAAAATAAAACACGTTCTAAACCCATAATAAAAACTAAAACAGCTGCCCATTGACGACATGCTAATAAAAGAAATAAATGGGGTTTTTTGTTGTTACAGTCGGTTACTGTATTATTTGTTAATTTAATTAATTGGTCTAATGAAGAAGAAATATTTGTTGTTGTTTGGGGTTGTTGTTGTGATATTAGATTATTATTATTATTTAATGATGAAAAAGAATTTTCTGAAAAATAAAAAAAAATATTTGAATAATTAAAAAAAATTTATTTAAAATTTTAAAAATATTTTAGAAGGAATTGAACTTTAAGAATTATAGTTAGTTTATCTACAACACAAGACCATGACTGATTCCTGAAAATCGTGAATTCCCGACAATTTTTGCCTCGTGAATTCAAGATACATAAAAATCGGGAATTTGATTTTCTGTCGGCGCGATCCCTGCTAAGGAACTTGCCTAAATCCTAAGATCCAAAAAGAAAAATTTATACGATTCAAGACAGTCTAATTCCGTACCAAGAAACTAAAATTTATTGATTATATGTAGCTAATTAGTTTACAAAGGCCAGATATTTTTTTATTACAGGATTTATAATAATTTTAAAATATTATAAAAATTAATTTTTAATTAATTAAAAACCAACTTACCTAAACTAATAAAAGAACAAGAATCCAAAATATAGCCAATAGCTATACAAATATCCAAAATTAATTGTGTTCTCCACATTGTTGTGTGGGGATTAAAACAATCAAAAACGCAAAACGAGTATATACAAATAATTAAATTAATAATTAGAGCAATTATGGCTATATACAATTGAACTCGATAAGCAACAAAAAATGTATCTAAATCATTTGTAGACATCTGTTTAGTGAAAATAAAATTTAAAAATTATTTTAAATATTTGGATACTTCTTTTAATTTTTGAAAGAATTTTTTGGTTATTTCCATGGAAATAAATGGAAAATAACCAAAAAAATCATTTTTGTTGGGGAAAAATTAAAAATAAAAATTCAAGAAAAAAAATACAGCTATTTCTATTTTAAGATAAATTTTATTTCCTAAGAATTAAAAATTTAATTTTCAGTTTCAAATAGGGTAGTTCACGATCGCTTTTAAAACCAAAAATTTTGCTATTTTTTGCCAAAAATTAACTGTTCTTACAAAATTTTGAAAACCGAAAACCGGATTTTTAAAATTTGAATTAATCGAGATCAGGGGTACCGGTTAATATCCGGTAGTTAAAAAGACTAGTTTCTAAATTAATTATTTAGAAAATAATCAAATAATTTAAGCAAAAAATTAAAAACTTACTAATTCTGAAAAATAATTAAAATAATATTGAGACATTTTAATTAATATTTAATTTTTTTTTATTAAAAATAAATTTGACGTAATTGTAAATATATTATTTTAAATCTAAAACAATAAAAATAAATTATTAAAAATAAAAAGAATGAATAGAGGTGAGGAGAGATTTTTAAATGTGAGGAAAATAAAAAAATATTTTTGAAAAAAAATTATTGGAAACAAAAATATATAAATATAATTCTAAATTACGAAAATAAAAATGAAAAAAAGTATTAATATTTTCAACATTTAGTTAAAATAATTTAATTAATTTATGCAAAATTAAATTTATTTGTTATTTATTTATTTTATTAAATGCTCGCTTTTATTGTGCCAGCACAGGAAGGAAGGTGTGGGAGAATTAAATATTTTAATTGTATTTTATTTAAAAAAATAAAAATTGTTTGGCTCTTATTTTAATTTAATGTTTAGTATAAATAAATAACAATTATTAAATAACCCATTTAATTGTCTAACATTTTTAAATACATGGAATTACGTAAAAATTGCGTAATAAATTAATTAGAGTTATTAAAAAGTACTTATTTATCAACATAATCACAAGTAAATACATAAAAATAGTGCATGAAAATATTCAAAATAATTTTTATTTATTTTATTTTTAAGGCTAAATCTAAACACAAATATAGATCTAAATTTAATATTTTTTTGAAAAATTATAATTTTAGAATAATTAAATTAAAATTTTACAATAAAAATTAACTTGAGAATTAAGTAAAAAACAAAAAAAAAATCTAAAAAATTCTCATTAAATACAAAAATAATTTTAAATAAAAAATTATTATATTTTCAGAATTTTCACAGAAAAAAATCACAAACAACTTAATATATTACGTAGTAATTATTTATTCCTTTTTTGTACTATTTTTAACAAAATGTCAAAAAATCTCAAACAAAAAATTTATCAGAATTAATCTAAAAGGGTCCAGATGTTTTGTGAAAAATTCTCAATATTTTTAGTTTTTATTTTCGTTTTTTTATTAAAAAAGATGGAGAGCAAAAAATTAAAAATCAGGACTAGGGTTGCCGCCCTGATCAGCCAGAGACTCGAATGAACGATTAGAGCCGGTAAATTTCTGCCCGAAAAAGATTCTTCAAAGCTGGACACTATAAGCTTGACACTAAAAAAGTACTTTACACACTCCCCCGAATCCCGAAGGCTCTACCCAGACAACCCTCAAACCCGACACTCCCGCCCCCGAGTGCTACCCGGTGTGCTACTCTATTTTACACAGCCAGATTCTGCAACTCGGAAGTTAAATAAACCCCCAAACAATTTTATGCAAACCTCTAAAAGTTCTCAATAAATAATGTCAAACAATCTTTTGTCATTTTATGGGATTATAAAATGTTAAAAAATGAATGAAATAAAAGGAGATTTTTAATAAAAAAGAGAATTTATTTTTTAAAAAGCTTTTGTTAAAATATATGTTTTATTTGCTTATAAATTGGTTGGCACATTTTTAGTATATTATTTATTTTTTTTCTTAAAAAATAAATATTCTATATAATTATTTATTATTTTTTTGTGTTTTATTCATGTAATTTTATTCATAAAATTTTATTCATTTTATTCATTAATATTTAAAAATAAATAATTATTGTTTTTTTTTTCAATCGTTTGAAAGACTAAATAGTAGTTTTTAAATAAAAAAATTATTTACTATTTATAGTCTCCTGCAATTAATTATTTTTTATTTTGCAAAAATAATTATTTTAAATGATTTTAGGCCAAATAAAAGAGATAATAATTAATAGGTAGTTACCGGAAGTTAATATTATTTAAATATATTTAGTAGCACGATAAGGTTATTAAAAAGAATAAATGTTTTGATAGTTCATTTTCTTTTGGAAATTTATAAATAGGGTTGTCGGTTCTTCGTATAGAACAAAAAACAGAACCGAGAAATCCTCGGTCATTCAGTTTCTAACCGACACTCCTGTTTATGTTTAAATAATTTGATGTGAAGTTACTACTCCCCTTGGTTTTATTATTTTAAAATCTTGATGACGCGAGTTTAAATCAAAAAACAATGAAAAGTTCTTAAATTGAAGTTAGCATCAAATTAAGGTTATGATCAAAATCGAGGAGAAGGAGCTAGAAAGGAAGGACGTCCAGTAAATTTATAAAACTTTTTAACGGGCTCTCCAAGAATATTTTGGATAAATTAATAAATTTATTTTCTAAAAAATATTAAATTTAAATTTTTCCGAATTTCTTTTCAACTAAAAATAACCAAATAATTTTTAAATATAAATTTAATAAATTTTTGAGAGTATTTCTGCTGACATTTTTTGTAAATTTAATAATCTTTTATTTATTTTAAAGTAACAATTAAATTAAAAACCCAAAAATATTTCTTTTTAGAAAAAGGAATAATTACAAATATAGAAATATTATTTAAATAAAAATAGATTTATTACTCATTAATGTGAAAAATTTCCCCAAAAATCTCAAAAAGAAATTTTTTGGAGTGTCGGGAATCCGGAGGTTGCCGCAGAACGGATCTCCTCATTTAAATTTCATCAAAACCCCTCGACTAGGGAGTTTGCCGGCGTAGAGCCTTCTGGGTTCGGGTCGGAGTTTTTTGCTAACAACTCATCGGGATTTCGGAAGAAAGGGTGCCATTCTTTTTAAATGATAAAAAAATTTTTTAAATTAAAAGTATGCAGATACATATTCGGTTTTTAAAGCAAAAAGTAAAAATTTAATAAAAAATTAAATTATAATAAAAAATTACAAAATTCTCAAAAAATTTAAATAAATTCTATTTAATTTCTTTTATTTTAAATTAACAAATAAAATTTATAAAATTAAAGAATAAATATAATTTTATATGTATATTTGCGTAATAAGAAACATTTCTCGAAAAATTACGTGTGAAAAGTTAAAACAAAATTTAAAGAAAATTAAATATAAATTTATTGTGCTAAATTAAATAAATTAAAATAAATTTAATAAGATTACATATATACATTATTTAAAATTTAGCTGTTCACAGTTTATAATTGTGTTATAATTTACTTTATATTTACATTTGTTAGAAATTCCAAAAGAAATTTTTAAGAAAATTTAGTTTTAGAATTAAGTATGGAATCTTTTGAATCTTTCTAATATAAAAAACAAAAAAGTGTTTGTTATGTCCATGATTGGGGTAATTGAGGCAGTAATTAAGACACTAAGACACTAACCACTAACAAAGTTATCAGGATAATACTAGGTTACTGAAACTCAGAAATAAGACTTTGTGACTGAAAACTTAATCAGGAATGCCTAACAAAATAATTATATAATTGAATTTAACTTTTAAAATAAAATTTTCCAGAAAACATATTTTTAAAAGTAGAGTTTTATTATTAAAATTATTTTAAAATTTAAATTCTAATTTTTCAATAATATTTACATATTTATTGTCAAATTAAATTAAACAAAAAATAAATAAAATAATTAAATAATAAAAATATATTTAACTAAAAATTATTTTTAGATTAAAAATGTTTCTAATTTTGTTTATGTTTAATAAAAAAATAAATATTTATTATCAAATTAAAAACAACTCTCTTTCCTTACAGAAAATTCTCTTTTAATTTTTAAATAAAATATTTTCTTAGAAATTAAATTAAAAATGTTTGTGATATTTGTATTGGCATAAGAAAAAAATAATTAATTTTTCTTAGAAATGTTTTTAAAAAAATTTGTTTGTCAAAGAAGTTCAGACAACTACAAATTTATATAATTAAGAAAAAATTTTTTTAATAATTTATTAAACGAATTTTGTTTAAAAGTTATTCTCACATTTAAAGGGTAATATTTAAATATTTTTTTCGAAAAAAAATATTTTCGTGACCTAATATTAAAAAAACTATAAATTTAAGTAAGTAACCTTAGAAACTAAAGAAAATTGGTATTTTGTTTTAATTCAGAAAAAATTTTTTTAATTGTTAAGTGAAAGGTAAAATAAAGAGAAAATGGACAGATGGAGAAGGAAAAATGTGAAAAAAACAATTTTTAATTAAAAAATATATTAAATAATTAATGAGAAATTAGAAAAAGTTTTAAACATATAAACAATCGTCTGTGATGTAAATAGAGCAAACAAGGTCTAAACCGTTCCCATAAAGTACAACTTCGTACTCAAATAATTTTTGAAAAGCTGGAAATTAAATGATGGATATCAGGGATTAATTTTCTCTAAATCTATTTAATAAAATGGAGATATAAAACGAGAAACTTAAGGAATTTTAGGATAAGCGCTGGTTAAAAGATTAAAGTTTATCTTTAAGGGAATGATGGCAAATATTTTCTTTAATGCTGGCTGGGGATTAATATCCAGTAATCAACCTACAAGTGGAAGTAAATTTTTTTATTATTCTAACTGGGATTTGGCTCAAATTGGAATGGCAATTGCTGTTGGGGTATTGACTGATAATAGAACTATGTTTAATGAAGCTGTAAAAAATTTAAAAAATTATTTTAAATATTTTATTATTCCTTTTAAAGATTAAAGTCTACAAAAGTGATTGGTATTGGGGTGCAAGTTCTCAATTTATTTATTATCTCCATCCTGGGTATTTTGGACAAACACAGGAAGCGGGACGAGATCAAGGACATAATACATTAAGTATTGGGTTGGGTGGTATTCTTTGTGAAATGGCTTGGAATCAGGTGGCATTAAACTAATAGAATAGTATAATAGAACAATGTTTAATGAAGCTGTTCTATAGAATATTCTATATAGAAAAATCCAATTTCCAGATCAATCAAAAATATATAATTAAAAATAACTTAGATAAAAACTTGACTGAAAATAGAAATTAATTAAACTACTGTATAATTATCCTGGATAATTTTATTGTTTGAGCTTTTCACTTGAGGGGTAATTAATAAAAAAGGGCTAAATCAATTTTTAAATTAACATTTAAATGTTAAATTATTAATTTCACTCAATAATTTAATTTCAAGCATGTTGATTTGTATGGATGGGATAATAATCGGTTTTTGGCTGGGGCTGAATATACAGCTAAAGTCAATTACAACTTTAATGGATCTGGTTTCTAATTAAAATATTTTAATATTTCTGATTTAAAATTAAAAAGGTTTTGCCGATGTTCCTTATATTACTTATGCTAATTATTACGGAGATGGTGTTGTACAAACAATGTTAGGGCCAGGAAAAGGCAACAATCGTCCAATCTGGTCACTTATCTATAATCATTATGAAAACAGAAAGGGTATTTCTGCACTTTGGTCAAAGAAATATGCTATAGCATTGCGCCCAGAAAGTAAGCGAAATAATTATTAAAAAGTTGGATGAAAAAGATTTTAAAAGATTAGTTTGATAGAGGTAATAATTTATAATATATTTTAGCAGGCATAGGCGATGGTGATGCGGGTAATGGAGGTTCTTATGATTTCCTCGGATTTGGAACACTTCTCTACCAACAAGATCCAATTCCTGAGTCTTGCTATCCAGAAGGGCTAACAGCTAGAGTGAATGGGACAAAAGTAGAATTGAATTGGTGGGGCCCTGTATATGGAATGAATTATTCGGTAGGTTTAATAATGATTCTTCGGATAATTTTTTAAATTTATTTTCCCCAGATTCAACGTTCTACAACAATTAATGGAAAATTTAAGACTATAAAGAAAAAAATTGGAACACAAATATTAACATATACAGATTCCCCAGGAAAGGGCACATTTTATTACAGAGTAAAATAAAAATAAATAAATTTATTTATTTATTCTTTTTTTAAAGGTTTTAACAAATGGATCAACATGTGCAGCTTCAAATATTGCAAAAGCATTTATTGGTACAAAACTATATTTTAGTCTTTCATTTAAAAATGCATCTAATGGATCTTTACCAATTGATTTGAGTGAAAACAAATTTTCTATAAAATTATTTAATGGAGCTTCTGTTGGTGTAGGAATTAAAGGAAAACAGACAGCACTTTCTTTAAATGGAAATATGCAATATGCTGAACTTGAAAATAATCTTTTAAGTGAATTGTCTGATTATAGTATTGCTACTTGGGTAAATAAATATAATATATTGTAAGGAAGAGAAAGATTCAGTAGAATTTAAAACGCTTAGGCGGGAGTTTAATATCTATTAAAAGATAAGGTGAAAGCAGCGTCCCGTAAGCTCAGTTGGCCAAAATGTACTACGCCAAAATGTATAAGAGACCGTTACTTAATCTTTAGCAAAAAATAGAAATACAAATATTATATCAAAATTTCATCAAAACACATTGCTTGTAAAAAACATCAATTATTTCAGCTTTTTTGTAATGGGGAACTTCCAAGAAATGCTCGTTTGTTTGATTTTGGTGCAGGCCAAGGTCACTATATTGCATTTTCTATGCAAATTAATAACGGAAATTGGCACTTTAAAAGTACTGTTGGCGGGGAATTTGCTGAAAATGGAATTCAGGGTAAAGAAAGATTTTTTTTTAAATTTTCCAAACAATTTTGAAGGCAAAGGATCATTAGATTGTGTAAATAAATGGATTCATTTGGCTGTTACACAACTAGGAGAGAATTTAACTCTTTATTTAAATGGTACAGTTGCTGGACAAACCAACAATCCAATGCCGCCTTTCCGTATTGGAAACACAACAAATAATTGGCTTGGACGTTCTCAATTTTATATTCCTTTTCATTACCCTTATTTTAGGTAATTGTTTTGTTTCTAAAATTAAAAAATCTAAAAATTATCAAATAAATATTAATTTATTTTTACTAAATTTTAGAGGATTAATTGATGGATTTAAAATATATCAAGGAGTTCTTAATCAAAAACAAATAAACGAATTAATGTAATTATGGGAATGTTTCTTTACTAAAATTTTGATGCTACCTTATTTTAGGTAATTCTATCCTAGTTTTACATGTAATTCTTTAAAAATGTAAATTTAAATAATGAAGAATAAAATTTTGCATACATATCTTAATAAATTTTGAATAATCATTTTTTAGTTTTTTAATTTCAAACAAATTCTGAAAACCAAAAAATATTTTCCTCAAAAATTTTTAAACTGAATTTTTTTAAACGTCTTAATAGAAAGGGATTCAAAAAAGAAAAAAAACTACTATAAGTTAAAGTCATATAAACATAAATCACAATTTATTTCTAATTTTCTTTCGAACTAATAATTATTTGTTTTTGTTTTGGGTCGTCAAATCGGCTCATTGTTTGGACAGAATTAAGCATTAAAAATCCAAAAGAGAGAACTCCAATAAAAATAATTGCAACCACGAGAATCATCCAATATGAAAACGGAAAAGCCAAGGATGTACTTTAGTACTTGTTCCTATCTTTTTGACTCGCGAAAATTAGCAGTACTTTTTTATCTCAGTTTCGGCTCGGTATCATAAAATATTAATCATGCTAAATTTATACTCATTAAAAGAGAATTAAATGGAGTATCTAATAAAATAATTTTCCCTAAAATGAATTTTTAATTGAAAAATTGGTAAGATTTATTTCAGTTACTCTTGCCCCTATTTACCTTTATGTTGATAAACACAAAATAATAATATTTTATTATTTTGTGTTATGTTTATGGAGGTGTTATTCTTTGCAAAGTTATTGCTTACCGTAAATGCTCTAATTGAAGCACATGTGCTTCTATTTTTCGATCCTCTCGTAGGGTGTGCTTCTATTAGAGACTGTGCTTCAAATAGATACTGTGCTTCTATTAGAGCATTTAAGGTATGTTAGTTTAAGCATCATAAGCATGTTTTTTAGTTTAAATTTTTAAAATACACTATGTCTGCGATTTGTTTCTTAGAGATTCTTTTCCTTAATTACTTTTTGATAGAAAAAGGTTTTTTTATTAAAACATTTTTTATTTTTAAAATTTTGTTGATAATTTTTTTAAATTTATTAAAAAATAAATCAAAAGAATACCGTATATCCTTTAATAACTACCCTGGAAATTATTGTTTGGACCTTCCGCTGGAGGGAGTAATGAAGAGAGGGTAATTGTACGTGGTTTGGAATTTGAACGTGCTTTAGGGCATTTGATGGGGGGGGGGGGGTAATTATTGTTTCAATCTATCGCTGTATGGGGTAATTAATGGAAGTGGGGTAATTATTTAAGGAACGGTAATTAATACAGGTTATATGGTAATCTAAATATTTTTTAATTTTACTTCCTTTTTCGTTAATCTTTTTTACATATTTAAATCAATTTAATTTTAAATTGTCTGATATAAATTTTTTGTCTAAAAATTGCTTTTAAAAAATGTTGAAATTGCTGAACAAATAAATAAAAAAATTTTTTTAAATAAATTAATTTAAGGAAGTAAATTTTTAAGGAATTTTTAAGAAAAAGTTTTTAAGGAAGCATTTAAAATTTTTAAAATAAGCATTTAAATAAATAAAATTTAAGTTCTTTTTTGTATGTATTTTATTATTTAAAATTGTCTAATAAAATTAATATATAAAATAATTAATTTTCCGGCATAAATTAAATTAAAAATAATTTTTAAAAAATATTCTTTCTTTTAAATAGGTAATGAAAATAATAATTATTTTTGGAGTATTTATCCATTTTTTCGTTTATTTTTCAATTGCTGATGAAGAATTTGTTCATCCAGGATTATTACATACTAACGAAGATTTTGAGAGAATTAAAAATAAAATAGAATTAAAAGAAGAGCCGTGGCTATCTGCTTGGAAACAATTTAATACAAGTAGATTTGCTCGGTAATTTCTTTGATTGTAATAATAAATTTAAAAACAAGATGAGATATATGTAGTAAAAACGCAGCTGGGCTATAGCTATCTTTCTCCTTTAGCAGTGCAAAAGATATTCGGTGGCTGGGAGCGAACCAGCATCTTCAATAGACCGGACTGATGTGTTAGCTATTAACCCACGCCGCCTACTGCACAGCCTTAGGAAATAAATAGCTATAGCTTTACAATATTCTAAATTTATAATTATTTTTTAATAGTCCAAATTATTCTCCTCGCCCTCAAAAAATAATTTATCGAGGCATTGGATTCCCTCAAAATTACATAACTTTGTGTCAAGATATTGCTGCAGCTTATTGCGCTGCTATAAATTGGAAAATAACAGGAAATACAAGTTATGCTGATAAATCTGTTGAAATAATGAATGCTTGGTTTTTTTAGTCTAAAGTATTTAAAATATTTTAAAATATATAAAGGTCATCAACATTAACATCTATACAAGGAAATAATGATCTTCAGTTGGCAGGTGGTTTGTATGGTTGCCATTTTGCTAATGTTGGGGAAATAATGCGTTCATATAAGGGTTGGAAAACTGAAGATTTTAATAAATTTAAGGTAATTGTAAGGATGATTCACCTAGCAGCATTAAAAAACCGCTTATACATTTAAAAAAACGCCCAAACGATTTAAAAAAGAAAAAGATAAAGCAGTCGATGCCCCCGTGGCTCGATTGTAGAGTACTTGTATATGGTGTACAAAAGCACCTAGCAATAACTATCAGGTGATCGAAGGTTCGAATCCTGTCCGGTAGTCCAATCCAGACATAAAAATCGTCTGGATCTGAATCTGGACTCTGAATTTAGGTTATTGACCTCGACTGGATTCTGTATCTGGATCCAGGAAAAATCCAGTCTGGATCCAGATCCAGACCGATCTCTAGTATGTCAATTTTGAACAAATTTCAGAGATTTGATAATCTTTTTCCTAAACTTTTAACTAATTAAAACTCCTTTATTTTTTAAGGAAATGATGGTAAATATTTTCTTTAGTGCTGGTTGGAATGGTAGAATATTGGGTAATCAACCTACACGTGGAAGTAAACGTTTTTATTATTCTAACTGGGATTTGGCTCAAATTGGAATGGCAATTGCTGTTGGGGTATTGACTGATAATAGAGAAATGTTTAATGAAGCTGTAAAAAATTTTAAAAAATTATTTTAAATATTTCATTACCTTTTTAAAGATTAGAGTCTACAAAAGTGATTGGTATTGGGGTGCAAGTTCTCAATTTATTTATTATCTCCATCCTGGGTATTTTGGACAGACACAGGAAGCGGGACGAGATCAAGGACATAATACATTAAGTATTGGGTTGGGTGGTATTCTTTGTGAAATGGCTTGGAATCAGGTAGGATTATCTTAATAGACTTGGAAAATTAAGAATATTTTATATAGAAAAATAAAATTTCTTAATCAATCAAAATGCCTAAATAGGAGCTTGACTAAATATTACAAATTAATTAGACTACCCTACTTACTAAAATAATTCCCTGGATAATTGTTGTCTCAACCTTTCACTAGAAAGGGTAATTAAAAGGGAAGATTTAGTTATTTGAGTAAATACGGTATTTTTGAATTATAATATAAATTAACATGAAATGCGTATTAATCTAATAATTTACTTATAATATCAAGGATGTTGATTTGTATGGATGGGATAATAATCGGTTTTTGGCTGGGGCTGAATATACGGCTAAAGTCAATTACAACTTTAATGGATCTGGTTTCTCATTTTTTAAAAATGTTTTTAAAATTTTATTTAAAATTAAAAAGGTTTTGCCGATGTTCCTTATATTACTTATGCTAATTATTACGGAAATGATGTTGTACAAACAATGCTAGGGGGAGGAAAAGGCAACAATCGTCCAATATGGTCACTTATTTATAATCATTATGAAAATAGAATGGGTATTTCTGCACCTTGGTCAAAGAAATATGCTATAGCAATGCGTCCAGAAAGTAAGCAAAATAATTATTAAGAAGTTGGTTAGAAATACGAATTTGAATTAGAAAATGAGAGAAATAATTAAATTTATATTTTAGTTGGCTCAGGCAATATTAATGGGGGTAATGGAGGTTCTTATGATTTCCTCGGATTTGGAACACTTCTCTACCAACAAGATGCAATTTCTGAATCTTGCTATCCAGAAGGGCTAACAGCGAGAGTGAATGGGACAAAAGTAGAATTGAATTGGTGGGGCCCTGTATATGGAATAAATTATTCTGTAGGTTTAATAACGAAGTTAAATCCTTCCTCTGATAATGTTATCAAACAAAATTCTTCTAAAAACTTTTTAAAACTGTAAGGATGATCCACCTAGCAGCATTTAAAACGCCTATTTGTTAGGCGGGGGTTAAACGACTTAAAAAGGAAAAAGAAATCATTCGTCGATGTCCCGTAGCTCAGTGGTAGAGCTCCTGTATGTGGTGAGCGAACCAGTCTAGCAATAAATACGAAGAGGTCGCAGGTTCAATCCTGCCCGGCTGCTAAACTTTTGCTAACAGCAAAAGTTTCTTAGCTTTCCTTTCAAATAAAATATAAATATTTTTTATTTTTAAATTTATTTTCCCCAGATTCAACGTTCTACAACAATTAATGGAAAATTTAAGACTATAAAGAAAAAAATTGGAACACAAATATTAACATATACAGATTCCCCAGGAAAGGGCACATTTTATTACAGAGTAAAATAAAAATAAATAAATTTATTTATTTATTCTTTTTTTAAAGGTTTTAACAAATGGATCAACATGTGCAGCTTCAAATATTGCAAAAGCATTTATTGGTACAAAACTATATTTTAGTCTTTCATTTAAAAATGCATCTAATGGATCTTTACCAATTGATTTGAGTGAAAACAAATTTTCTATAAAATTATTTAATGGAGCTTCTGTTGGTGTAGGAATTAAAGGAAAACAGACAGCACTTTCTTTAAATGGAAATATGCAATATGCTGAACTTGAAAATAATCTTTTAAGTGAATTGTCTGATTATAGTATTGCTACTTGGGTAAATTATGTATAAATTCAAAACTTTTATTATGAAAATACAGTCGAATCTAACACAATACTCCTCGAGACCGAAGTAGGGCTGACATAGAAAGATAAGTGTGTGCGAGGAAGCACTGTGTTAGATTCCATCGTACTAAAATAACTACTAGGCCCTCGCACTGTTGAAGGTGGTAAGCGAGATCAACCTGGGCAATCTATTTAATAAACTTGTTAGAGTTTACAATGGTACCAGATTGAAGTAGGTCCGACATCACCGAACCGAGGACCGTCCAAAAGAATACATGACATACGGTTTTTTGATAGTTAATTGTCAAAATGTATAAAAGACCATTAGTTAATCTTTAGTACAAGAATTGAAATTCGAATATTATACTAAAATTTTATCAGGGGCCTATTTCAATTGTCCGCAGATTCTGCATTCTGTGCACAGAACACAGATTCTGTGGAAATTCTGTTTCAATTAAATTCTGTGTGCACAGAATCTGTGGTGCCCGCAGATTCTGCGGAAACATCTACTGATTCTGTGGAAACATTCCGCAGATTCTGTGGATGAAAATTTCTGTGGAAAATATAAAAATCTGTGGATTTTTTCCACTGATCCACAGAATTTCTATTTCAATTATTTTTCTGTGGTTCTGTGTATTTTTCCTTCTAAATTCAAATTTTTTATTTCCGCGTTTTTGAAAATAACAGTTTATATTAGCCTTTATTTATCTTTAATTTAATTTTTAAAATAAATTTTAGAAATGACTGATAAAAAAAATCAAGAAAAGAAGGAATTGCTGTTATTAATTAAAGAAAATTACTCCACAATATCTAGCAAATTTTCAACCAAGATTACTTATGAGGAAAAAAGGAATGCTTGGGAAAAAATTTTCAGAATTTGTGAATCAAAGGGTGCTGAGTGGACTAAAGGGCGCGAAGCCAAATGGCTGAGCGGCACAAAATGGCCGTCTCTTGTTAAGGAGTATAAAGTTTGCTGTTATCTTTAATAAATCTTTTAAATATATATTTTAGACAAAAATTGACAGAAACAAAGCAACTGGCAGCGGTGGTGAAACTCGCTTAAATGAATTAGATATGATAATGGGTGATATTCTTGGAGTCGATTCTCCTGTGGTTGCTGGATTAACAATACCTGATGCCAATTGCAGTAATACTGATGAATTTGAGTTTTATAATAAAAAAAAAGATGAAAATGAAGATTTAATTATTGATGATATTTCAACTTTGACTCCAAAATTATCCATCAAAAGAAAGGCAATGTTTGAAGGTAAACAAATTCTAAAATTATATATTCTCAACTTTTAAATTTAGATGAGACTGACACTTATAAAAAGAAAAAAGAAGAATATTTGGAAGTTTTGACTCGTGTTGCAAAATTGAAGGAGAGAAAACTTCAACTTGAAATTGCTCAATTGGAAGAAAAATCAAAACCTTCAAATATTTATGATGAGCCTACATATTTTAAACTTTAATTTATTTATCAAAATTTATTCGATTTTTCAAAATTTTGTTTGTTTTTTGATTTTTTGAAAAACTTAATTAAATATTGCGACAATTTGATTCAATTTTTCAAGTCCTTTTTCTCTTCCTTCTAAATCATCTTGAGTTTCTTCAATTGGTATTTGACGAAGGGGGTAACCTAAAAATAAAAAGGGATATTAATATCTCATTTAGAATTAAAATACCAGAATCCCCTAACAGAAATGCTCCATGAAAAGGCCTCCAACCACTTGATAATCTTTCGAAAAGGCGAGAGTTTTTAAAAACTCTGGAATCATGAGTAGACCCGGGCCACCGAACGGATGCATCATAAAATTTCAAAGTTGGGCCACAAACAAGCATTACGTTAATAGAATGTTCATTCTTACGATCCACAAACTGTTCCTCATATTTTGAAGGGGCTAATATTTTTATTAATGTTCCATCTATACAACCAAAAATTGATGGTATTTTTCCTTTTTCATAAAAACCAGTTGTTGTATTGGCTAAATTTTAAATAATTTGCAAACTATTAAATTTACTACCAAAATTGTCAGGATATCCAACATTTCTTTGAAACATGTATAAATTTATTGCTCTTGTAACTTGTCTTATGGATCTACATACTGATGATTTGGATGGTCCATGTGAATCACCAATAACAGCATATATACTTCCAGTTGCATAAAATCTAAGTGCAGTTAAAAGTTTATCTTTAGCTGACATTGCGTGATTTGTTGAATTAATTGGCTTTAATGAAGCTGAAATTTGACTTAAAAAATCTTCAAATTGTTCTCTATCAAGCCTGAATCTTTCTCTAAAATTTTCTTCTTCAAAATATTTTCTAGGCCTATAAATTTTGTTCTGCTTAATCGTTTGCTCGTCTTCTCCATCGTAAAATATTTCAAAATCGAAGAACATTTTCCTTAAATTTTTTTATTTTAGTAAAAAATATTACAAAAAATGATGTACCTTTTTCAAAATTAATTTTAAGCAATAATTTTAAGTAATAAAATTATAATTTTTATATCAAAAAATAGAGAATGAATCAAGCTTCAATGTTATCTAAAAATTTTAAAATTTGGTTAAGCCTAGGCCTAGAAAAAAATTTTTAAAGTTTTTCCACAGAAAATTCGCAGAAAAAATTTTAGGGTGGATTTTTTAATGAATTCTGTGTATTTTCCGCAGACCACAGAAATAATTGAAACAGAAATGCACAGAATCGACTAAAAAAGCCACAGATCTGTGGATTTTTTTCTGTGCACAGAAAAATAATTGAAATAGAATTCTGTGGTTTTTGCATGTTTTTGGATGTTTTGCAGAATCTGTGGATGTTTCCACAGAATCTGTGCATGTTTCCACAGAATCTGCGGACTCCTTTTTCCGCAGAATCCGTGGAATAATTGAAACAGAATTTCTGTGGTTCTGTGGTCTGTGCACAGAACGCAGACCGCAGAATCTGTGGACAATTGAAATAGGGCCCAGAACTCATTGCTTGTAAAAAATATATTTAATTTTTTAGCTTTTCTGTAACGGGAAACTTCCAAAAAATGCTCGTTTGTTTGATTTTGGAGCAGGTCCGGGTCGTTATATTGCATTTTCTATGCAAATCAGTAATGGAAATTGGCACTTTAAAAGTACTGTTGGCGGGGAATTTGCTGAAAATGGAATTCAGGGTAAAGAAAGATTTTTTCTAAAAAAATTTCTAAACAATTTTGAAGGCAAAGGATCATTAGATTGTGTAAATAAATGGATTCATTTGGCTGTTACACAACTTGGAGAGAATTTAACTCTTTATTTAAATGGTACAGTTGCTGGACAAACCAACAATCCAATGCCGCCTTTCCGCATTGGAAACACAACAAATAATTGGCTTGGACGTTCTCAATTTTATATCCGTCCTTATGATCGACCTTATTTTAGGTAATTGTTTTATTCCTAAAATTAAAAAAATTTATTTAAAAATTTTAAATTTATTTTTAATAAATTTTAGGGGATTAATTGATGGATTTAAAATATACCAAGGAGCTCTTAACCAAAAACAAATAAACGAATTAATGTGATTATTGGAATTTTTCTTTACTCAAATTTCGCTTCTACAGGGTGCGCCATAAGTAACCGGACACTTGTTTTCTCTCATAACTTTATTAAAACACAATCAAATAAAATCAAAATACAATCAGATGATAGAGAATTAAATAAGGAACAAAAATAATCAATAAGTTTCGAAATGCCCACCCTTGGCTTTGATACAGAGGCGAAGGCGCGAAGAAAAATTTTCGCAAATAGCACGCACCTCTTTGAGTGTAATTAAGTCCCACTCCCGGGTGAGAGAATGGCTCAGAGACTCCAAACTTTTTTGAGGCTTAGCACAGACCCTGGACTCCAAAATTGACCAAACAGAATAATCCTCGGGTTTAAATCCGGGGAGTGGGGCGGTAATTCCTGAGCGCTGATGAACCCAGGAAAATTGGCCTTGCACCAGTCCTGAACTTCTTTCGCCTTGTGTGCCGGAGCAGAGTCCTGTTGGAAAATCCAGACTCTGCGACCGAAATGGCTCTTGAACCGAGGCTTCAGAACACGCTGCAAGATTTCTCGCAAGTAATAGTCTTTATTGACTTTTACCCCAAGATTCACGAAAATAAGGGTTTTTTTGACTGACGCGCAAATACCGGCCCAAACCATGACAGATTGGGGATGTTGGGAATGAGTGATAAGTTTATCGGAAAGAGGAGATTCTGAAGTCCAAATTCTATAATTTTGATGGTTGTGAACGGCTTCTATCGTAAAAATTTTTTCGTCTGTAAAGAAAATGTCCGGACATGCGTGCCACTGTAGGAGGAGTTTGCATCTTTCAAGCCTAACTTTTTTGGTTTTTTTTGTTGGCAGTTGTGCTTTTTGGATTTTGTAGGGTATTAACCCAAGTTCATTTCTGGCTATTCGTCTGACGGTCACCTCACTTATTCCGGTTTCACGAGCCACTTTTCTCATGGAGGGTCGATAATTGAGATGCACCCAGTTTTTGATCATTTTAATATTCTTGGAAGTGCTGACGGAACTAGGTCTTCCACTTTTTTGTAAGTTCTTAGTTGTGCCATCATTACTAAATTAATTTCAAAAAAATTTTCTCTCAAAAAATTTTCACCAGAATTTTTTGAAAGTGTATTGTACAGTGCTTTTTGGGACAATCAAAAGAGATGAAATTTTGCGGACTGAATTTTTTTGCGAAAAAAGTGAGATTATAGAATCACGTTGACTAGCCATGATAGAGAATTGAATGGGCTAAAAAATAAGCAAAAAATCGTTTAAAAATATTGACAACAAAAAAAGTTATAAGGAATTTAAAAGTGTCCGGTTACTTATGGCGCACCCTGTATATTTACATGTATTTAAAAATGTAAATTTAAATAATGAAGAATAAAATTTTGCATATCTTAATAAATCTTGAATAATATTTTACGGGTTTTAAACAGAATTTTTAAATTTTAAAAGGGAATTCAAAAAAGGAAAAAACTAAAAGTTTAGTTAAAGTCATATAAACATAAATCACAATTAATTTCTAATTTTCTTTCGAACTAATAATTATCTGTTTTTGTTTTGGGTCGTCAAATCGGCTCATTGTTTGGACAGAATTAAGCATTAAAAATCCAAAAGAGAGAACTCCAATAAAAATAATTGCAACCACAAGAATCATCCAAGTACCAATACTTAATAAAGGTGCACAATCATTGACACGCCAGCCAAACTTTGCCATTCTTTTTTTATCAGGAGAAATATAAGTTGAATTCAATTGAAACTAAAAAATATTTATGTCATAGTTAAATTTATGAAACGCCCATTTTAGCGCCTCATAAAAGGCGAGAGAGAATAGACCAAATCAACTTATTCACTCATAAAAGTTTTGGGCCCGATCAAAAGTTGGCCCGTCCTCTCGCCTTTTATCTATTAAATATATTTGTTGAATAAAAAGTAAAAAGAAGGCCTTCGTTTTTAATAGGTGGATCGGCGCGCCCCAAGGGTGGGTTACCACTCTTGGGGCCCAACGCCGCTAACTCCTGTAAAAAGGGGTTAGGAGATATAATAATTTATATTAGTAAGAAAAGAGTAAAGTTGTTAATTAGATTCAGAAATGGTGAAAATAGATTACCCTCTATATAAATATTTGTATGGAATTGATAAAAACCCACCAAAAAGGAAATAATTGTATCTTTGAAAATTCAAAAATAATCAAGATTTTATCCCGAAAACATGGGATTTTATCCTAGTACCAATATAAAAATAGAAAAGTCAAAAAAAAACATTTCAAAATTTAAGTTACAAAATACTAACTTGTAAATTATGAAAAGCCAACCCAACTGCATGTTCTAAGCTTTCATCTTTTGCCCAAATAATTGGACTAGTTCGACCACAAGAGAAGGCATAGTCTTTAAACCCATTAATATTCCAGGCCGGAGACTGATTGTCTGTGAAAATCCATCCTTTATTGTTACTGCTTATACCAGAAACAAGTCGCCAGGTGTTATCGACACTCTAAATTAGAAAAAAATATCCTTATCAAATATTAAATAATTTACTAGAAGTGTTAACTCATAAATTTATATAAATTTTCGAAACATGCAACGTGTCAGTTCAGCATAAAATTTTAATTTCTAAATTGAATTCGAATTCGGCTACGGGATTCAAAATAAATAAATGCGACTTAAATTCGAACCCATTACACTCGGTTACCTACTGGGAAACTACAAACATATCGAAAAAGCATTTCTTCCTCGTTTTTTCTCGGGAGATAAAAATGAAAAATATGCGTCATACAAAATCAACTATTACCTAATTTTTGCGTATTTTTATGAGAAAGCTTTCACATAATTTCACTTCTTACAATGTTTTTCTCTAGAATTACCACAATTCAAAATTTTCTTGTAAGTTACATTAAAACTTAATTTACCAGTCAGACAAGGAATATGCATTTGACACAAAAAACACAGGAGTATGATAAAGTAAAAAAGAGAAAAAACTAACCGGAACTCCACCTTCTTCTGCGCCATCTAAACTTATTGTTCTAACATCGGCATTTACCAACTCCCAATAAGCTGATGAAGTAAAGTTGAATATTAAACTGAATAGAAAAATTTTTGAAAGAACTAAAAATAATAAAAACATACTCAACATCAACTTTGCTTAACCGGAAAATGACCTTCTTTTTATCACCAATATAATAGCCTGAAACACCTTCACCGCCAGCATTTGCTTGCAACGAAATTCTAAAAAAAGAAAAACAAACTACGAGATATGTGGCTTTTTGTTAACAAGGCATAAGGGAGATCAAAACTGAGCAACCGGACAATTACTTCAAAAAATCCCCTCAGGAAATAAGTCGATAAATTAAATATCAAATTTAGAAAGTCGTAGGAGTTTCGTAATATTTAAAAACCAAGTTACTTAAATTCCTGTCCTGTATTATGAGTTGGTGGGCATTCAATTGAACCACTATACGTTGCTCCCTTCGAAGTTGCATTAATTGTCGCCCAAGCAGACATTTTTTGTTTTACGTTATATAACACAACAGAAATCGATTCAATATATAAAAGGCAAGTGTTCTTTTCGTCTCCTTCCAAATAAAATTTGGCGCCGTCCTGCTTTAGTTCATTATGCGGTAAAACAATTGGAAATGAACCCGAAGCAGATGCAGAAGCACTTGTTTGAGAGTCATGCTCAATTTTCGGACCTCTAAAATAGATTTTCAGTTAAAAAATTAAAAAAATTATAAGCAAAAACGAAAAACCTTTACAGCTAATTAAAAAATTCTAAAATATAAACCTGACTGCTGAAATCGTAAAAATCACTAACAAAAATTCGAAGATCGAAGCATTAATTCCAAATCTCTTCATCATGATTAAAAATTTGTAATATAATCTGAAATATTTGCAAACAAAACAATAACTAAAAAAAGAAATACTTAACGTAGAGAAATTAAAGATCAATTTGGGCAGTTTGCCACAAAAATATGGAGGCAATATTTCAAAAAGAAAATGACTTGTTAACTTCAAATTGAACATAAAAAACAAAATTTAACAATTCCAACATCTTTATTCATTCATAATTTAACATTTTATCATTATCAAATAATATATTTAGGTATAGTCATCAAACAAATAAGTTCATCTGATTCCCAAATGGATTCCCTCCATTACCAAACGGACGTCCTCCAAACGAACGCTGCCCTCCAAATGAACGCTGTCCTCCATAATTACGTCGAACACCACGGCGTTGGAAGAAAAATGAGCGAACGGCAGAATAGCCAAAAGTCTCTTGATTGGTTTGGCGCTCCCTCTTCCAATCTGGACGGACATTCTTTCTGTAAAATTTGAATTTACAAAATTTTTAAAAAATAGTATTAGCCCCTAGCACCTATTGATATATGGGGTTCGATATAGTGGTGACTGAACACCACATCCCAAAATGTTTTAACTACATTACTAAATATTTAAAATATTTTTAACTAACCCAGCTTCCTTCTCAAGCGCATCGCAGGAAATGTTGTCAAAGAATGAATTGTGCTTATTATAATATTCCGAGTATTTGTCACTTGCAGTTATAGCCAAAAGTGAATTAACAGACTTCCCGCCATCTTCGCAGCCATCCTCTTTATCTGTTGCTTCATTTTTCTCCTCTGATTGTTCCAAATTAACACCTCCACCCTTCAAGTCTTCACGAAATTGTTCATTCGCCTTCTCAAAATCGTAATCCTTGTCGAAGGCTAAAAAAGATGGAAATTTAACAAAATTAAAATGATATCGACATTCGAGATTGTTAATCTCAAAAAATATTCTTGAAATATCTCGAGGTTAGTTTCATCTTTTATTTAAACACAAGAAAATAAATACCTGAAGTAGTATGCTGCCCTCCAACATTGCCACTCATTCCACCAACTCTAGGAGGACCCATCATATTTAATTTAGTAGGCATCTTCGGCTCTGGAGGCGGATTCATTGAAATCGACACAATTGCCGGATCATATGGAAGACCAGCAGACATATTTCCAAGCATATTCAACGCATTTGGCTGCTCACAAACAATTAAGTCTTTGATGTCACTCGCCTTGAAAACGATGTAATGATATAATTCATTCCTCTTTGGAACGAAAACAGGTGTCAAACGGTCCTCGGTTCCATAAGAGTAGACTAAATTTGAAAATAATACAATTAAAATAAACAATCCAACAAACCGTTTCGCAACGAGATTGTAGATTCAAGTGGGTCAACATTGTGCAAAGTCCCCTCGTAACTAAAATTAAAAGCAATTAGAATTTGATAAACCAGTCAAAAAATTTAAACCTTACCGAATGTCCAATTTAGAAATGAGGCTGATTTTGCTTCCAATATAAGGAGGCGGCGGTTGCATTCGCTGACGCGAAAAGTTCGTTGAACTCATATTGATCTGAATCCGTTAGCAATTAAGAAATTTCTAAAAATTAATTTATGAATAGTAAACATATGAAAATTTAAGTTATATTAGTTTGACCCAAATTTAAGAGGCTCAAATGCTGATCTAGGAATCATCTTTAGTAGTATCTGGTAAAATCATTTTCCAAATCAGAAAATAGGATTATTTTTGTAAAGCTTTTTAGTTCAAAAATTCTTTTTTAAATTCTTTTTATAAGGGGGAAAGGTAGTGAACGACATATCTACGTTTTCGTCGATTCGCGGCGAATAACTACTTTTATTCGCGAACGACTTTTTTTTAAACACACAACGCCAGAACTACGTTAATATCGATGTTTTGCGCCAAACGATTGCGAATCGACTTTTTTGTGTCTCTTTTTCTCTAATTTCACATTATATTTCCTTTCTCTTTTTCTATTAATTTTCTATGTCGTTGTCTCTCCATTGGAATTCTCTCCATTGGACTTTCCTCTTAACATTTCTCGTGAAATGCTCCAACAATCCAAAATTCTTAAAGTGATCCGAAAGAATTTGGTCAAGAAGTGTATCGAACTTTTTGATGAAATTGCTGAAGACCAACTTTAAGAAATTTTATGAACAATTCAGCAAGAATCTTAAGGTTTTTTAAATGTTTTTTTGAAAATTATTTGTTCTTTAGTTGGGTATTCACGAAGATTCTGTCAACCGTAAAAAGCTTGCCGAATATCTCCGTTACAACACTTCCTCTTCTGGCGATGAACTTGTTAGCTTGAAGGATTATGTTGGACGAATGAAGGAGAATCAGACTTGCATTTATTATATTACTGGCGAGTCTAAAGAAGTTGTTCAAAACTCAGCTTTTGTTGAACGTGTTAAGAAGCGAGGTTTTGAAGTTTTTTAAGAAGCGAGGTTTGAAGCGAGGTTTGAAGAAGATAAAGTTAAATTTGAGAAACTTTGCAAAGTTATTAAGGTATTTAAGATTTTGTTTAAAGAATTTTGGAATATTTGTTTTATTTTTAGTGTTAGGCTTCTCTCTTGAAGATCCACAACAACACGCTTCACGTATTTACCGAATGGTAAAACTAGGATTGGATATTACTGAAGAGGACTTGGAAGGAGGAGAGCAACAACCCTGCACTTCTGGGGAACCTGTCGAAAAGATTGCCGGTGCAGAGGAGGACGCTTCGCGTATGGAGGAAGTTGATTAAATTAATGTAAAAGGTTTTGATGGATTGATCTCCTCGTTGACTTTGTTTTTCTTTAAATTTATTTTGTTTTGTCGTCCTTATAATTATTTACTTTGTTTTTGAATCACGGATACATAAATTAATTTCACAAAAAAGTTTGTCTTGATTTTTAATTTGAGATCTGTTTTAGGGGAGGTGGGGAAACAAACGGCAGGATCAAGGTAAGCAGCACATCTGATGATGGAAAGACTTTCCGGATTTTCAATGAAAATTTCACTCATCTTCCTGTTAAAGGCTTTCAATCCACTTTTGGCATCATCTCCTCTTACTTCTCCTCTCCATATAGTAAGAATATAGATATGTGGAAAAATCCCTAAAAATTACAGAAAAGGGACTGAACATTTATAAAAATGGAAAATTGTAAATTCCAAAGGAGAGACTACACGAACGAAAATTAATAGAAAAAGAGAAAGGAAATATAATGTGAAATTAGAGAAAAAGAGACACAAAAAAGTCGATTCGCAATCGTTTGGCGCAAAACATCGATATTAACGTAGTTCTGGCGTTGTGTGTTTAAAAAAAAGTCGTTCGCGAATAATTGTAGATTTTTTTAAAACGACTTTTTTTCCTTAAGAAAAAGTCGATATGTCGTTCACTAGGGAAAGGGGACGATTCAGTATCGCCGTTTCAGTATCGGCCGATTCAGTATTTCGGCTTTTTGGCCATAACTTTTTGTTAGATCAATATTATAGAAATTTTTATATATGATTTGATAGGCCTCGGGGTGCCGCATCTTTTTCATAATTGGACTGACCTAATCTGATCATTTTACAAAAGGTTATTACTGATAAACTTCGTCACAAGCAGAAAAATCAGTTTTCAGGCTGTACTTTTTTTATGATGATTAGATCAGATCGGTTCAATTATGAATAAGATGCCGGATTACGAGATCTTTCGAATGATATTAGAATTATCCGAATCGGACGAATATCAGGAAAGTTATGGCCATATACTGAATCGACTATACTGAATCGTCCTTAACCGAAAATTCCGGAACGGGCCTGTTGAGCGCGAGGAAAGTTGAGCGCAGGCCGGTTGAGATCGGGCCAGTTGAGCGCGGCCGATTGATATTGCCTAGAGATCGGAACGGGATCGGGACCCGGTCCCGTTTCCCGGTTTCCCGGTCCTTTTTCCCGGCTTTTTTGAAGATGCCGGGATGAAACCGGGATCGGGAATTCCTGGTTTTCCCGGTCCGGGTCCCGGCCGGTTAATTTTCATTTCCCGTTTCCCGATCCCGGCTTTTTTTGGACCGGGAAAAATTCTAGCAGCTAATTTTAAATATTTTTGCTTGGCGTTTTGATTTTTGACTTAAAAATATTGGAGATTTACAAAAATTCTCAAAATTTTCGCCTGCGGCGCTGAAAACGGAAGAAATTTGGCTGTTTGGCCTTCCAAAATTCTCAAAATTTTCGCGGAAGAATTTGGAACGGAGAAATTTGGAGGTATTTTTGTAGGAAAAGTTGAGGGAAATTAGTGTATAGTGCGATATTATCAAGGGACCTGGTGATTAAGACATCTTTATCCCTCTAAATCCATTAGATCTGCCTTAATCATCTGATATCAGTGCCTTCCAATTGAAGGGATTTAAATAGATATCAGGTGATATAGGTGGTTGGAAGTCTTTCTCCACAATCTCTCTCAATGCTAGCCAACAAATACTTGAATCTCTCGATATCTCTTTTAATCCCTGATATCATTATTGCACAGAGAAGATCAAAGTGGATTTGGAGGGATTAAATAAAAATTAAATTAAAATTAAATCAGCATCAAGGTGGATTAGGAGGGATTAAAGGGAATTAGATGAGGAATATGTACATTTAGGCGATATAAAAAATTAGGGGAGGCTATCGGGAGATCCTTAACTCCAAAATCTCCTAATATCCCACAATCCTTCTCTAGCCTCTCAAATCCCTTTAGCCCTACGTAATCCGCTTTATGTTTTAATTTATTGTAATTTACATTTGTTTTATTGATTTATTTTACTGATTTATTAAATTTTTCTATTTATAAATCAGATTTTTTAATAAATAACTACTACCATAACTTTTTAAAATTTTTAAATGGATTTAAAATTTTTTTAAATTTCCCGGTTTCCCGGTCCGGGTCCCGGTCATTTTTGACCGGGATGAAACCGGGAACGGGAATTCCCGGTTTTCCCGGTCCGGGTCCCTCCCGGTCGACCTTCAGAACCCGTTTCCCGGTTCCCGGTCCCGGTTTTTTCAAAATTCCGATCTCTAATATTGCCTTATAAAATTTCGTCTAAATCGGTCGACAAATCCAATCAACCTTATTCATAAATTTTCGTTTGTTAATTCATTCAACTACAAAACAACATGAATCTATTTCGATTTATTGTAGCTAAAACTTTATTTTCTACTTCTATACTACATTTTATATTTGTTGTATTCTTGATGGGTAACGGTGCTCTTTCCAACTCTAGAAACTCTAGCAATAGAGGATCACAGCGGAAACTTGTCGAAAACCTGCGTAGAAACAATTTTGTTACCAAGGATCGAGCAATATCTGCATTACTTGCTGTTGATAGGGCTAATTTTGCGCCAACACGTCCTTATGACGATACGCCTCAGGTATTTTACATATTTTAACAAAATAAGAATCTTACGGGATGTAGTGTTGGGGCATATAAATTCTTGAATCCCACATCATTCTTAATTTACGGGACATTGCGACTGGAAATAGTTATCTATCTGTCATTTGGGTTTATTTTTTGCAATGAACTCCTCTTGATTGCTTTATATTTTAGTATATTGGTTACGGTGCGACTATTAGTGCTCCTCATATGCATGCAATAGCCCTAGAGCATCTTGTAGATGTTATTGGCGATGGCTCTCATGTATTAGATATTGGGTCAGGATCTGGGTATCTTTCAGCATGTTTTGCAAAGCTTGTTGGTCCGCGAGGAAAAGTTATTGGTGTTGACCATATTGAGGAATTAGGTACTTTTATTTTGGATAAAAAAATTTTATTTTCAGTGAATACTTCAATCGTCAATGTACGCAAACAAAATGCAGATTTGCTCTCTTCTGGCCGGCTTCATTTGTTCGTTGCTGATGGTCGTTTGGGATGGCCGGCTGCAGCACCTTATCAGGTTGTGTTTTTTTGTTTTCTTTAATTTAAAATAAAATTTATTTTCTAGGCGATTCATGTTGGCGCTGCATCAGAAGAACTTCCACGTACTTTAGTCGATCAGTTGGCGCCAGGTGGTCGAATGGTTATTCCAGTGGGCGCTTACAATCAACAATTTTTGCAAATAGACAAAATGCCCAATGGAGATATTGTTCGGCGGAACTTAGCAGATGTCAAATATGTGCCGTTGACTGCTAAATCTCTTCAAATGAATGGTGAAACTGCATCGATGCATTAAACACAAGGATCTCTAATTTTTTTTCTGATTAATAATTTATTTTGAAAAATTATTGTACTAAATTTTATGCCTAAATAAATCTTCAATTAATTATTTATATACAAATGAATGTTTAATTTCATCAAAAAATATTTGAATTATGTTAATCAAAAGTTGCATAACGGTGAAAGCCAGGGATGAGTGTTGTTTCCAGAAATCTGGTCCTTCATCACGAAACCCGACCCGTAGAAATGTTTGAAGACTCGATCCTGAATCCGACCCGAATTTCTTTTAACGCGACCAATCCCTGGTACAAACCGAAAGAAAGTAGCATCGCACCCGTTCTAATCTAATCGTTTATTTCACGTTTTCCCAAGTTTTAATTTTTGAGGCCTGCGTTTTCTGCTGGAATTTTTTAATTTTTGAAAATTTTAATTGGCATTTTGTTCTTTCCTTTATTAATTTTTAGTATTGCGCACAAATGACGCCTCCAGCATTTCAATTACCTCGACTCGCTACTGCTAAACACATTCTTGGATCTTATGACACATTTTTATTCGATGCTGATGGTGTTTTGTGGAGAGATGAGAATCCATTGCCTGGGGCCATTGATCTAGTCAAACAATTGTCAGATGTTGGAAAGCGAGTAATTATACTTACAAATAATTCCTCTCGGGATCCTGTTGGACATGCGGAGAAGGCTAAAAGATTGGGATTTTCAAGTTTGTTTATAATATTTTCTGTTTTTTGGAATTAGATTCAGGCCAGGAAAAATTTTCGGAGGGGGAGGGTGGAATCATTTCCTATTTTAACATTTTGAACTCGTGTTTTGGTTAATCTTTGACTATGTTTTACGGGCCTTGTTATAGTATTTTATTTTTAGTAACAGATTTAAAAAATTAATTAAAAAATTTAGACTTTACATCTAATGATGTTTGTTGTCCAAGTCTAATTCTTGTGGATCAATTAGAACAAATGAAGAAAGATCCAAAGTTTGCATCCAAAGCTCATCTGCCGATCTTTTTAATTGGACCGCCAGGTTTGGAAAATTTTCTTAGGAAGCGTGGAATTGAGTCAATTGGAACTGGACCTGATCCAATGCCTGACGGAAAGGTTTGAAAATTTGTTATTTAATGAATTTCCTAATAATATTTTAGTTATTCACTCTCGACAATGCTTCTGATTTTGTCACAAAAGAACCTGTTTTAGCAGTTATTGGATCATTCGATTCACACATTAGCTTCCCAAAAATTATGAAAGCAGTAAACTATTTGCATGATGATGAAATGCCATTTTTTGTGACAAACGAAGATGCACGCTTTCCTGGAAAAGATCCTAATATTGTTATTCCTGGAGCTGGAACGGTATAATATTAAATTCGCTTATTTTGATTAACTATTCACAAAATATTAATTACATACATAATTACTGGTGAGCGAAAATGAAAATTTTTTCACATTAATTTTCTGATGAAATTTATAAATAGTTTTTAACTTCGTAAATTTTTTCAAAAATGAATTTAAATTTCAGATTACTTCAATGTTAAGATACGTTTCTGGACGTGAACCAATAGTTATGGGAAAGCCAAGTTCCTTCTGTTGGGATTATATTTGTAAAAATTTTGGTGGTTCATTTACACGAGAAAGAACTTTAATGATTGGAGATAGGTAATTTATTGATGATTTAATAAATAAAAATTAATTTTTTTAAAAGATGTGAAACGGATATTCAATTTGGACGTAATTCAGGCCTTAGCCTGAATTACGCATTGGATCAGGTCCAGTTCCAATTGACTCAATTCCACGCTTCCTAAGAAAATTTTCCAAACCTGGCGGTCCAATTAAAAAGATCGGCAGATGAGCTTTGGATGCAAACTTTGGATCTTTCTTCATTTGTTCTAATTGATCCACAAGAATTAGACTTGGACAACAAACATCATTAGATGTAAAGTCTAAATTTTTTAATTAATTTTTTAAATCTGTTACTAAAAATAAAATACTATAACAAGGCCCGTAAAACATAGTCAAAGATTAACCAAAACACGAGTTCAAAATGTTAAAATAGGAAATGATTCCACCCTCCCCCTCCGAAAATTTTTCCTGGCCTGAATCTAATTCCAAAAAACAGAAAATATTATAAACAAACTTGAAAATCCCAATCTTTTAGCCTTCTCCGCATGTCCAACAGGATCCCGAGAGGAATTATTTGTAAGTATAATTACTCGCTTTCCAACATCTGACAATTGTTTGACTAGATCAATGGCCCCAGGCAATGGATTCTCATCTCTCCACAAAACACCATCAGCATCGAATAAAAATGTGTCATAAGATCCAAGAATGTGTTTAGCAGTAGCGAGTCGAGGTAATTGAAATGCTGGAGGCGTCATTTGTGCGCAATACTAAAAATTAATAAAGGAAAGAACAAAATGCCAATTAAAATTTTCAAAAATTAAAAAATTCCAGCAGAAAACGCAGGCCTCAAAAATTAAAACTTGGGAAAACGTGAAATAAACGATTAGATTAGAACGGGTGCGATGCTACTTTCTTTCGGTTTGTACCAGGGATTGGTCGCGTTAAAAGAAATTCGGGTCGGATTCAGGATCGAGTCTTCAAACATTTCTACGGGTCGGGTTTCGTGATGAAGGACCAGATTTCTGGAAACAACACTCATCCCTGGCTTTCACCGTTATGCAACTTTTGATTAACATAATTCAAATATTTTTTGATGAAATTAAACATTCATTTGTATATAAATAATTAATTGAAGATTTATTTAGGCATAAAATTTAGTACAATAATTTTTCAAAATAAATTATTAATCAGAAAAAAAATTAGAGATCCTTGTGTTTAATGCATCGATGCAGTTTCACCATTCATTTGAAGAGATTTAGCAGTCAACGGCACATATTTGACATCTGCTAAGTTCCGCCGAACAATATCTCCATTGGGCATTTTGTCTATTTGCAAAAATTGTTGATTGTAAGCGCCCACTGGAATAACCATTCGACCACCTGGCGCCAACTGATCGACTAAAGTACGTGGAAGTTCTTCTGATGCAGCGCCAACATGAATCGCCTAGAAAATAAATTTTATTTTAAATTAAAGAAAACAAAAAAACACAACCTGATAAGGTGCTGCAGCCGGCCATCCCAAACGACCATCAGCAACGAACAAATGAAGCCGGCCAGAAGAGAGCAAATCTGCATTTTGTTTGCGTACATTGACGATTGAAGTATTCACTGAAAATAAAATTTTTTTATCCAAAATAAAAGTACCTAATTCCTCAATATGGTCAACACCAATAACTTTTCCTCGCGGACCAACAAGCTTTGCAAAACATGCTGAAAGATACCCAGATCCTGACCCAATATCTAATACATGAGAGCCATCGCCAATAACATCTACAAGATACTCTAGGGCTATTGCATGCATATGAGGAGCACTAATAGTCGCACCGTAACCAATATACTAAAATATAAAGCAATCAAGAGGAGTTCATTGCAAAAAATAAACCCAAATGACAGATAGATAACTATTTCCAGTCGCAATGTCCCGTAAATTAAGAATGATGTGGGATTCAAGAATTTATATGCCCCAACACTACATCCCGTAAGATTCTTATTTTGTTAAAATATGTAAAATACCTGAGGCGTATCGTCATAAGGACGTGTTGGCGCAAAATTAGCCCTATCAACAGCAAGTAATGCAGATATTGCTCGATCCTTGGTAACAAAATTGTTTCTACGCAGGTTTTCGACAAGTTTCCGCTGTGATCCTCTATTGCTAGAGTTTCTAGAGTTGGAAAGAGCACCGTTACCCATCAAGAATACAACAAATATAAAATGTAGTATAGAAGTAGAAAATAAAGTTTTAGCTACAATAAATCGAAATAGATTCATGTTGTTTTGTAGTTGAATGAATTAACAAACGAAAATTTATGAATAAGGTTGATTGGATTTGTCGACCGATTTAGACGAAATTTTATAAGGCAATATTAGAGATCGGAATTTTGAAAAAACCGGGACCGGGAACCGGGAAACGGGTTCTGAAGCTCGACCGGGAGGGACCCGGACCGGGAAAACCGGGAATTCCCGTTCCCGGTTTCATCCCGGTCAAAAATGACCGGGACCCGGACCGGGAAACCGGGAAATTTAAAAAAATTTTAAATCCATTTAAAAATTTTAAAAAGTTATGGTAGTAGTTATTTATTAAAAAATCTGATTTATAAATAGAAAAATTTAATAAATCAGTAAAATAAATCAATAAAACAAATGTAAATTACAATAAATTAAAACATAAAGCGGATTACGTAGGGCTAAAGGGATTTGAGAGGCTAGAGAAGGATTGTGGGATATTAGGAGATTTTGGAGTTAAGGATCTCCCGATAGCCTCCCCTAATTTTTTATATCGCCTAAATGTACATATTCCTCATCTAATTCCCTTTAATCCCTCCTAATCCACCTTGATGCTGATTTAATTTTAATTTAATTTTTATTTAATCCCTCCAAATCCACTTTGATCTTCTCTGTGCAATAATGATATCAGGGATTAAAAGAGATATCGAGAGATTCAAGTATTTGTTGGCTAGCATTGAGAGAGATTGTGGAGAAAGACTTCCAACCACCTATATCACCTGATATCTATTTAAATCCCTTCAATTGGAAGGCACTGATATCAGATGATTAAGGCAGATCTAATGGATTTAGAGGGATAAAGATGTCTTAATCACCAGGTCCCTTGATAATATCGCACTATACACTAATTTCCCTCAACTTTTCCTACAAAAATACCTCCAAATTTCTCCGTTCCAAATTCTTCCGCGAAAATTTTGAGAATTTTGGAAGGCCAAACAGCCAAATTTCTTCCGTTTTCAGCGCCGCAGGCGAAAATTTTGAGAATTTTTGTAAATCTCCAATATTTTTAAGTCAAAAATCAAAACGCCAAGCAAAAATATTTAAAATTAGCTGCTAGAATTTTTCCCGGTCCAAAAAAAGCCGGGATCGGGAAACGGGAAATGAAAATTAACCGGCCGGGACCCGGACCGGGAAAACCAGGAATTCCCGATCCCGGTTTCATCCCGGCATCTTCAAAAAAGCCGGGAAAAAGGACCGGGAAACCGGGAAACGGGACCGGGTCCCGATCCCGTTCCGATCTCTAGGCAATATCAATCGGCCGCGCTCAACTGGCCCGATCTCAACCGGCCTGCGCTCAACTTTCCTCGCGCTCAACAGGCCCGTTCCGGAATTTTCGGTTAAGGACGATTCAGTATAGGAAAGGCTAATTATAACTATTTTTAAGGGAGTAATTATTGTTTCAATCTTTCGCTGGAAGGGGTAACTAATACAGGCGGGGTAATTATTCGAGGGAGGGACATTAATACAGTTTTTACGGTAACTCCATAAACCCTCTATTTAATAAACTGTTTTGGTTAAATATTTTAGAACTCAATATTCCTAAAAAATTATTGAGAATTTAATTGAAAAAAATTAAATATTTTTAAAAGCTTTTTAATTTTATTCAACTTTTTTTTGTTAATTTTACTTAAAAAATTCTTGGAATCAACAAAAATTACTAAATATTCTTTTTGCAGATAATTGAGGAACCGGTAAAAAAAAGAAATAAGGAAAAAGCTTTTTATGGGAAGAAAAGAAAATTAAAAAGAATGAAAAGCAGCGGGGGATGATGGGCTGCTTGAATTGGCAAAAAAGTGTGGGTGGAAAAAAATGAAGGAAGACAAGAGGGAGAATGAGTGAAATGAAAGTAAGGGGGAGAGGTAATATAAAAAAAGAAATTTTAAAGGGTAAGGGCATTCCCTAAAAATTTTTGGGCGGGGGTGGTTGGGGGGAGAGAGGGAGAGAAAAGTAATTTTGAATTTTTGTTAAGGAAATTTTTGAAAAGGGGGGAATGAAAAGAGGTGGTGAAAAGGTTAAAGGTTGGCTGCTAATTATGGACAATTAGTAAATAAAAATATGCTTTTTATTTAATTTTAGAGTAATTTTAGGAATCTGTGCCAGTCAAAATTTTTTAAAAATTAAATCTAAAAATAAATCCCAAAATATATCAAAAATCAGCTAAATATTAAATATTCGTGAATTTATGAAAAAAGAATGGAGGGAGAACTAGGTATCCAATCACAGGGAGCAGCAGTCCAAAAAAATCACAAAAATCAGAAATTATTTTAGCTCTCCTCTTTAAATTTTAATTATATATTTTTATATTAATTTTTGAACCAAATTAAAATATTTTCTCGCCAAACTAGATATGGAACAAGCAAAACATTTTATGCAAAAAAACAAAAATGGAAGGAGGGGATTATAAAATTACTAACTAAAAATAACTTTTTAATTGAGGTATTTTGATACTAAAATAAAAACAAAAAGCAATTTTATTGCAATTTTCTTGTTTAAAAGAATAAATAAGTAAATCTTTTTTGGAAAAATACTTATTTAAGGTATTTTAAAGGTTTAACACCCTAAAAATCAGCTCCTTAGGGAGAGAGTGAGAGAGGGAAATATCGTATTTCCGAAAATAAAACTTCACCCTGAAATAGAGCCCCAACTTTTTGGATAGTAGAAAAATAGAGCCCTATGGGGCTATATTTTCGGTGATACAGTATATTATAATGTATATTTAATATTAATTTATTTAATAAACAAATAAATGTTTAACTTTAAATAAAAACACTTTCTTTTAGTTTAATATAATAAAAAATGTTTGGTGCCATTGAAACTTAAACAAATTATAAATGCCATCTTAAAAACTTTGTTAATGGAGTGAAAAGGAAAATAAAATAAAAGTAAAATGAATGGAAGGAAAAAAAGTTTTTTTTATTTACAATTTAGAAGAAAACTTTGGCAGGTGAAGAAAAAATAATTCAAAACAAAAGTTTGTAAATAAATGCAAAACTTGTTAAAGTTTTTATTTTATTTTTAATTATTGCAGAAAATAAAAGAGAATATTTATTAATTGGGATTTTTTGCGTGATAGTTTATATTAGACAAGCTGAGATTTACAAAAATATTTTTAATAATATTAAAAATAAGCAAATATTTTTAGCAGCAATATTGCAAATAAACAAAAGCAAATATTTAACCTAATGTGAAAAAAAATAAAATTTTATCTGCAAAGGTGAAGAATTTAAAAATAAATTTTAGTACTTTGAATAGTAGACAGAGTTAGTAAAGAAACGGATAAATAAATTGTAATTTAATAAATTAGTTGCACTTAAAAATGAGTCAGAATTATTAAATTAAATTTAATAATTTTAAAAACAATTTTTTGAATTATTAAAAAATTATTTAAAAATTAATTTTTGGTTTATTATTAAAATAAAAAATAGAATTTAATGTTTATAAATTTATTATTCACAAAAATATTGAATAAGAAAATCTCAGAAAAGTGGTTTTTAATGGATAAAAAAAGAGAGGGAGAATTAAATGGGAGAATTGAAGCAAAAATTAATTCCTTTCTTTCTTTCCCCCTCAACCCCCTCAAAACACCCTCACAAACTTAATATTTTATTCAAATAACTTTTTAGAAAGGGGTTTTTACAGTTATTAATTTACAAATTTAAAAAATCTTTTTATTTTCTCAAATATTTTTTTTGGTTTTTGGAATTTTTGATGCTTAAAAAAAGTCAAAAAATTTTTAATTTATGTTTATTTTAATTAAAAATGTTTAAATTATTTTTAGCAAAAATAATTTTAAAATCACAAAAATTAATGCGAGGGTGGAAAAATTAAGCAGATAAATTAAACAAAATTTTTTTTATCAACTATTCTCACACTAAATTAATTTTGGTTTAATTAATTAATGCAAAATTAACAGACCAAAATAAATTAATCTTTCAATAAATATTTCTTTCCCCTCAAGAGAATAAATAAATAATTTTTTTTTGATTTTAATTTTTAGGTGTTTAAAGAACAATTAATTTATATAAAAATGTTAAAAATGATAAAATTATTCCCCACTCTATCTAATAATTATTACCAGACAAAATGAATTTTAGAAATAAAAAAAGCGGAAATAAAAAAATATTTTTTGGAACTAAATGTGATTTTATTAAATAATAAAGTTTTAAATAGTTTTTTTAATTAAATAAAAGAAGTTGTTTATATAATAAGAAAGTTTTAATTATTTATTGTTTAATTAATTAATTGTTTTATTTAAATTAAAATTTTTTTAGAAAAATTAATTTTAAAAAATGAAAGGAAATTCTTTTTTAATTTTTTTTCAAAAAAAATTTTTAAAAGAAATGATGGGGCAACTAAAAAATATTTTTTAATGACATGTAACGATTAACAACATCTTTTAATTTTATAATAGAGAAAATCGGTGTGACGCTTGGAGATTAGGATTATTTTAATATATAAAAATATTTTGGATTTTTAATATTAAGGATGTTAGAGAATTATGAAAATTAATTTTACATTAATACAAAAATTAGAAAAAAAATTAAAAAACGGTCTAGAAAAAATATTTAAAAGGTTATCCTTTAAAAGAATATTTTTTAAAAGAATTTTTTTGTTAGAGATTTCTACTAGAAAATATTTTTTTAGAAAAAAAAGTTAATAGTAAATATTAAAATTTATTAGTAAAATATTTTTGCTGTTTCTATTTGTTTCTAGGAAACGAAAATTAGTAATTGACAAAGAATGATACTATTAAAAATAAAGTAAATTAAGAGAAAAGTCATAAAAAAGGAAAGGAAGGGGAGGTTTAGAGAGAGGAGAGGGGGACTTTAAAAATAATTTGGATGATTAATTAGTTGAGATTAATTGAATACAGATATCTAATAATTAAAGTCGAAGTGCCACATAAATATTTACCTATTATGTTTAAACAAAAAATATTTTGAAGAAAAAAGCTGCGTGAAACAAAATAAATAATAATTATTTAAAAAATTCCCCAACATTTTTTGCACTTTTGAATGAGAATGGCATTAAAAAATTATTATTTTTTAAATAAAGTACAAATTAATTGTTTATTATTTAAAACAGGTGTATAATAAAAGTCATAAGACTTTTTGAAAATTTATGAGAATTTTTTAAAACAAAACTGAATTAATTTAATTTGTAATTTTAATATTTAAATAAATAATGAAAAGATATTAGCAAGAGACATTAAAAATATGGCCGTATATGAAATGAATGCGGCAATCAAATTTTTTCCTTATTCTTAAAAATGGTTAATTTTCTTATATTTTTCTCTCTATTTTTGATTTGTGCCTTAAGACTATGAACGCAAAAGGATTATTTACTTTTAATTTTGCGAGCATTTACTTTTTTTCTGCCCGTATTTTGACTGACCGATGTGTGTGCGTGTTATGTCTTTCTGAGTTCGTCCGTGTCTTGTCTGTCCGAGTTTGTCAGACAAAACACGGACAAACTCGGACAGACAGACAAAACATGGGCAAACTCGGACGAGCACTTACGGTCACGGACGGTCACAGACAGACAAGACACGGACGAACTCGGAAACACATAACACGCACACACATCGGTCAGTCAAAATACGGGCAGAAAAGAAGTAAATGCTCGCAAAATTAAAGAAAAATAATCCTTTTGCGTTTATAGTCTTAAGGCACAAATCAAAAATAGAGAGAAAAATATAAGAAAATTAACCATTTTTAAGAATAAGGAAAAAATTTGATTGCCGCATTCATTTCATATACGGCCAAAAATATTATAAGAAATGCATATTTATTGAAGGTATAAAACTGATGATTTGGTTTGTTTTCCTAATGTGATATCGAGTAATAGATCTACTAAGAAGTATTGAGATATGTAAGAGTACACCCAAAGGGTGTGAAAACAGAAAAATTTATTAATTGAGAGTGACAAAGCAGAGCTGATATAAGTAGAAAGTTAATTGATATAAGCGGGGGTTTTATATTAATTAACCAACCATGTAACTGAGGAGTTGAACCAGAAACAAGTAAAGAACGGGAACCACATCCAAGAAGCCCATTCCCACCACCACCAGCATAACCAGAATCTTGTAATGATGTTTGACTTAAATTTCGAGGGCTTGGAGTGCATGATTCGAACAAAAGTTGAGTGCTGCCATTATTAATGTTGTTATTAGCTATAGCTAATGCTGATTGTGATCCACGACGACTTCCTACAATTTAAGAAAAAAATTATTTTTTTTTATCTTGAAAAAAATTACCAGTTTTACTTCCTCCCCCATTAATATCCAAAGGAGAACCATTACTTCCATATCTACATGTTGCTTGTTTAAGTGCCAAATAAACTGGATCCACAATTTCTGTTTCTAAATTTTAAATAAAAATATATGTACCTATCAATTTTCAATAAATTAGAGATATTTTGTTTAAGATATTTGATACTTTGAATAAAGTTATTAACACTAATTTCTGGTCATTCCATACATTTTTTATAAAAATTATAAAATCGTTAGAATATTTTTGCCAATAAAGTATTTTTTAATTAGTTAAATCATCTATAAGTACATTACATATAAGATTTTATTTTATCGAGAATTAAGCTACTTTGTAAATACTATTAAGTTTTACCGGAAATTTAATTATTTTTATTTTACATACAAATATGGGAAAATAAAAAAATAAAACCTATATTTTTGATATTTGTGATTGTTATTTGGAGTGTACATATATACCTAAGATCTAATCTGCCTAAATAAACCCATAGATATTAGATAAAATTAAATTAAAATTTTATTCAAAATAAAATTATTACCAGTTCCATCTAATTGAATAGCCAAACAGCGTGTAGGGGTAGATTCAGTTGAACTAGAAAAACTGCTTCCCCTACTTCCACCTGCCTCAGCCCCTCCATGATGGTGTCCATAATGATAATGATGTTTCTGAAAACGTGACGCTAAATCACTTTGTGGGCAACGACGAAGAGGGATATTTGGGCGTTTAATTGAATTGGGAGGTTTTATTATATTTTGAAATTCTGTGCCACCAACACAATTAAAATTATTATTTTGGGCAGAAAAATAATCAAAATTAGGGGGACAACAAGAAAAATGTCTTTTCTTTAATTCTTGTATTTGATTTTGGGAAGAAAAAATTTCTGGAAGTTGGCGATTTGTTGGGGGTGGTTGATTATTTGAAGTAGAAAGGTGAAAATAAAATTGTTGTTGTTGATGTAATGAAGGACTTCCAGATATTGAATTTGCTGGGCTTGAATGCCTCGAAGAGGAAGATTGAAGTTTTCGTTGTTGTAAACATTTAGGAGACCCCAAAGGGGAATTATTTGAAGAAGAACCTCCAGGAGAGGAATATCCAACAGGGGAACCATTAAATCCTCCCATGTTTAAAGCTTTTGGAAGTTGACGACGGTGAAGTTTTGGTTGAAAAAGGGGGGTAGTATTTTGTTGTTTTTGTTGATTAAAAAAGTTGTTAATTAATGAAGGGTGGGAAGAACACATTTGTTGGTTTGAAATTTTAGAGAAATTATTATTCTTTTGTTTTTGTTGTCTTAAAAACATTTCTAGCCCTCCTTCTTGACTTTCTGCCCGAATTATTTGTGGCTGTTGTTGTGAACGTTTATTATAAATTAAAGCAGCAACAGAATGTTTTCTAACATTTTGTTCAATTAATTGTTTTCCTCCATAAGAAGCAAAACGATTACGATAATGAAAACGGCGATTATTCTCTTCGTCTTCATTTTTAATAATTAATTGTTGGGAATTAGATTTTAAATAAAAATTATTTTTTGTTAAATTATTTTGTTGATTAATAAATAAATATTTTTGGATTTCCATATGTTCTAATTGTTCTTTTTCATTAATTGTTGTTGATGGTTTTGAAAGTTGAAGACTTGAACGTCGAATATTATTTTGTGAAAGAGGTAATAGGCAACACTGAGAGACAAAAATAAATAAATAAATAAAAATGATAAATGAAAATTGTTTTTTTTGACTTTTTTGTTTAAATTGGTTAATAAATTTTAAATATTTTTTTAGACAAAATTATTTAAATTTGAAATAATTTTGGGAAAAAATAAATATATTTAAAAATATGATGTGGATACTTAACCATTAAAAAATTTTTTATTTCAAATTTAATTAAAAAATTATCCCATCACTTGTTTAAAAAAAATTTTTTTTTAAATTTCCTTTATAAAAAAGACAGCAAAGTGTCAAGTTTTAATTAAATAAAAACTAAAATCCATATATTTCCAATTTCAAAGAAAGTCAAAAACTTTGGAAAATATTTTTAAATTTAAAATTAATTAACCAATTGTTGTTGCTCTGGAAAATAATTATTATTTAAATGTTGATTGTGTTGTTGTTGTCGAATAATTAGAGAAGGAGGAGGTCTCCCTTCAGAGTTTTTACGTAAAGTAACCATTTTAATTGGGAAGGAAAATGAGTAAGTAGAGGAATTTTAGAAAATTTGATACTTTTTTTTTGTTAAATTCTAAAATAGATATTTTGCATGACAGAGAAAATATTCTCTCTTTAATTATTTAAATATTGATAGAAAAATATTTTTAAAAACTTACAAAAATATTCAAAAAAATATAGTAAATATTAATCAAAAATATATTTTAATTAAAGATTTACCTAAGTAAATTTTGGAAAAAGGATAAAAAATTTAAAGTTTAATTAAGAAAAGGAAATAAATATTTTTAAAAACAAAGGATATTCTTGAATAATAAATTAGAAAATATATGGGAAAATATTTACTCTTTATGCAGAAAAATAAGAATAAATTTGAGAAAAAATATTAAAATATTTGTGTATAATTTGAAAAAATACTATAAACATACATATGTACAATTAATTAATTAAAAAATATTTGGTACTCTTGTGTGTTATCAGTCCCCATTCCCATTTTCCTTCTTTCCGAAGTTGATCAGCTATAACTCTTTTGTGCTTGATTCAATCCTAATTAATTTTTTTAACTAGCTATTTTTTCATCTAGATGAATCAAGTATGATCGCCCATTAAATTTTACAAGTCGATAAGTGTCAAAAACACCGATTCTTGCACTTATCGAGTTGTAACTTTTTAATAGGCGATCAGACTTGATTTATCCACTTGAAAAAGATAGCGCTTAATAATAAAGATAGCGCTTAATAATAATAAATAATAAATTCATTCGGATTGGATTCATCATAAAAGTTATAGCCGATCAAAAGGAAAATGGAGGCGGATAACATAAGAGTACCAAATATTTTTTAATTAATTTAAGAAAGTCGAGGGAATTAGAATACATGTGTTGGAAATCGTTATAGTCTCTAATTTATCTAAATATTTGCCATTTTTTGTAAATATATAGTATTGGGTAGTTTATCTTTTAATAAACAAAAACAACTCTAAAATACTCTTCCTAGAACTTTCTATGTATTTATTTATTAAAACAAATACTTAAAAGAAGATAAACAGAAAAATAAAGAAATTTAATTAATTATTTAAATTAAATAAAAGTGTATATATAAAATAATATTTATTTAATTTTTAAGAAATTTTGTAAAATAATATTGTGATTGTGAAAGTCTTTAAAAAATAAATTTAGTGTATAAAGGAAAAGTTTTTTTTATTTTAATATTATTTCAGTGTCAAAAAGTGTAATATTTATTTAAAAAAGTCTGTCTTTGTCCAAGCATTAATAAATTTTAAGAAAATGGCAAATATGTATTCAGAAAAGTAAAAAATGTTCATGTCTGGAGGCCTTAGGGTATATATTGAGTTGCGTGTGTGGTGAAAATGTGAATATATGTATATTACTTATTTACTAGTACTTTTGGGAAATAAAGTAATTGACACCTTTTGACATTTCATGACAAAAAAACTTTTTTTCTAATAAATGAAATTTTTGTATAAAATTTAAAAATATTTAGAAAGGGGAATTAATTATTGTTGAGGGAAATAAATGGATAATAATTTAAAAGAATTAAAGAGAGATTAATAAATTAAAATCAAGAAAAGGCCTCCTAAAAAGATAATGAAAATCAGAGGCTAGAATATTATGCTCACTAAATTATTCCTATTGAATTGAAATAATTTTAAATAAATTTGGAAAAATGGATAGAAAATTAAGTAAATTAATTTTTAATTAAAAAATTAATAATTAAAGATATTTCTCTCAATAAAAATTAATTAAATGAAATAAAGAAAAACTTAAATATTTGATAATTAATTAATTATAAATATTTAAATTAACTTTTAAAAATCAAAAATTAAAAAAAAAAGAACATTTTACATTTTTCAATTCATTAATTCGTCACCACGTCAGTGTCAATTTGCCTTTTTATTTCTCCAGTAAACACAAATTGACATGCTAATGCAAACATGACACGAAAAACATTTGTAAAAAATATTTAAAATAATTTTTTTTCAGACAAAAAATACTTTATTAAAGTAATGAATAATAAATATATTTTGAAATGATTTATTTGGAAAAATTTTTAATAATCTGAATTTTAATAATTTAATGGTATGGAATGGAATATTTTAGATTCAAGAAAAATGATAAAATTTTCTGTCGGATTTTTTTGGATTAATTTTGATGCAGAAAAGTTGTAAATGAGCTGGAAATGCTGAAGAAAAATCTAAAATAATAAATACAGTCAAATAGCCGTTAAATATGGATTGAATTGAGCTGAAGTAAATAATAAAGAAAGAGATCTAACTAAGATCCGGGTCAAATTGAGCGAGAGGGATCGAAACAGAACTGGGAGGCGTGATAACGAAATTCGAATTTCCGAATGTACACACTATTAATAAGTGATAAATGACTTAGAAAAGAAAAAAAATACTAAATAAAGATTTTGGGTATCTGTGAAAATATATTTTTAAATTTATTTAAAAAAACATTTTGTGTGGTCTGACATATTGTTTTTTCTTCTTTCCGGTCACCACTGGCAATGTAAAAAAGTAAGAAAAATAAACATAAAAAATTATAATGAATGATTAATGCAAAAAATTATTGAAAAGTACAAGGAAGTGTAATAAAGAATATGTAATTCAAGAAAAAAATAAATATTTTTACGGCTGAACGGGAATAGAAAAAAATTATATAAAAGAAAAATTTAAATTTAAAAAAATCAGAAGAAAAGAAAATGTTTAAATAAAATATTTAAATAATCGAGGCTTAAATTTTTGGTAATAGCTTTTGATTTATGCCCTCCCCCTTTCCCTTCTATATTTTTCAAATAATTAGAAATTGTAATTTAATTAAAAGCAAAAAATAACTTAAACAATAGTAATTAATTAATTATAAACCTAAAGATTCTTTAACAAAAAATTATATTTTGTTATTAAATAAGGTAATATTTCTTTAAATCATTAATGATAATATTTAAAAATAAACACCAAATATATAAAACACAAATATTTATTTATCTTCACCAAAAAAGACATTTTCCTTAATAATCTTTTAAAATCCTATTTTTAGCCTTTAATATCCATATATAAATATACTCTCTTACATATAACAAAAGAATTTTCTATTAAAATTCCCATTAGTGTTTTCTCTCTTAAAAATTATTTTGGCAACAAATAATAACAAAAGGGGATGATGGCACAGAAAATCAAAATAAATAAATTAAAAACCAAAAACCAAAAAAAAAATAAAAGAAACCTTCGGCAAATTTCTAAAACGAGTCATTGATTGAACAACACGAAAAGCAGAAGTCCATTTACGAGAAGGACTTTTTGCTGTTGTTGTTTCTGTTGCTCTATTACTATTAGGTAATGGGGGTGGGGGAGGTGTTTCTCCAATAGCAACTGTTGAATCCTTTAAAAGAAAAAATGAGGGAATAATTTATTAAGTTTTAAGGAACAATAGAATTTTACAGGCTTTTTTGTATTTTGTGAACAATAATTAATATACGTAGATATTTTCAGTTAGTATTCAAGCTAAAATTGAATATATCTATGTATGTATTATTTACCTATATCATAAATTATTTTCATAATTTTGAATATTTATGTTTTGAGAGTAGCTTTTTGCTAATAAAGTATAGAATTTTAAATATTTTTAATTTTTAAAAGAAAGGAAATTTCAAAATTATTTTATTATTCTATAATTATTTCCGGCTTACTATAATACTAATAGAAATTTTAATTTTCCTTAAATTATTAATTTATTTTGGCAAAATTATTTTTCAAATAAAATATTCTGTCCAGACAATTTTATAAAACAAAATTTCCTTTTTTTAAAAAAAATTAACCCTTTTAGCATTTTGTCTTTGTAAATATTGTTTATTATTAAGTTGTTGTTGTTGATTATTTAAATTTAATTGTTTCCCTTCAACAATAACACCTACAGGCCTCATTTTTTCAAAATTATTTAATTTTCTTTCTTCTAAACTTTTAAATTTTGTTGTTAATTTTGGGACTTTTTGTTGTTTTTTTGTTGTTGGGATAGAAAGGAATTGTTGTTTTTGGGTGGTTAATTGAAGGTTTGAGGAAGAAAATGAAGTAAATTTATTTTTTAAATCTTTTTTAAAATTATTTTTATTAAAGGACATTTTTTAAGAATAAAAAAAGGACAAAAAGAGAAAAATAAAAATATTTTTTAAAAAATAATTTTTAATGAATACAAGGGTTTTTGTTTAAATTTTTATTATTTTTTTAAAATTAATGATGAACTTTTTTTATTTAGTACACACAAATATGTATACACATATATTTATTTATCTTTTTTATTTCCGCTTCATAGTTAAATAAATATGTAAATATATTTTTAAGTGAATTTTAATGATAAATAATTATTTTTTAGAGGATTTACGTGTAAAAAGTAAGTGATATAAAGATTTTAAAAAATGTGAAAAATTAATAAAATGCAAGAACAAATATTTAAAAATTGTATTTTAATGAGAAAATTCTTTAAATAATTATGTGACCCTTCCAGAAAAAAATCATAGAAAATTGAAAAAAAATATTTAAATACAAGTTAGGTACTATGGATTAAAATGTTAAAGCTAAAAAAATCGAAATTTAGTCAAAAAATAATTACATAATTTTTTATTTTAATCCACAAAATTATAAATAAAAATATATATTTTATGTTGCCATGAAAATAAATTAGTTACGCGATAAATATTTAGCTTATAGTTTTTTATTTAAAATATATATAAAGGAACTGTGAAACCTTAAAATTTTGTTGTGTTAATTTCTTCTTGTTAATTCTGGTTAATTACAAAAGGATTAGTATATTGATAAAGAAAGTAATAATTATAGATCCTAAAATTATTATTAAAGGAAATTTTAATTAAATAAAAATACTTAAAAAATTGAGAAAATTTTAAATAAAAATTCATTTATTTAAAGCTTTTATTTAAATTTTTTAATTTTTATTTTATAAGAGAAATTAATATGCAAACGAACAAATATATTAACTAATTCATACTAAAAATATTGAGTGAATTAAATAGATGGGAGTCTTAAAGGTGAATGATTAAAAAATAATATTTTTTATTTTAATTCCGTGTCATTTAAATATTTAAAAGATAAAAAGATTGCTTTAATTGCATGTCAAAAACCTTCCAGACAAAAATAAATTCAAAAAATTTATTTAATTGATACTAAAAATTTGTTGAAAAAGTTAATAAATAATTAACATTTTTATATATAAATTATTTTTAATTTTGAATAAATTAAAAAGCCAAAAATTATAAAATTGTCTAAAAAATATTTAAGAAAGAAAATTATTTTTTGGACAAATAACGAATTATAAAAACAATAAATACTAAATTGTTTTTAAAATTTTTTAAAGAAAACTTATTTTCTTTAAAATAATTAACATAATAAGATGGAATAAAAAAATAATTTTTTAAAATTAAATTAGGGCTTGCAAAATTATCAAAAAATTAATAATAAAATTAATATTTTTATTTATATATATATTTTTTTTATTTTTTAGCTAAATTTTTGTGTTTATTTACAGTGGTGGTCATATGTTTATGGACAACAACGATTTATTAATAATATCCTTCATAAATAAACTAAATAAGAATCAATCGAAAATATAAAACGACAGTTCAGATACTCAGTTCATTTGCTATAAAATAGCTTAGTTTCAATAAAATCCACCATCATTATCATAATTAAAATCCGGTCCAAATATATTTACCCCTATTTTTAACGCGTCATGTGTTTATGGACAAATGTGTTTTCCATCTAAAACTTTTTAGATTAATGCCAAAAAATGAGATTATCGCTACTCCGTGGACACTTTCATTGATATTAAGTAGAAAATAAAAAGAATGAAGTCTGTAACTTCCTTCTTCATCGAGATCTCGAATCTCAAAAATCAACGGAAAATGGGGTTACAGTACTTTAAAAAATATTTTTACCCCCTAGAGCTTTTATAAAAAATTTCTTTTAGGCCTATCTGAAAGCCAATAAAATTTGCTACAAAATAGTACAAGTTTTTATTTTTCCAATAAAAACTCATGGAGCTGAAGGTAGGGCAATTTCTTATGTTACCATTTTTGGGGTATTTTAGGTGATTTTTGACCATTTTTATGTGAAAGTCGATGTACGTCGAACAACTATTTTTTAGAATAAATGAGACCAGAACTATTTTGTAGCAAATTTTATGGGCTTTCAAATGAGCCTAAAAGAAAATTTTTTATAAAGGCTCTTGGGGGTTAAAATATTTTTTGAAGTACTGTACCCCGATTTCCCGTTGATTTTTGAGATTCGAGATCTCGATGATGAAGTAAGTTACAGACTTCGTTCTTTTTGATTTTCTACTCAGTATCGTTCGAAATGTTTACAGAAATTTTTGTAGAATTTTTGCACCAACTAAAGTAGGAAAATCCAAGGTTATTTAATTTGTCCATAAACATATGACGCATTAAAAATAAAGGTGAAGAGATTTGGACCGGATTTTAATTATGATAATGATGGTGGATTTTAATGAAACTAAGGTATTTTATAGCAAATAAACAGGGCATTTGGACCACCGAATTTTATTTTCGATTGATTCTTATTTAGTTTTGTTATGAGGGATTTTATTGATAAATCGATGTAGTCCATAAACATATGACCACCACTGTATTTATTAAATTATTTATTTAAAAAATTTACTAAAAAAATTAATAAATTCTAAAATCACTTTATTTTTATAAAATAAATTACTTAAGTGCATTAATGTTTGATCTAAATTAAATATTAAATATACTTTACATTCAGGAATAAAAAAATGTAAAACTAAATTAAGATATCCATTAAATATTAAAAAAAATTATTAAAAAAAAATATTTTTGTTATTTATTTTTAAATTGTTTTTTTAAGTCACGGTTAGATAATTTTAATAAAAATAACTAAAAAGGAAAAGGAAAATAAATATTTTTTGGCTAAAAAATAATTGCTTGTTTTGCTTAAAAATATTTCAAATATATTTTTTTGTTTAGTCATTTTTTGTAATAAAAATAAAGAATAAATTGTAATAAATAAATATTTTACTAGCTAATTATTTAGATTTTGTTAATTAATTAATTTTTGCTAAATTATGTAGTTATAAAAAGATTATTGTAAATGCACATACAGTGTGTTAAGAAATTATAATCCCCCTTGAATTTTTGAGTTTCTCTATCTTCCCGTTATCGGATTGTTCTGAAATTTTTTCCAATGACATTTTATGTTGTACAGACTTCATTCTCTTAGCTTTTCTACACGATAATGATGGAAATGTTTACAGAAATTTTTGTAGAATTTTTCTTACATTTCTTGTATGAAAAACCAAGTTCTTAACACACTGTAAATACACAAAATATTAATTAAACAAGTAAATATTTTAAAAATAAATTTCTTTATATAAAGTAATTGTTTTGTTTATTTTTAAAATGAACACTTGTTTTTACGTTAAAAATATATACAAACATACTATTAATTTTGGCATTCCTTTTTAAACATTTTTTCTTCATTTTAGGCACTCCCACAGGGAAATAAAAATTTTCAAATCCTTCATTTTTTGAATAAATAAGTAGCTAAGTAAAAAATGTCATAAAAACTCTCAAATATTTCCAAAAATAAATTAATAATTAATTAAATAAATAAAAATAACTAGTAAATTGATTATGGCCAAACCTAATACCTTTTAATAAATATACCTTTATATAGAATATTGTTTTTTAATTTAAAAAATATTTTTTTGTAAAAGAAAATATAAAAGAAATTCTCAAAAAACTAATTAAAAGATTTATTTGTCTAGATAAAGTTCAAAAAATAATTTGTTAAGATAATTATCCATTCTTCTAAAAAACATTTTTTGTTTTTTATGTCTCCAGAAAGCCTTTTAATCGAGAAATAGAGATCACATGCTTAAATCGAATAATTGATAAAAAATTAACCGGAAAATTTTTTTAAAAATAAAAAAATTTCCTAGTTTTAACAGAAAAATTAGTAAAATTGTTTAGTAAATTGCAGAATAACCAAAATATTTTTCTGTGCATTATTCAAAGTATTTTTTAAACAATTTTGGAAAATGATAAATTTAACAAAAATCTAAAAATAAATTATAAATATAAAAATATTTTTTTCCAAAAAAATAAAATTAACGAGATATTTTTGAGAAATACCTAAAGAAAACGAGAAAAGCACAAAAAACAAAAGAGGAGTGGAAAGAAAATTATTATACATATGTATTTATAAATAAAAAACTGCAATTTATTTTTCTTAAAATAAATATTTTTTTACAAAAAATAAATAAATATAATTTATAGGAAATAAAAAGAATTTTTTTGTAAAAATTTTAATTAAAATTTTTTCTAAAAAATAAATTAATTAAAAAATATATCTATTAAATATTTTTATAAAAAACAAATAATTCGATAATAATTATTAGAGCCCAAAATTCTGTACCGTTCCATGTTCTGTGCTGCAATACCGATACGGAAGACAAATAAATAACGAAGCTAAGCGAGGTAGTACGTAACAGCCCGGGCTCTAATAATTATCTACTATATACCTAATTTATATTTTTTTTATTTTATGAAAGTTAAATTAATATTTATTTGGGAATAAAACCTAGGTTATTCCTGAATATATAGGCACATTTATAAAAGGCAGGAAAATTCCTAACGATTTAAAAAAAATAAGAAAGGAATGTTTTATAATGTTTAGAGGATAAATTGGATATTTAAAAATATAAAAAATTATTGCACTGTTCGGATAAAAAAAATTAGGAAAAAAAATTCAGAAAAGGACATAAAAATAAATAAACCCCCTTCCTTTATATTTTCTATTGCTTTACATTTTTTATTGTTTTCCGAGATGTTGTCTTGGAGAGAAGCGTGGGTGGCAAGAAATATGGTGCTTGTTGGTGCAAGTCTTGCAAAAAATAAATAAATAAAAAATTAGCTTTGCCAAAAAATATTTTTTATTTTATATTTTTATTTAAAAAATGATCTTTTATAAGAATTTATAATAAAAAGTCTCTATACGACTTAAAAACGCAAAGCAACATCCAATAATCAGTCAAACACTTCCACGGACAAACTAAACCTATTTAGTTTAGGAAA